TTGTCTTTCTTACCTTGTCCATAGAATGTTATGTAAGAAGAGGTGGGGGGACTAACACTTCTCCCTTTGATTTGGCTTAGGGCAAGGGGATTAGGACAACTCATTCGAGCAAAGAACATCAGGACTGTAGGTGACTTGAGTTCTCTGACATCAGCCGAGATCAAAACTCTTCCCATTCGTTCTCCCAAAGTATCCAATGTTAAAAGAGCTCTTAAAGGATACCATGACCAACAGGTTAGTTTCTTTGCATTATAATAAAATAAGTAAAATCTGAAATGTGGGCTTGTTTTTGTATCAGAAATCTTTTTTGCGGAACACTTAGTCCAAGAGGCACTATTTTGTATTGTTTATATTGCAGTTTTATGTTGTGAACTTCTCTGAGATCTACGGGTATAGGGCAGTATACAGATTTAAATCATCATCATCATCATCACTACTATTTGAAATTAAAATAAAAAGTAAGAACAAGTCGGATCACAAAACAAGATGTTGCCATGTATCCACTATTCATAACAGGAGTGCTTCTGTCCAGGGCTTTACCAGTATGGAACTTTGAGCCTTGTTTGAGTTTAGCAGGTGAAAGGGAAGACTGCTCTGTTGCTACTGCTCTTCTTGTTTTGCATTTGTTGGGAAATGGAATAATATCTACAAAGATATATATTCTTCTCTTGTTTTCTATCCTCCTGAAATCACTGTATTATATAGAGCACTTAGGCTCTGGTATAGAGTTGACTTCCAGGCTCCAGTACTTGAGGACTTTACTGCTATGCAACAGAAAGAGGAAAGATTATAGAGAGTGTAAAAGGAGCAAGGTGTCAGCTTCCTCACCTTTATGAAAAAAACCCCACATAGCATGGGGATGGGAGGTAATAAAACACCTTGTGGAACACATTTCCCTTACCTGCTTCCCTTCCCTCTCCATGCTAAAGCTGTCACACTTCAGCAGACCAATGTCCCACTTATTCCCCTTCCTTAATTTAAAAATCTTGAACTGGACTCAACTGCCCTCAATCTTTCAAATGTCCTGGAACTCAATGAATGTAGGTTTTTGTTTAGTCATTTGGGGGTTCCTCTCCAAAATGTACAGCTACGTTTTTTAAAATGTAAGCTTATAGTTGCAAGGTAGTCCTGCTTTTATTTTTTTTGTACAAAAAAATCTATCCCACCTTTATGTTGCATATGCAATACTCAGGGTGAGTAAGAGCAGCTAAAACAAACTGTGAACTGCAGTAGCATTCCAAAATACGTAACTGGGAAATTAAAGACAACATGGGTGGTAACAAAGATGGCAGATATAAAAGGGATATGGTATTATACAAAGAAAGAGATATAGTGTATTCTAAAATACTTTGCTCCACACAATACATTCTGCTTGACTTACAACATTGCGTAACACAATGCTGGATCCGCAAGCACCTATGAATTGCAAGACCAGAGAATAATACTCATGCAGAGTATCTTATCTCTCCTGAGCAGAAACACTTCTTCTTTGTCTGGATTAATTCTTTTTAACAGTTAGCAGCCTTCCAACCCATTACTGGTTCCAGACACTGATTCAGTTTTCCTGGTACTCATGGCCACCAGACACCCCCTCCTCCTGTTGAAGAAGGAATGCTATTAATTAGCTATAAATTATATTTCTCATCTGTATTCAATTTTGCTTACAATTGAAATATATTGCAATAAAATCTCTTCCCCCCTCTCCCAAATGTGCAGGTACGATCTCATGGATTTGAAGAAAATGCTGGCCTGGATGATGTAGAAAAGCCAGTGAATGGCATTGATGAGAAGTCCTGTTCCACAAATGAAGATAAAATTGAAACAGGTAAATATTGCTTGCCACTGTGCAGCTTTGATGCCTGAACTGGAATGCAGACTGGGTATGTTTGCTTCCCAGGTTAAATCCATTGTCTACATTACCTGTAGCAGTGTGATTGCTGTCATTCCACAGCTGGTCCAAAAAGGGCAAGCAATTTATCCTGTATGATTAAGGCTGTTACACACCATTCTAGCATTGCCTACCCATTAGGGCTGTAGTTAGTATGGTATGTAATTCCACAAATAAGAATTGTGGACTGGTTGAATTTGAGTAAGGCTCTAGTTTGATTCTAAATAGGAAATCTCTGTATGTGTGAACTTTCTTTCTTCCTAGACTTGAGCGAGCCAGTTTCCTCCACTGCAGATGAGCAATCAACTACAGACCTTTTTGCCCAGATTGATATACTTGCTCCGCAGTTTACTTCTGAAAATCTTCTCAACTATTCAGTGAGTGAACTCTTTGAAATGCAAGAGAAACTACATAGCATGACAAACTGTATTATGAAAAACCTGCAGGCTCGTTGGAAGTCACCAACCCGGGAAAGCACTGTTTAATCATCTGTACTTATCTCTCAGGAAGAGAAGACTTTTTGTTTTTAAAATCCCTTTATTTTTATTTGAGCTGAACACTCACTTAAAAACATCCCAGAAGAATAAGAGATCTTCGTCACTCAAGGCAGGTATGGCATCAGTCTGTATATCTTAATAAGTAAGTTTGGTACATTCACTATTCAAGTGTTTTTATTGCTGTTGCACACAGTTTCCCACAAAAAAAATCAACTTGCTGAGTATTTTAACTATATTTTTGAATGCAGATTTATATTTTATTCCTATATCTAAAAACAACAACAAAGTTCACTATGTGGAATGAATCTTGAGATGCTGAGTGATTTACCAAAAGTGATGCCAACTTTTTTGCTACTGGTGTTTTGGAAAACAGTGGCTCTATAGTCTGTCTTCATATGAAGATGTACTGTACTTAATTAGTGCTTCAAAAAAAAAAGTATTTCCAAACAATTTTCCTACCATTTCACAGTTCTATTTTTGCATGCACTTATTATGCAAAAAGGAGAAAAATGTATATCGGTATGAAATTCTGATGCAGTATTTTCAAGCTCAAATCTCATGTGCTACAGAATTTTTATATTTATCAGAGTTATACTTGTCCCACTCTGAGTCATGTCAATTAGACATAAATAACTGTACATTATGTGTAGATAATAGCAATTCTAGACATTATTAATTATGATCTGAGATTTGTTAAAACATTGGATGGGGAAAATGGTGTTTGTATAAAGCACACAGTTTGCCGTTCTGGAGAAGCAGCAATGGGATCTGTTTCACTTATTTGGAAATAAATATATATGTATATATGAATAAAATAATGAACTCTTATTTAGAATTGTATTTTGAATAGAACTTGGTTTTAATTGTGTCTTGATTTAATGGATCTGGCAGTTCCTTTTCATCTAAGGCTCTTGAAATGGGCTTTGAAAAGGGAATTTAAGTAGAGCTTCGAGAGATACCCTCCTCCCACTTGAGGTCTTGCATGGTCCTATTATTTAGTGTCTTTTAGTGCTTGTCCTTCATTGGGCTAGTTTCAGGTTACATAGTGTCTGGCCTCTTCATGCTGTTTTGCTGGCTGGGGTTGATGGGAATTGGGCCTAAAACTCTGGGAGGGCATCGTGTTGCAGGAGGGCACTCTAAATATTTTTCTTTGAAATATATGCTTATATGTCTACCCAGAACTTTGCAGTTTGGTATGTGGGTGTAGATTGATCAACATCATGATATGATTTAAGGCAATGTACAGATATTTTATTCTGACTGAATTCAGTGCTGAGCTTTCAGATACCAGTACTTATGAGGTTAGTATGTATTGCTACTAGCATTTAATCACTCTGTCATGCTGGCAGTGAGCTACACCCAGAATTAGCCTGTTTCCCCCCCAAATCTACATTAGATACAAACAGGTTTCAATCTGAGTAGAGTTCTCAGCTGATAACTGGTGGCAATTGAGTCTTTGTTTCATTGTATATTTCCATATGAAAGAGGTCTGAAGGGAAAATGCTTTGTTGCAGTAATCAATTCTTTTGTGTGTATTATTTAGGTATTTATTGTTTAATTGGTTTTAGTATTTAATTTGTGTCTGTAAGTTGATTTGAGCCATTATTAAGTGTTTTACTCAGAAAAATATTAATGATTAAAGAGACATTCCTTCTGCTAAGATACAAAATCAAGGAAACTTTGTAGTAGCTTAGAGTTTTTAATGTAATGAATTCCATCTATATAGATGCAGATGAAGATAAAAGAGGATGTATTGCAGAAGAGGCAGGTTATGTACTATGTTGGTAGAGCTGGTAGGGGCTTTGTTGAACTCCCAAGGGATGGGAAACTGCTTAATAAGGAGTCACAGTTTTGAGAGTGTGCTATGGGCCACATTTCACTCCCGCCCTTCTGTGGTGGCTACTCTTACCTTGCAGCTGCATTTCTCAGATTTCTTCAGGTGAAAGATTCTCATCCCAGGAGGAGGTATTTCTGCAGGAGCTAGTCAAACCATTCATCACCACAGTTGCGAGAGACAGTGCTAAGGTATGTTAGCCCTAAGGTGTTTGGGGGAATCCTACAGCAGGCTTCTCCTGGCTCTTGGGAGGAGGGTGTGTGTTAGTAAATATTTTCCCCTTCACTGGGTGATAAGCTTTTCAACATTGCAATGTATCACTGTAGTGTGATGTTTGGCTGGTGATACAGCACAGTGCTGAAAAGCAGGGGGAGGAATAAGCTGCATCGGCCCCAAACCACCTCGGTGGGACCCTGGTGCGTTGCAGGGCTGGGGCTAATGCAGCTTGTTTCTCCCTCTGCTGCACTGAGGAAGGAATGAGTTGCATCAACTCCAGTGGTATATTGTGGGTGAAACCACCATTGCACTCTGGTCCTCTATCGTCCTGGGCGATACATTTGCATGGCACACATCAGTTGATGAATGGTTTCAGTTAAGGTTCCTTTCCTCTCAATGACATCAGATGAATAGCAAGAGTCTGTTGGCTACAGGGAAGAACTGGGAGGAGCTTGCAGCATTTGTGCCTATCCATGGTTCTGCATTTCCTCTGCACACATCCATTTGGAATTGAGTATCCAGTGTTCTATTTCTCCCCACCCCCAGGATAAATTAAGCACATAACTAAATTTGCAGAGCTGTGAAATTTATTAGTCACCACTTGAAGAGGGAATCACAGTACCAGGACCAAAGAACACTCAGATGAATAAGGCATGCACCAGCGTTCCGTAAGCAGACAAGAGGAGGGGCTTTCCTACATATAGTTTGGCTGGTTTGAGATGTTAGCTTTACATAATTGCTTACTTGAAACAGAAATAAATACATTTGGCTATTTTTATAATATCACAGGAGAACACAACATCTCTTGATAAGAAAAGCATTAAAACCAACACAGATTAGATGTTTCATTAAAAAATAAGATTAGTTTGGACTATGAGCTTGATTCCAAACAAAGAGGTTGACAATACAGTGGAACTGAGAGCCAAACAATTCTCTTTTAGATAATGTTTGAATACACAAGTCCATTTAATCAAGGTAGTGAATGGAGGCTGCCATGTTGGTATTTCCCACTGGTTCTGTGATGACTAGAATGAGAGAATGTTTGTTGTGTAAAAGGCAATGCATATATCATATATCAACGGGAAAATATTAAGGCACCTGAGAAAGTGTTTAAGAATTATAGCAGGCAGCCATTTTGTGAGGTGCCTTTTTATTTACCTTGTCAAAATGTCTCATGGAATATCGCCTCCATTTTGGCTTAAACAGCTTCTACATAGTTAGCTGGAAGCATGCCTGTTTTGCCTGTTCTTTGCACAGTCCCATACATCCAGCCTTCATCAATGGCCTGGACATTGACGATTGCATCACCATCTTTGAAGGAGACTTCATCAGCATCTGCTGCAGTATAGTCATACATGGCGCGATACGTCTTCTGTGGTGGTCATTTTAAAAGAAGAATAAATGCTGTTAGATTACCACCATACATGCAGTATGTTGGGCTAAACCATTTAAAATACCTTCAGTTTGCATTAAATTGCAATAATTTACTGAACTCTTATGATTATAGTGGTAGAAATGCTGGTCATTAAAAAAAATATTATTGTGAGTTGCTTTGAGCTCAGCTTTGTTGGTATAAAAGATTATATAAATATTAAATAATCTTTTAGAGGAAGAAAAGGAGTGTTTAGAAATAAGACTATTATTCTCTTCCATCAGTAAATGTACATTCAAGATAACAATGCTGATCATTAATTTAGACATGTACCGTATTTTTCGCCCTATAAGACGCACTTTTTCCCCTCCAGAAATGAAGGGGAAATGTGTGTGCGTCTTATGGGGCGAATGCAGACTCCTTGGCTTCAGCGATAGCAACGCGAAGCCTCCGAAGCCTGCGCTCCGGAGGCTTCGCGTTGCTTCCGCTGAAGCCAGGAGAGTCTGCTCTTTGAGGCTGGCGGTGGGGGAAAGCAGCGCTTCCCCCATCGCCAGCCCCAGAGGATGGGGGGCAGCGGGAAGGCGCACAACACCTTGCCGCTACTCTCCAACCCGGCTTCGAGGCTGGTGGTGGGGAAAGCAGCGCTTCCCCCATCGCCAGCCCCAGAGGATGGGGGGCAGCGGGAAGGCGCACGACGCCTTGCCGCTACTCTCCAACCCGGCTTCGAGGCTGACTGTGGGGAAAGCAGCGCTTCCCCCATCGCCAGCCCCAGAGGATGGGGGGCAGCAGGAAGGCGCGCGACGCCTTCCCGTTACTCTCCAACCCTCCTTTGGGCTTTTGCGGGAGATGGGGGAATTCCCCCCACCTCCTGCGAAAGCAGGCAAAAGCCGCACGCTCTTTAAAGGGGCTCCCGCGGCTTCTGCTGGCTTTTCTACGGGGGGGGGATTCCCCCACCTCCTAGAAAAGCCCGCAGGAGCCGCGCACCCTTTAAAGAGCGTGCCGCTCTTGGGGGCTTTTCCCCGAGGAGGGAGAAGGGACTGACTGGCAGAGTCAGTCCCTTCTCCCTCCTGGTCGAAAAGCCCCCAGGAGTCACGTGGGGCTCCTGTGGGCTTTTGCGGGAGGTGGGGGAATTCCGCCACCTCCCGCAAAAGCAGGGAGAAGGTCTTGGAGTAGCACACAGGCTCCCAGAGCTGCAGGGGGTGTGTGTCATTTCCCCCCCCCCTTGATTTCCCCCCTGAAAACTAGGTGCGTCCTATAGAGCGAAAAATACGGTAGGTTTTTCTCCCCAATGTAACACAGGGACACAATTCAGAAATCTATTTCTTTGTGCTTGTTACTCTTGCCATATGATAATTTATTTTCCTTACCCCTGCAGTAGATGGATGAGAGGGGATGGAAGAGACTGTTGTCTGCTGGGTAGCAACAGAAGATGACCGTTGTTGTGGCAGCTCTACAGTTTTAGCGTGTTTGTAGTCCACTGGAAAGGGAAATGAAAAAATTGAATAATGAGAAACCAGCTGGAAGCTTTGATTCTCTTCAATAATTTCGCTGTGTTTTAATAAGACTTACAATGGGGCTTGGTTGCATTTTATGAGGGAATGGTGACAGCAGATGTAAATCAGCAAAGATGATGTGGCTGTGTCATTTTAGATAAATAGTTCTACTTTAAAAAAACCACAAGAATATTGGTGTACAGAACTGTATTCTACCAGTGTGCTAACTCTCTCCCCCCCCCCCCCGGGCTTGTCTAACGCTTGCTATTTTCTGCCCAGAAAAATAGCCCAAAAGGACTTAGAACTATTATCTGAAAGACAAATAAAGCTCTTTAGGACAAAGTGTCTCCCTGGCTATCTCTAATAGTATATAGCAGCTTGCATTGAACTAGCTACTGCAATTTTTGGCAATTCTGATTTGTTAGTGCTGCCTGTCCATTATAATCACACTACCCAAATTCACCTGAGTTTCGAAACATTACTGCATCATTTATTCCGTCTCCCCAACCTGGCCACCTTCACACCATGCTCCTGTATGATCTCCTGTATGATTTGCAAGAACCCCCAACTTAATAAATATTCAAATTAGTTGTTATGTCACTGGGGGAAGAGGGACAGAATTGTTTCCTGCAAAGCCTTTTTGTCTTTGGTCCTTATGAAACATACGGAAAAGTAACCATAACGGATGCTCTTAATGTTTTTTTGTTTTTACAATTTAATTGTTAATATTATTAAAAGGCAAGGCATTGAACCTTGCCCCCCTCCCCCACCGCCTTGAAATAGCAGTACACACAACCTGAAAAGGTATCCCTGCAAGACGAGTGCAGTCTTGAGTCACTTGTACCTGATGTAGTTGTGGTAAAGAAGCCTCCATTGCTGTAATAGGACATGTGCTGATCGGCAGCCTCTGAATGCTCAGATTTTTCATCTCCAGCACTGAGGCTCAGTGCACTGGCAGAGCGGGATTGCTCTCGGCTACGTCGCTGGGCTTGAACTAGGCAAGAAAGATGAATAAATTTACAGTGATGTCTTGAGGAGGAGCGTACTTGGTCAAAGGCAAAATTAACTAAAAATCAAAATGGAAAGTTACATTGTGGAGTGTTTAAAGCATTAAAACTGTAGGATAAAAGCTTGTATCCATCCACAGCCATTTGCATAATGTTACAGGATGCAAAACGTACCAGTAATCAAGTGTAAGCTTCTAGATTGAATGTTGTCTTCTGCTGGGTCATAGTCAAAGACTGATCCAGGATTAGTACGCCACACACGAAGATCTGCAGAAGACAGGTGGGTGGGGTATTTTAGTTGTATCCTTCGCCTCTGACTTCATAGGTATAAGAAAACACATTTGCAGAATCCAACAGGTCTTAAAATGGAATTCACACAGCAAAAAAACTAATTTAGGAAATGCTTTGCAACTCACTGCTGAAATGTGACTTGACCAGAATGCTTAATGAATGGGAAAGAATGTTATTCTTTTACATTTTAACAATGTTGACCCACCACCAACAAAAAAAGTTGCACCATTAGGGAAGAGCCCTTAGTGCAGTTGGTGAATGTATCATTTGTGTCAGAGGCTTAGTGCTGTCCAGCTGGCCATAGATAAGACTCCGGGCTCCCAGCCAGTTCCAAACAATTGATTTATTGACAAAGTTCAAACGTACATCTCCAGCGTTTCCCTTAACCTCCTTCCTCTTGTATGCAGTTGCTCCCACTAAAGTTATTTCCTCCTTCTCTTTACCCAGCATGCAAACCTGCGAAGACTCCTCCCTTACTTCCTCTGTGTACAGCGTGACTAGTCCCAGGCTCACACTCCTCCTCCCCCTCTTCTTCAGACTGATTCTCTGACGACTGGCTGCTGATAATCTCTCTGGGCTCCCTATAACTGCTGATTTCTGTCCTTTCCTCATTTCCCGTTTGCCTCTCCCTGACAATTTGCATGTACATTCTCCAGTATCTGGTAGGTAGGATGTGTGCCTGGTGCACCACTGATAGCAGGAGGTGACCAGCCCCACATGGAGTGCAAATACAGTGCAGCCGTAAATGGTACAGATAAGTGGTTGGAGTAGATGATAGTAGGCCAAATGGACCACTTCAGTATAAGGCACTTTCTCATGAATTAGTATGTGTTGTCCTCGAAAATATGTAAGGTAAGGAAGAAGTGAATTGTCCAAGCAGATTTGGTTAACTGGGAACAATTACAAGCATAGGATTCAGGACTCACGTATTCAATATCAATTTAACAAGGCAGAAGAGTGTGTGTGTTTGATTGTTTATGATGTGAAATCACATCACTATAAATAATTTTCTACATATATTGTCAGCTGTGACCATTATGTAAAGTTAACTTACAGAGGGGGGAAACCAAAGCATAAAATCAGAGTACCTGTATTCATTTCTTGATCTTGATCTATCCGTTTTCGCTCCATTTCCACAACTCGTCTCTGAATGCCCCTGTAGTTAATATCACTGAAATCCTGCATGTTCTTCTTGACACGTTCTGTTATGGGGTCAGTAACTACAGGTGTGAAGCTGCCTTTGCTCTTTTCAAAGTCTTCATGGTATTTCACCTGGAATTTTCAAGGTAAGACATGGGTAGCTGGAATGGACATGCCATTAATTGTAGAAGGCAAGCAGAAATATAAATTCCTTATCTAGTTCAGAAGTACAAGTAAACTTCACTGTGTTCACCAGATATGTCCATTTCTTGCAGTTTCTGCGACAGCAAACCTGGTCTCTGCATTAGGGCTAGGCGATATTTGGTTTTCAGCATCATCATATGTCACCAGCTAAACATCACTATATACAGATACCACAATGTCTGAAATAAGGATGATGGCTTCATGGTTTTCCCCGCATTGGGATTTTTGCTGGTGCCTACTCTTGGGATTTGCTGTCCCCTGCAGGAGGCAGGGAGAGCTGAGCCAGCAGAGTTAACAGGCTGCGGGAATCAAGAGAAGCATTGGCTGACTTCAAATTCCCCCCCCCCATGTTTATTTTTGCAAAGCATGTGTGCGCACAGCATGATTTGCAATATATTGCCAGGTCAAAAATTATGAAACTGATATCATAATAACGGCTTCAAAGCAGTTTTTGGACAATATATCACCCAGTCCCACTCTGCATTTACCTTTTAATTAAATTTGTGCCTGGAACATTTTCATCTTAAGGCATACTGAGCACTGCTAAATAAGTCACCATGGCTGGTTTTACTTGTGCAGCCACTTTCTTGGCTGCAAATACTTACGGTGGAAATGTGTCGCTGCGTCTCCCGAACACGTCTCATTTCAGGGGTATCCAGGACAAAGGCTGCTTTACCTTGTACTTGTTTCCGGAAACTATCAGAGTAGAGGACCTAACAAAATGAGAAGATGTGAATAAACGTGGCCCAGCCAGTGAGAGAGTAGATTTTAAGAGAGGTTTTATGTAGACGTAAGAAATGAGGCATGAATGAAGAAGTGCTGAAGGCAAACATGATGTGATCACTATTGACGGGCTCATCACAAGATTATGCCCCAGGTTTTTTTTTACTAACTATGAATTGTGTGCCTTTAGAAGGTTATGGCTAATGTAAGAGCATTGTTGATTTACATCGTTTCCAAACCCACCCCAAGAACTGTAGGCGAAGCATAACACTCAAAAGAATAGCATTAAAATAACAGAATACAGAAAGATGCCTTAAATCAGGTTGCATTATTTGTCTCTCCAGCCTAGTTTTGCCTGCTCTGACTCAAGGGTCTCGAGCAAAGGAAGTCTTTCACAGCACCTGCTATCTCCTTTTAAACAAAGGATGCCAGCTCTTACACCTGGGACCCTCTGCATTTGAAGCATGTACTCTTAGCCTACCACTGACCCAGAGTCCTTCCTAAAATAAAATGTTAACTAAGTGAGCAATACTCTGTTACTCGAAAGCAACCCCAGTTTAATGATGCAAGGCTTCATTCCAGGGTATTCTTATTTTATAGCACTTCTAGAAAATGCTCAGGCTGAAGACTTCCACAGTCCCATGGCAGCCATCAAGAGACCACCTCTACTTGCCCTTATTGTGGCAACTCAAAGCACAGATGATCTGCTCTCATTAAGGAATATAAGAAAAGGGGGTCTCGGGCTGTTTCCAGCACCTTGAATTGTGTCTAGAAAGAAACAAAGGGACACAACGGACCATAAAGCACAAGAATGGGTTCTAGGTGTCCTACCCCCATCAAGCATCTCTTCTTCCACTGCATTGATTACCAGCAGAAGTTGTTAAAAAGTAACCAAGGACAGCCCAGTGTGGAGTGCGTGGTAGCAATCCAATCAAAAGTTGCATAGACAACAATGACTCTTGGAACGTTACAGCAAAATTTCACCAGAAATGTATGGAGGTGGCCTCCCCAGCAAATGAGTGGGTAGTGATGTCAAGAGTCCATCCTTTCCACGCACCCTACCTTTTGCTTGGTCATAGCAACAGTTGCTGATATAGAAAAACATATATAATCTGGTTAGAAATAGTGGTCAGTTCGTCCATTCTTCAGAGCCCTCCTGGCTTTCCAAACAGATTGTCTGTATTCAAAATGCAACTCCCCAACTATTCCCCAAACAAACCACCTGATTTTTTTTCCCCTGTCTTGAGACACAGCAGTAGATCATATGAATTAAAATGTTATCAACTCTGCTATTTCCCAGGCTGGATCTAGACTGATCTTCTACGTAAAATAAAACATTCTATAGCATTTAATTGCAGCTTTTCTTTGCTGGTGGCTCGCTGCTTTGTAGCACCCTCTGGTGTCACATTTTAGTAACACATTTCTAACATTTTAAGCAAGTGTAGATCTGTCCCCAGTTGTCCCTCCTACATATATAGGCTCTTGACCAGGAGATGGTTGGCCAGAGGGACTGAACGCCCCTAAATGGACCCTGGGAGATGGAAGAAAAGCAATGGTTAGTGCTGCTGTCTCCAGCAGCTTTATTTCCCATAGAACTTAAGCATCAATTAACTTAAATAGAATGTACTAATACCCACCCCGCCCCAATAAGATTCTGCCACCCTATGCTGATTTTCTCTATAACCATTTATTTGGCTAGATCCTGCAAAACCAGCATGCAAGTGTTGCCATCAATTAAGTACTAATGGACACACAGTAATAAAGGGCCTTCAGCCTTCAGTGCAAACTTTTGGATGAGAACAGGGACAAGAAAGCAAGCTATAATTTTGACCACCTCTTGGACATGCCAATTGTCTCGGCTCTGATGCTGTCCTTGTTGAACTGGCTCAACAACTGGCTCTCTCTTTGTAAATCTTGCTGTGAAAACATTTAAGATTGAAGTAGGCTTCTCAGATCAGTTAAGTACAAAAGGAGAGACTTGTATGCAATATGCAAACAGAGCTCCCCCTTTCCTTTGAATTCATTTGGTACCTGCCTCTGGGTTTTGTATGCTGAATACATTTCTGAAACGAGCTGGTGCACAGAATATATGTGCAAATACTGAGCACTTGCCAATTTAATTAAGCTGCTCTCTGTAGGCCTGGGAACAAAGCATTTGCTATGCCCCTCCCCCTGAGCTAGGGACACCATCTTGGACCTTTGTATTTATGTAGACTATAGGCTGTTTTAGAGAAAGATTTAAAAAACACAGAACAAACACCATTTCATTTGGTTAAAAACAACAGTAAACACATGATGTTACAAAATGTTTAGAGACCATTCAACTGTTATTTGAGGTCAGTGATTGCTTAGAAATCCTTAAACTATATTTCAATGTAAATTCTACATAACTAGGAATAAGAAACAATTAGAAACATTTTAGGTGACATTTTTAGTATTTTAAATGTCAAAATAAAGTTATAATATTAATAAAGTTAATAGTTGCATAAAGTGTTTAAATTGAGTAGGGAAAGTATTATACTTTTTAAGGTGTTAAAAAGAAGTTATATATTTTCTAGATCATTGAGGGGTTTTTTTCTCCTGAAAAATACCGAGCTAATGTTTTCTTGATTGCGTTTAGCTCTCTCCATCTCTGGAGTGATAGATGTCGGGGTTCCTTTTCCCATGCTTTCTTTGTACAACACCTACAGCATACAAGAAAGTGTCCAGAAATCAAAGAATTAGATTATTGTTGAAGAACCATTGTGTTAAGTTGTGTTACTGTTTAATCATCATCACTGCATAGGTGGGTAAATAATTCAAGAAACAAAGTGGTTAAAAAGTTATTGGATAAAGCAAAAAGCAAGAAGGGGGGGAAGGAAAAAGAAAAAGTATTTAAAAAAATTAAAAGGAGTGTTTTCTTTAGGAATATGAAAATGGATAAGATTCAGATAAAATAGATGCAGGACAAGGTTATATCTGATGATATAAAAAAATTCTGATGATATTAAAAATTCAATACCAAGCTAACGTTTTCTTGATTGCGTTTGACTCTTTCCATCTCTGGAGTGATAGGTGCTGGGGTTGCTTGCCCCAAATTTTCTTTATACAAAACCTAAAGATTGTAAAAAGTATCCAAAAATCACAAAAATATAATGTGAATAAGACTATTGTTTGAAGGAAAAGTATAATAACTGGGGCGGCACTTCAAATGTAGGCATTTTGCAAAAACAATTAACATTTTTAATAAAAAATTATAAAGACACCAGTGTAAAAAGTCACATAATAGAAACTGATCTGTCCTGGTACAAATGAAAGGCAAAATCCAAGGAGAAGAATGTACAACAGTGAATTAAGCAGGTAAAATAATTAAAAGAGGAATGTATTATTTTGAGATCAGGATTCTATCCAGTAGGCAACATCCACCACTGTGTAATAGCTGTGCCCAGGAAAGTCATCACATATAAACTCATGGTCCAGTTTCTTGTCCTAGTTTTAACTACCGAATTACAAAGTATCTTGTGTCTCTCATTAGCTACATGAAGTTTTTTTTGTTCAGTGTGCTGTTGGAAGACCACTTGGGCAGCATGTTTTTCATGCTGGTGTTGGTTGTTCCGTTACTGAAGGGTGTTGCTGACTTTTGAGTCCTAAAACTCATGAATGCTGAGGCCTCTGAATGCTGAATTCTATGGAGATTTATATTGATAGGGTGGGGAAACTATTTTAAAGGCCTTTTTCTGAAATCCCATTATCAACAATGTACCAATTTGGAAAGTAACAGCATCAATCATGTTGTTGTCTGTTCCTGCCTACATGCGATTTCCTATGACATCTTGTGAAACCACCAGTTCATAAGTGTATGGGATGTTCAATCAAAATAATTTAGCGATTGTAGTATTATTTTTCTCATTATTACAAATTCGTTTATCAAGAAATTTGTTATGTGGACCAGAAATCATATGGTCTAACAGTGTCTGGATAGAGTCCTATAGTCACCACTGCAAGGTTATAAAAAAAACCCTCTATGGTCAGATTATTAAATACCAAATATCAGATTTACGGTATTTTATGAGTAAAATGTAAGTAGTTTAAATAAATAGGAGTATCTTACTTAAGGAAGAAAGTATAGTTTTAGATACTAGAGGGGAAACAATTCCCACAGCTTGTTAGGATGTTATTTAAAATATGTATATTTGTTTTTAAAATGTACCGAGCTAATGAACTCTTGATTGCGCTTGGCTCTTTCCATCTCAGGAGTGACAGGTGTCTGAGTCCCTTTCCCCAATCCCTCTTTGTACAAAACCTACAGGATACAAAAGAGTATCCAGAAATCATATCACGGCCGATTGCAAACAAACATTATTGGCTTGTAATGTTAATAATTGGATCATGCCAGCTTTCCAGGAAAGCTGGCTGGCTGTTGATTTCCGTGTCACCTGGAAGAGACACCAATCAATCAACACCCATAAAGGGAAAGAATCTAGTAGGATGAGAAAGTTGGAAAGGTATAAATACAAACCAAACGTGAAATTAAGCCAACTCCTAGTACTTATGTGTTAAAGCTTAGGTTGCAAAGAGAGTTCAGAAGATAGGGTGATTATGCCAAGAGGTGAGACTGGGTGCTATATTTGATTAGGAAGCATGGGTCTTTATAACACATCTAATGTTATGGTAAACCATTCGGATCTTTTTTCTTCTTTTGAATACCGAGCTAATGTGTTGTTGATTGCGCTTGACTCTCTCCATCTCAGGAGTGACAGGCGTCGGGGTACCTTTCCCCAGTTCCTCTTTGTACAAAACCTACGGGATACAAAAGAGTATCCAGAAATCATAAGGTGCCAGTGACGGCATATCAAGATTAATAGTTTGTAAATGTTAACACTGGGGTCACACCGGCTTCCAGTAAAGCTAGCCATTGATTTTAGTGTCATCTGAAAGAGAGGACCCATGTAAGAAAACAATCTAGTAGGATGAGGAAGTTGGAAAGGTAGAAAATAAAGACGGAAATCCTATGTTTGCTGAAAAATAAAAAGGAGTAAGTCCTAGTAGTAGTGAGTTAAAACTTAGGTCACAGAGGGAGTTTGAAGGGGAGAATTCTTATGCTAAGTGGTAAATAGGAACTTTTGTTTTGTTTTGTTAGAAAGCATAGATCATTAACACATTGGATGTTATTTTTTAGAATCCAGGTCTTTGTGGGGTATTTTGCTTGTCTTCTTTTGAATACCGAGCTAATGTGTTCTTGATTGCGTTTGACTCTCTCCATCTCAGGAGTGACAGGGGTCGGAGTTGCTTTCCCTACGTTTTCTTTGTACAACACCTGTGAGACAGAAGAGCAGCCGAGTAAACCAGCAATAAATGAATTGCCATATTTTTGTTATTGAAGCATGAGGGGTAGAGTTCTGATTTGGTTGTGATTTATTCTGCAGGGTGTTTTGGGTTACAGTTTTAAAACAATGCATATAAGCACTTATTTTTGTCTGGGGAAAACAAGGACAAAGTATTGTCTTAATACATGATCATGCTTTTGGATAATGGGCATTTTTTGCATCCAAGTATAATATGCATAGAATGCCAAACAACTGGTGTGGGAAAGACAACAGATTGTTATGTTTTGGGAGGAATGTGAGTATAAGACCTAGAAAGGAAGAGAAGGGTTAAAAAGTCTCAGGATGTGACATTCTTCCACAGTGGAAAATAAAAGACAGGGAGGAGGTTTCACAATAGGGGTATATAACTCCATCTGCAGGAAGAAGCTGGGATGGAGAGCAGGGGTGAGTTAATCATATTACAAAACAGATTTAAAAATAACTGTTTTCCCAGAAGTACCGAGCTAATGATTTCTTGGTTGTGTTTGACTCTCTCAATCTCTGGCGTGACAGGAGTTGAGATTCCTGCCCCTAGGCTTTCTTTGTATAGCACCTGCATGATGACAAAGGGGAATGCAGAAATAAGAAAAATAAGGAAGGAAAACAACAGTTAATTTTGATCTGCAAAAAAGGGGGGAGGAATATGGTCTTAGATCTCCTGGGTATGAGCCTGTAGGTGATGTCCCATTTCCACAATAAATTTCCTGTGGTTTCATGCTTCCCCCCCATCCTGTTACGTATCAAACATGGGTGCATTCATGTAATTCCCAATGTGTATGAATCTAGCCAAACGTACGTACTTTTAAGTCCCATTGATTTTAGTAGGAGGGATTCAGTGAGTTTAATGCTACTATTGATGGCGGTGGGACTTAGAAATGCTTAATTGGTGGATTGTACCCAAGGAACTCATTGGGATACCAAGGTGGAGGGTTTTGGTTGTTGGGCTGAGGATGAATAAGCATAAAGCTTTGATTTACACTGGGAGTTTTGTAACGTTACTTCTTGCAGATCTCCACTTTCTATATTGTGTGTGCCACATCACAGTGGGGCAGGCTAGGGATTCATAATAGGATGTGTCTGGCCATTTCTTACAGAGAGCCATGTTGGTGAGATCAGCCGATGGCTCTGGATAAGGTTTCTCTTCACCTTGGCAAAATAATGCAAGGAAAGGCATGGGAGAAGCAAAGAAACCACTGAGAAAGATATCACAATGTATGGATTTCCCAGGCAGAAATATAGTGTAACAGCAAGCTTAGAAGACCGATTCAACAGTGAATATTTGAGTATAAATATTATTTCATAAGATGCAAATGCTTCCATTGCCTTATTCCAGAAGGAATGCAACAATGGTAGCTGCAGAATGATTTTTCTAGTGCATTTTTGGCTGAAAATGTGTCGCACTACTTGTTCAACCCAGCTGGAGAAAGACCATATACTTTTTACAAGAGCACACAGAAACAAACAGTGACTTAGAAAAAAATCAAAATCAAGAAGGTCAAAACAGAGAAAGAGATAGGGCTGGGACAGTGAGAAGAGCAGTTAATAATATCCAAAATTATTGATTCCTTTTTTTAAAAGTGCGCCAAAAAAGAAGGCAGGGGGGAAATGACAATCAGTAGTAGTTGCCAACATGGTGCCCTACACTGAAGTTCAAGTCCCATTAGCCCTAGCCAGCACAGCCTAGAGTCAGGAATGATGGGAATTGAAGACCAAACAGTGGCTGGAGGGCACACTGGAGATGATAAATGGGTTTTTTCCCCCTGGAAGTCAATTGCATGTATGGAAATAGAACAAACCTGGAACAAAGATTTAAAAGTTAATTTTTAAAGGGTTGAAATGGAACTTTCATATTTGAACTACCAAGCTGTAGTTTTCTTTAATGCATGCAACTCTCTTGTTTCCGAAGTGAGGTGAGTTGGTTTTCCTGTTCTCAATTCTTCTAGCACTGGGCAGATGGATCCTGCTGGGAGGTTAAGGTGCATATGTATTGCACTCCCCATGTCTGAGGTCCATACCTATGCCCTTGGGGTGCTTGAAAAATTAGATATTGGTGAATTCTGATACAGTATAACATGAGTCACACCTCCCAGACTAACACGCAGATTAAGAAATCTTTCATATTTCACACTTTTTCTAATTCTGCTAAACGGTTCTCAACATATTTTTTTAAAAATATGTTTTTTGGGACTGAAAATGTTTAGAAATGTGTACGTTGTGAAAAAATACATTTTTGTTAATTAGAATTTTCTTGCAGGATTAAAAAATATTAATGTGGAATTGGGAGAGGGTCAATATTATTTAAATCTGGTTGGAATGCATAGAGCAAAAATTGGCCTTGTTCAATATGGTTTCTTTTCTTGCTTACAATGCCAGGATGAGCTGGGAGCAAATTCAGCACCATTCATGGACTCAGAAAGAAATACTATCATTGAAATCATATCAAGATAGCTATGTTATGGAGGGGTTAAGGTTCCAGATGGTTAATTATATTTGGGGATGAAGTTAAAGCTCATTTTAGCGACAAAAATACCGAGCTAAAGTTTTCTTGATTGCGCTTGATTCTTTCCATCTCTGGAGTAATAGGTGTTGGAGTTCCAGCCCCTAAATTCTCTTTGTACAACACCTGTGTGACAAAGAAGTGTCAAAAACAAAAAAATTATCTCAAGATACACCATCAGCAAAGATAGCACAATCTAATTTTCTATTTGGCCTTATGGTGTTTAAAACACAGGCCAGGGGAAAAAATCAAAAAATAAAAATCACATAGAGAAAGAAATGCTATATATTTTGACTTCCTATCATGAAGAAAGTTGCAATCTGTGACCAAGCTTATTCAAATGCAGTAATATTTTTCCACCTAGAATGACAAAAACTCAGGCTATAAAAAGGGGAGGAAATTGTCAGAGGGTACTAAAATCAACTTTAATTATGTAAAACATGAAAGGTTAATCTTATTTGGGAATGATGTTATAGGGCATTTTTGTAACAAAAATACCAAGCTAAAGTTTTCTTGATTGCGTTTGACTCTCTCCATCTCTGGAGTAATAGGTGTTGGGGTTCCAGTCCCTAAATGCTCTTTGTACAACACCTGTGGGACAAAGAAGTGTCAAAAACAAAAATGAAAATTAAGGAGCACATCTTAAGATACACCATCAGCAAAGAGAATGCAATCCAGTTTTCTGGTTTGCTTTATGAAGTTTAAAAAACAGATCACAAAAAAACAAAAAATGCACACAGAGAAAAATACTGCATATTATAACTTAAAACACCTATCATGGATTAAATTACAATTTGTGACTGAGTTTAGACAGCTGCATTATTATTTCCACACCCTAAAACTACCCGTTTTGTTCTGAAAGACTACAATAGCATAAATAACATCTTATTATTCTATTTTTAAGAGAGGGGTTACGGTTTTATTCTAAGTTTGCACTGCACCAACACAAATGCCAAAGGCTATTAGAAAATGTTTCCTGTTATAAGGATATCTTGAATCCACTCTGAATATCATTTGTTTTGAAACAAATAATATTGCCACTTGAGGGGAAGTGAATAGAGTAAGAAAAATAAACAGAGCTAAAGAAAACCCACTGCAGACGTATGTCACAGTTAGTGCCTTAATTTTTTCCTTCAGAGACTGACATTTTAGTGATTTTATTAAAATGAGAAGGATTCAAAAGCTTGTGGAAGGATTAAAATATATTTATCAGAGTGTGCGATGGTTAAAGGGATTTATCTATAGATATTTTGTGATATACCGAGCTAATGTTCTCCTGATTACGCTTGACTCTCTCCATTTCTGGGGTAACAGGAGTTGCCGTTCCTGCCCCCAAGTTTTCTTTGTAGGACACCTGTGAGGTACAATAAAGTATCCACAAAAGACACTCAAAAATACTGGCTAGTACTTTGTAGTTAACGGCGCATGTTTAAATCCCATGCTTAGTCAAGTATCAAAAAGGAAAGATGAGAATAAGGGAGAGTAGTCATTAAAATGTGAATGGAAAAGAAAAAGTCAGAAGAAGTATGTTAAGAGAAGTGAATGTGTGCAAAGGGAGCACAGGGTTAATCTTATTGAAGATCATAGGTATTATTGTCATTGTTTTATTTCTTTTTTTAAAACTGCATAAAACTGTAAATTGATGTTAATGCACATCAGAATGAATGAGTCATGAAAATGGCATGTAGAAGATGATAGTTAGAATGTTATTATTATTTTTTTAATGAAAAAGATGAGTTATGGTAGGTTTGATTTCATGGAGAAATACCGAGCTAATGTGTTCTTGATTGCGTTTGACTCTCTCTATCTCTGGAGTAAGTGGGATCGGGGTTCCTTGCCCTGCATTCTCCTTGTACAAAACCTGCGGAATACAAACAGCCACAAAGGTAAGAAAAAGGTAGCTGAAAACCTTTCTGCAATGCAGAATGTTAATTAACACACTGACTTTGCATATAATTATTTGGACATTGCCCATTGGGAGTATAAAACTGCCCGATTACAGGTGTCTCCACAAAATGCCATCCCTGTTCACATGTTTCCACTTCTAGATGCCTCTGGGGGGAAAGTGCCAATCACCTGGAATTACAGGTATCTCTCTTTTTTGTGGTGTAGTTCTTTTTAAAAGTTTGGGGCTATTGCTGCTGGAGAGACGTAAGCATTTCCAAACCTCCTTGATAAAACTTGTTATATTGGTATTGAATAGCCAATGAGAAATCAGTTTTTGTTCTTACACCATTACCCTTGTCATGAGTTTTGCTTTGAGGCCAAATCTAAGAACAAAATCTGAGGACTGAGAGATTTAAGCCCTGTTTTGGTTTTATTTTAAAAAGAAAAAAGAAAAGAGAGAGACTGAGAGAGAAAGAACAAAACTGAAGTCCTTGGCAGTTGTTTTTTTAAAAAAATGTCCTGCATTTCACTCCTTTTAAAAAGTGCCCTCTTCCCCAAATGGAAAAACAAAACAAAACGGTTAAGTCAAAAAGGCATTCAGTCAGTTCAAAATGTCAAAAGCAAGAGAGGTAAATTTGTCGTTAGAAAAGGGTAACTAGTTTGCCTTCCTGTAACTTGATTATGCAGAAATGAATTTTGAAAACAATTAGTATGGTGAAGAGCTCAGGCTAAAAGGGAAGGCAGAGCGGGAAAGAGAGGAGAAAGAACCAGTTGCAACCAGTTCCTTGATAAATGTCACTACAACTTCTCCTACTGAAACACTCAAGGTACCCATCACTTAAGTGGCCAAATGATGCTAGACAGAATTCCCATGTTCTAATAAATGAAATCCTACCCATTCAGAGGATGGCCCATTAAGATCTGAATAAAGCAGGAGGCCCACTTAAGTGAGCAAGAATAAATTGTTTGGATGTTCAGACCCAAGACTCAAGAAGCAGATATCCCATCTGACACATCATTAAGCCCATTCGCAACAATGGTCTTAAGTACACTTTGTGTTGGCTTGTGGCTAGTGTGTCTCTGAACATGTACAAAGTGCCTTTCACCACAGCCAGGTTCCACATGTCGCTGAGCACTCCCCTGACCAGTAGGTAGGTGGGTATAAAGGTAAAGGGGACCCCTGACCATTGGGTCTAGTCGTAACCAACTCTGGGGTTGCGGCACTCATCTCGCTTTATTGGCCGAGGGAGCCGGCATACAGCTTCCAGGTCATGTGGCCAGCATGACTAAGCCACTTCTGGCGAACCAGAGCAGCGCACAGAAACGCTGTTTACCTTCCCGCAGGAGCGGTACCTATTTAGCTACTTGCACTTTGACGTGCTTTCGAACTGCTAGGTTGGCAGGAGGTAGGTGGGTATAGCAGGGGTCATAATTTTGTCAGTTACTACTACTACTACTATTATTATTATTACTACTACTACTACTACTATTTTATCCTCTTGGTCCATTTCTGTCTGCTCAGCATTAAATGGGTCTATATTCTCCTCTCAAGGTGCACAGAGAGTAAATCTTAAAGCTAGTAAAGGTACCCCTGCCCGTACGGGCCAGTATTGCCAGACTCTAGGGTTGTGCGCTCATCTCACTCTATAGGCCGGGAGCCAGCGCTGTCCGCAGACACTTACGGGCACGTGGCCAGCGTGACAAAGCTGCTCTGGCGAGCCAGAGCCGCACACAGAGACGCCGTTTACCTTCCTGCCAGTAAGCGGTCCCTATTTATCTACTTGCACCCGGGGGTGCTTTCGAACTGCTAGGTTGGCAGGCGCTGGGACCGAGCAACGGGAGCTCACCCCGCCGCGGGGATTCGAACCGCCGACCATGCGATCGGCAAGTCCTAGGTGCTGAGGCTTTTACCCACAGCACCACCCGCGTCCCTCAATGCTCAGCATTAAATGCTCAGCATTAAATGGGTCTATATTCTCCTCTCAAGGTGCACAGAGAGTAAATCTTAAAGCTAATGGATGTTAAAGCCCGAGTAATACAGTACTAGAGGAATGCCATACTAAGGATGAAGTTGATGATAGCATGTTAGCAGGGGCAATAGATGTCTGTTTAGTAAGGTGAACAGCACACTGTTACTGCCCAGTGCACACACAAATCAGCATAGAAAATATCAGCCACTACCGAGCTGATGTGCTTCTGTGCCTCCTTGACACGTTTCACTTCGGGAAGATCAGAAATGGGAGTTCCTTTTCCAATGTGATCCTTGTACTTAATCTACAAAGTGGTATTCAGTTCAGAAAACAAGACAAAACAATAATGACTTACATTATGTACATGAAACAGATATCCATTTCACATAAAAAGAACAAGAGTAAACAAATATAATCACAATTGTAGGAGCTGAAGGCATTGCATGCACCCATGTCGAAACAGACACATCGGCGGAAAACGAGTTTTTGCAAAGATTTGAAATTCGGTGTATAAAAGCCAATCTCCAATTTGATAGCGGAGGAAGAGCCATGGATGGACACCTTGACTCAACAATCTTACCAATGTAGTAGAAACAGGAGGATTAAAGCTTTCCACCAGGTTCCTTGCTTGAAAAGCTATTTTAATCGTCTGTAAACAAGTATGAGATTATTGTATTTTGCAGCTCAAGTGCAACCTGGCCGGAAAAAAAACAGATTTTTGATCATGGCATCCATCACAGAGCTTCTCCTTTTTAAGCCCCTGGCCCTGTTTTACAACTACCTTGTGTTGACAATGCCAGGCAAATCTTCAGAGAGTAGCCTGGAGTGGCCATGCATCTCCTCAGCTGCATCCCAATGGGACACTGTTATTGGGATGCTGTTATGAGACCTTCCCACGGCCACTGTCAATATTGGGCCCCTTGCAATTGTGCTGGCTGCTGATATCAATCAAATTTTCAGTCCAGCTTAGGAGAGTGTGCCTAAATTGTTTCAACTCTAGTAACTTTCTTTGGATTCATTCCCACTAGATTCCGGAACCTAGACTTGTGGCCATAGGTTTTGTATGCCGTGGGGTTTTCCCCTCACACAGGCAATAGGTAATGTGCACTGAAACACACGGCACTGGCCAACGCAGAAGCAGATGAATGAGCCTCTGCAAACTGGAACCTCTGCCTATTCAGAGGAGACACTGGGCTAGGGTGCAGTGTGTGTGTGTGTGTGTGTGTGTATTAGTCTCCAATATGCATTATAGACCTATTGAAACCAAACAGCTCATCCTTATTCAGTGAAGTCCCATTGAAACCAGTGGCATAAACCAACCTATATTACTTTTTAAGTCCAATTACTTTTCAGTGGGATTTCGTCGTGAATGGAGCAGGATTCTGTTCTGGATTCAAATGTTTATCAGATAATCTGAAATGAATAAACTAGATTTTCCTCAAAAAATTGAAACGAGCAATATGGGTGCTTCCTATCCACCTCCCGTTCTATCCAGCATGGGTGACAATACATGTACAACATTCAATAAAAACATTTTTTACCTCTTTTTTTAACGAAATGTCAAAAAAGGAAAGTAAGACATTGTGCGGAACACAATCAAATGAAAAATAATTTTGGCAATCCTACCATACGTTCTCTAAAATTATTGTTAGTTTTAAAACGTGGTCACTATATTTGCTACCATGAGTATCTCATCGACATTTCGGACAAGATCAAAATGTGAATTTAGTTTCAGTATTTTATGAAATGATAAACATTAGTTGAACATTAGAAAATGTTAATAGTTAGAGTTTTCGAAATGTGGATACTATTTTACATAGGAAAGTAAAAGTAGAATGGAAGAGCTAGTTAGCAAATTATGTTTTGATTAATTACGGAAAACCTTGACTTTTCAAGTTATTCCAGAACTGCTGTTAGGATCATGTAAGGCAAATGAAGTTTTATAAGTTGGGAACAGCACAGGTAAGAGTGTTAACAATCCACTGAGTTTTGTACCGTGCTTATTGCATCCTGGGTTTGTTTAATTCTCTGCATCTCGGGCGTCTTTTCAATAGCTGTTCCTGTTCCAATATCTTCTTTATATAAAATCTTAACCAAGACAACAAGATTGAGCATAGAAAAACAACAACATTGTCATTTGCTACAGAAAGACTACAAAACAGTGGAATATTAAGAAACCTCTAACTGGTTCCTTGATCATCAGTGCATTCACTCACACAGAAGTCATTCCCATTGATTTCAGAAGCTTTTGCTTCCAAGCAAGATTATCCTTAGGTTAAATGTGTACTTCTCCATATTTTGTGATGTAGTTCTCCAACAAAAAAAAATAGTGTGCAAAACGTGTATATTGGGGGAAAGTATGCATAAGACGCACAACTGAGTGAAAATATTTTTAAATGCACCAGATATTTGCTAAAATGTATATATTAGGCAAAATGCATACAATGGGAGAAAGCACATTGAAATGCTGGTGAGTTTTTTGAGGCTGTTCTTTTTTATTTTTAAAGCAAACGAATGCAAAAAGTGAACTGAACTTAAGATAAGAAAAATGTTAACTAAAAACTAGACAGATTCAACCATCCCTGTTTTCAGGATCTTGGGGACTTGTGGAGGAGGGAATTTCTGCTTCAACTATCCTGGTTCATGCATGCCTGTTACATTGTCTAAGTAAAATGGGAATGGCACTGATTTTAATGTAGACATGGCTTTCCACTGTTTTGATCAGACATCCATGGAATAATCATGACCAATAAACACATCACATAATGACAATATTTAGCATCCTTTGAAGATCTTCATGGTTAAACTTGCTAATTAAGAACAAAGCAGGGCATACACGAATTAGCTGCTAAAAGACGACACAGCAAGCCTATAAACAGCTACAAACCCATAGCCACATTGCAAAACAAGGGCAGATATTTTGTACTTCTACTGTCAGATGTGGGGTACACAGCCCACTGTGCAATGATGGAAGCCGTTGAAGGAGAGAGTGTGTAAAGGAATAGCAACACCTGCACATATAATAAGGTACGCATAATTAGTGTAAAATTGCATGGCCCTGACCGCCGACATAAAAGCCTGGATATACATAGTAAACAAGAAGCACCATTCATATCAAGGAAGATGCCTGTATGCTGAAGGATCTGCAAAAGTAGGACAACAAAATTAAGGATTCGCTTTGTGGTGTAAAATAAGGTTACCGTGCTGAAGTTCTTCTGGTTTTCTTTAACTCTTAATATCTCTGGTGTTTCATGTACAACTGTGACTTTTCCTTTGCTGTCCTGTAGATCATGCTGGTACCTGAGCTGTTAGGAGAACACATATTTTTGTTTATTGCCCTTGCAATAAAGAATTCAGTCTTGCGCCTTTATTTCGTTGGTATTCTATATAGCTTTCTTATAAATAAATTTAAAAATCATTTAGGAATACTGAAATTTGAAGTCGCACCTGACATCTGGGTCATCTAAATTCAGCTGCTGTTTGAACACATGAGATTTCCAGTGGGCACCCAGATAATAGGGCAGAATCTTCAATCATCATGAGGCATTCTCTCAGCATTTACAGAGAATGGAGAACCCCATGCATCGTAGGGTAGGGACTCTGGGTGCACAGAAGATTTTGCTATTGGGGCCCACATTTACCCATTCATGTTTCCATCAGCTGGTGCTGTTTTCAAACACATGCGACCTCAGGTAAACTGCACTACGATCTGCACATATGCTGTATCCTCACCATCCACCCACACTTTTGTAACCTTGTATTCCACCTGTCCTGCATCCCAGCCACCCAATTTTCAGTTTTTCACTGTAAGGTATGATGCACAGAGACAAAGGCAGTGTTGAAACGGTCATGAGGAACAGTGTACTACACCCTTCTTGAAAGGGGAGACTTTGACTGAAACCATGCCTCTCCTCTAAGCCACACACACACAAACATGCACATACAAAATGGGTAAGTTCATACAAGACCCCACGGCCTTTCAGGTGTTGCTAGACTCCAGCTCCCATCAGCCCCAGCCAACATGACCAGTAGTCAGGGATGGTGAGAGCTAGAGTCCAAAGACATCTGCAGGGCCACAGACTCCCCATCCATAATGAGACGTTGCCTGACACCACCTCTGATGTTGTTGAGCGAGGAAGAATAAAAGACAAATAAAACCTTCCCATGCATCGTGAGAGCTGGTTACGCCAGGACAGCGCAATGCAAGAAAACAGCTTTAGTGCCATTGCTTCCAAACAGGAATCTCATCTGTGCTTGCACAGTCACCATGGAGATTTCTATCCATCTATCTGTAAATGTGTGTACACACGCTTTTACATCTTCGAACCTTACACAATGACTTTTATCTTAACCCAAGCAAGCAAGAGGCATTCTTACAGCTCTGGGATGTGTTCCAGCCATGCAAAAGCTCTTGAGGAGTGTGTGAGGGATGTAGCCTGAGGAGGTGGAATATTTGTCCTCAAAAGCGGAATCTTCTGTCCTGTACTCTGCATGGGTCTGAGCAAGGTGTAAAACCCAATTTATCAATGGATGAGCAGGGGCTAAACCCTGCCATGTTGGCTGTGGGGCATGGCATGAGCTGCAAACACAGAACTGAACCCTGCCCATCAGCTGATTGTCAGGTGGGTGTGGGGTTTTTTTTGGGGGGGGGATTGTCTCAGGAGTCAAATTGGACCCTGCCAAGCTTGGCCTGTGGTCTGGAGTTTTCCCACCTCTGGCCTACATTCTGCACAGGACTTCACAGCATCACATATTTATAAATAATCACACTTTTCACTGTGTTTACAGTACATTAATACCTACCATGCTGAAATTCTTTTGGTTCTCCCGGACTCTCTGCATTTCTGGTGTGTCTAGAACAGACACATAGTATGACATAGTTCTCTCTGCATCCTCCTTATATTTTTTCTGTTAGTTGGGGGGAGAGAGGATCAAGATTTATTGTTATGGTAAAAAAAAAAAAAACCAAAAAGAAATATATGCGCTCAATGTCCAAGAGGCAATTTGCACAAAAACATGTTTATGGTTATCTGGAGTTGAGATATGTGTGAAATGGTTCCTACGTGAAAGAAGTTCCTATCAATGGGGAGCAAGACCCTCCTTTAAAAAAAAAATATCTGGCAAAGCTAGTTGAAAACAAACACGATCATTACCTGACTTGAAAAGTTCTTCACATGGTGGGCATGGATGATGTCTGGAGTGTCAACCACCGTGGTATAGTGGGCTTTTTCCATTTCTGCAGACTGCTTATATTTGATCTGTTGGGGGAAAGGTCACAAGCAGATATCCACAGTGAGTACATTTATGAACACAGCTTCCTCTTGATTTCCCCATAGGAAATCTACAGAGAAGGTTCCCTTTAAAATTACTCCCAAGTGTTATTAGTGCCTGGCTGTTCTCACTGACCTGGCTAGAGATGTCCATAGCATTCTTTGCCCTCATATAATCAGGCGTTTCTGTGGTATGGCCTGTCAAGCCTCTTCCTTTGATTTCCATCTCTAGACCTTTCTTGTATTCTTTCTGTTGTGGGGTTTTGTTTTTTTTAAAAAAAGGATTAATAGAGATGAGACCATCACAATGGGGCAGGTTTTTCAAAAGTAACACTTATCCCAATTCACCAAGGGTGATCTTGATGTGACTCAAGCTGCTGCCCATACAACATGCAAAAAAAGTGTGTCCCACAGAAGAGAAACGTATGCAGTCGAAGAAGCATTCACTCTTCACAGGCAGTCTAAGTCATTTGACCATTTGTGTTGCCTAAAAGGCTCATTTTCTGGCTAACACCTCAAAAGGAAATTATCTAACTTAATTATCTATCAACAAATATGTTGATTTCCTAAGATTTAAGAAGTGTCTAATACACAGTTTAGGAAGTTTGCTTAACTTAGCTTTTCACACACGCTAATTTCAGAGGATTAAAAACGTTTGAAACACAGCTCAAATAGCACACAAGGGTCTAGCTATCACCTTGCACAGGACACAAGCTTAATTAGCTGTATGTTTTCTAGCACCTACAAACCCATTACAAAAATTGACCTGGGCAGGTAAGTGGGATCTGACTCTGAGATATAATCAATGCTTCAGAAATTGCTGGAACCCAGGCGTATAATTTCTCTTTAAAGATAGCTTTGCCGGAATTCTTCCTATGAAAGGCCGTTCTGACATTACTCAAACAGCCTGGGAGAGATGCTGTAGCACTGCTCATTACCATGCCAACGTTGTCCTTCTTCTGGGAGTCATAGGGTGGAGCCACATCATGCATTTCTCCCCAATGTCTGGGGCTTTTGACATTAATCCAGTGCAGAAGAAGGGGGCCATGCTGCAGTGGCCCCCAAGGGAAGTTAGCCTAGCTATGTGCCTCACCTCATTCAAGATATAGGTTGCATTCTTTGCTCTGAGTAGGTCTGGGGTCTCTTCCAAAATGGTTAGGCCTTTACCTTTAACACCTTCTTCCAAATCTCTCCTGTATTCTTTCTAGAGGGGGTGGGGAGAAAAAGAAAACTGAAGAAACCAAAGAGAGAAAGAGCTTCAAGGAGGATGAAGGAGACCCCCTCCCCTAAAAAGAGTTAGTAAATGGCCTTCAGATTATCTTAAAGCAACACTTAGTTAGGGTGTTCAAGGTTCAACCTTCTAGATAGTCACACAGCTTGACACAACAACTTCAGTAAAGAACACAACATATAGTGAAACAATGATCTCTGTTCCACCAACAGGAAAACATTAATGCTGCTAATACAATTAACAATTAGTGATTAAAAAAAAACCACACCAATGGACTAGAACAAGCAACAAACACAGATTAAACCATGCATTTAAGAGAAATGTTTAAGGCTAGTAAAGAAGGTAGTGAAGGGACTGCTTTGGTAAGGACAATTAATGAAACTAGTAGGGTGGTTCACAGCAGAAGACAACAGAGGAGGTGCTACCTCGCTTGCTATTTTGGTGGCATATCTGACATGCAAAAGAGATGGCGTGACCTCCAGGCCAGTAAGGTTCCTGCCTTTCATGGACTCTTCAAAGTCTTTTTTATATTCTTTCTAACAGGAGTAGGAAGAAGAAGAGAAGGGGGAAAAACAGAATTTATTTTGGATCTGTGCAGGAAGAATATTTTCAAGTACTGTACTGTTAGTTTTGGGTCCTGTCTTGCCCTTGTGTCAAGTTTGCTGGTCAGCCATTCGGTGTTGGGTGGGGGTTTAGCAGCGTGGTGTAGTGGTTAGAGTGTTGGACGATGGCCTGGGAGACAAATTCAAAACCCCACTCAGCTATGCAAATCACTGGGTGACCTTGGGACAGTCACCATCCCTGGGGCTAAAATGGAGAGGGGAGAACCATGTGCCCCAACTTGAGCTCCTGGAGGAAAAGGTGGTGTATAAATGTAGGGAACAGATAAAAAAAAAATACATTGCAAGCGCCCACTTTGTGTCTCTGACAGCAACAAGGCTTTGGATGAACATGTGATTCACAAAAGGTAGGGCTCCAGTCTTGGATAACATGGATTCACAAAAGGGTAGGGCTCCAGTCTTCCACTGTGCTCAGTTGGTAAGATGCCCTTAAAGCCTACAGTAGTGTAATTCCTATGCTTTAGTACTCACTAATTGTTATGATCAGTCTAAGGAAGGGAAAATCCCAGAGCCAAAAGGGTAGGCATCCCATAAACCCCGGGGAGGGAATGTCTAATTGCATTTTGAATGGTAATGTATTGAAACAATTGACAGAATCACCCAAAGGACCTTATACCAGTATTTTTGCCTTGTATAAGTTTCGCTCTTGGACAGAACAATGCAGACACTTCAAATAGGCTATGAAATCATGGTTAAACAAAAAGCTAATATCAGGGGGAAGGTGGTGCTGTAACACTTAAAACAAGCAGGGATTTTCAGTGCTGAAGCACAACAGTTTCACATCTAATCTTGCTGATATAAAAGGAATGTATATGAAGAGGATGGTGCGTGAAATGGAAGGGGTGAATGGCATAGAGATGGGCACCAGGGGTCCCAAGACACAGGCAGGCCTTTAACAATAGGTATCTATTGACCACTTATTTAGTTAGGATAAATATTAAGGCAAACGTTAACTCTGATTTAGCACTGGCTTGTAAGAAGCAATGTGGACTTTGCACCCTTTCAATTGCTGTTCAGGCACTGTATTGGGAAATGATGCACAGAAGTGGCTTTGAGAAAGTGCAGCTGGAAAGTGTTTCAAAAGACACATGAGAGGATGCTTGGCAAAGCCTCCAGGGAATGGGAAAGGGTAAAAGAATTGCGTTCTCTGACTGCTTATCTTCTGTTTCTTTAGAAAAATGTGAGAGGCCTCCTGGGCTCAAACCCAGGGCTCAAACTTCCCTGTATCCAGACCCCTTGCACCTGCTTAATGGGGGATTGTTCTTTATCAGGTATGGCAAACACCTGCAGTAAGGTGTCAATGGCTGCACATGGCAAGACAGCAAGGATCTGTAGAGGAGGGAGCAGGCAAGCCCATGGGCCTGGCTATGGCGGGGAATCAGGTCTGTACTCCTGCTTGTCTCTTCAGTGCTGTGTTACTTCCTGCTTTGGAGACCAGAAGCAAGCAGAGCATAAAACACAGATGGTTGGTTATGGACCGAACTGTGCAACAGAGTCTTTATCTCATGTTTTGATCTTGTCCTCTGGCACACTTGCCTAAAAGACTAGTCAACAGACTCTGAGATAGTTGTGTGGTGAAATATTGGGGGGGGGGGACCCACCCTGAAACAATTGACAGAACCACCCAAATATTATCGACCAAACACCTTATACAAGTGTATTTCACCTTGTATAAATTTCACATTTGGGACAGAACACTGACAAAACTGAGTTCAATGGAAGGTCAATGGAAAAACTATAACTGGACACAAACAAGGCTTGAATGGTGTCAGCGAAAGTTGTTTATTACAAATTATATACTGCTACTTTTAGCAGCCAGTCTAATCTTCTGGTAGCCCAGGGAAAACTGACAAACTGCAAGTCCTTTTTTGAATCAACACTCCCGTTATCACCTTAATTCCACAAATACAAAGTAAATATAAAGTAAATTAATAGCTTAGAGTCTGTTGCCTCGCTCCTAAACTTATTTTATTTGGCAACCATGAATCAGATTGTAATAAAGTGCAGCCTGTGTTGCCCCCCAGAGATTTTTGACTACAACCTCCATCATCCCTGATCCTTAGTCATCTGGTTGGGGCTGATGGGAGCTGTATGTCCCCCCAAAACAACCCTTCCCCACTAACTGCCTGAACCTGAATGGAAATAATACAATACCATGTTGTTATGCCTTCATTTTCCAACATGAAACCAGGCTGCATTCTGCCACAAAGCACCTTACCTCGCTTTGCATGTGCTGAGACTCCTTAGCCGTGAGGTATGTTGGTGTTTCAAAGTCCAGCATGGGCTTCCCTCTTTCCTTTTCATATTTTTCCTTGTACTTCACCTGCCAAGAGGGAGATAAATATTATTTCCAGTGCACTGCTAGATATAGGCTAGAAATGTACAGGGGTGGCCCTGGAATGTGGAAGGGAATTAGGTCTCTTCCCCAAGCCGCGCTCAAGAAACAATCATGTCAGTCATGAAAACCACATGTCACAGTGAGTGACCTGTTGGGTGCCCCCAACACAGTCTGCTGCACCTCACAGAGGAGGGCTGAGAAGCACTGAAATGCTGCTACCAGATGTCAAGGGTCAAGGCCAATTTCTATGCTCCAATGGCAACACGGTTGCTGTCCACTTCTTCACATGTCAGGGCCCCATTTTGCAGCTGTAAAGATATGAAGCCACAACTGCTGGTTTGCATAGCTAGTTCACACAGCATTGCCTATGTGGAATTATGGCAATTTATGAACAAGGGTTCAGAGAATGGTCTGAAAACCAATGTACAAGAGGTTTTTGTTCAGTCAGAAAATAGCACAGATAGTTAGAGAGAACATTAACAACAGGCAGGTCCCAAAACATTTTCAGACCTGGATTTAAGGCAAATTTTGAATTGGAGGATTCTAAGCATCTTTATAAAACTATTATTCCCGGAACTCCTTGGGAAAAGCAACTTCTTCATTTATATTGTAAATGTACTCCAAGATCAAAAGGAGTTTAATGCTGAAATAACTTTACAGCAATACTTTTTTTTTCTTATTAAGGGTGTATTTCCCCCTTCTTGGCACACTGGCCCTTCTAGATTCTAGAATGCAATGCAATGGGTTGTGAACGAGAAATAAAAAGCAGGAAACACTTATCTATGACTTACTATGCTCTGAAGTTCTGAGGCCTCCTTTAGATGGATCTGTTCAAGGTTATCTGGAACCACATGGTAGTGACCTTTACTCTTCTCATATTTCTTCTTGTACTGGTACTAAAGGGGAAGGTGTCAAAAACCACCTCAATAACAAAAAGGCCTAACCTGATCAGCTTTCTAGCTCCAGCCGATCCAACCATTTCAACAGAAAAACAAGAAACCCAAAGCATTTTTTTTAAAAAAGGAGGAGAAGAAGAAAAAGGAATACATAAAGGGGTGGGGGAGGGAGGAAAAAAAATCTCAGACTAATGCCGAAGCACTTGTGATAGCTACTTTTCCCTTGCAACATTATGCAAGAAGGAACAAGATATTGTAAGTAAATAAAAAGAAAACCCCCAAAAAAGAAAGAAGGAAGAACAAAAGAAATATAGTGAATATGTGATACAATTAAAATGGAAGACAACGCCACATCTTCTTCTCTTGTTAGCATATTCATCACTCTGTGGTATAACAGCAGGATGATAAAAGTTCAGCAAAAGCAGAATTAATTTTGAAAAGGTTTTAAAAAGTTAAAAGAAGAAGTATGTTGAAATAATATTAAGCACAAAAAATATTGAAATCAAAAGGAGGAAAATGGTATTCCTGTTAGTCAAAAAGGAAAGTTAAAAAGGGGGGAAAAAAGCCATTTACATGTGGTTAGAGGTTTTACAATATTAGCAGTTCTACAGCTAATAGAAAATGCTTGAGAGACTAGGGGTATTAATTAGTCCGCATGAGGAACACTCATTAGGCAGGGGAGAAGAGAGATCACTACCAGGTGATTTCCTAGGAACAGTCAAGGAGGAAAGCTGTTACAGAAATTGTTAGCGGATATTATCTCAGAAAGGCAGATGGATGAAATGCTAAAGTGAATATGGTCTGAGATGAGCTAAGAGGCTTACAGAACTGGCGAGCTGGCTGGTGTTCAAGACATGATGCATCGACAGGGATTCAGACATGTCTGTCACTGGTTTGTGAAGTTTCTTCAGGTCCGCCTTGTATTTAATCTGATGGGGGAAGTTCAAAGAAACGCAGTAAAGGAAAACGCAAACAACACTTAGAAATCGGACGCATTAAAAAGGAACAGGACTCAGTCAGACTTTGCATCAAAATGTTGTGGGGGCGGGGCACTGGGCAAGAGATGGTTAATGAGATCAGCATTACTGCAAATGTTCCTTAAATGATTTGTAGCAAAGTTGCCAGGCACATGTTCCCTTAGGAAAATTCAGGTACATGGCCCAAGAAGGCTAGGAGATGGTTGAAGGTGACAACTCATCATCACTATTTTCTGTGGTTGTGCCTGCTTGTGGAATGTGCTCGTCTGACACCTTCATTACATAACCTTAGGTGCCAGGCAAAAAAAATCCTCTTCTCCTAGCCCTTTGGCTAATTAAAGAATCTGTGGCCTTTTAAACTCTCTCTGTGTGTGTGTGTGTGTGTGTGTGTGTGTGTGTGTGTGTGATGTTGTTTCATACTAAAGCATGTATTTTTGTATTTTTATATTGTAAACTGCCCTATGATCCTCAGATGAAAGTTGGTATAGAAATTTAATAAATAATAATAATAATAATAATAATAATAATAATAATAATAATAATAATAATAATAATAAATATCCCTCCCTTCGGCCAGTATTATGTTCAGGGGCTCAACTCCCAGTTCTGCCTCATACTTGGTTTCATGGACAAGCTGCTTGTCCCTTATGACTAGCTATACCCCTCAAGGCAGCCATTTTGCGACTAGCCATAGTTTCCCAGCTGCCATTATGTGGTGATACTCATAAGCTTTTCCAAATGGGCCCATGAGCCTGAAAAGGGTTGGTAACTACTGGCCTAAAGGCCCACACATACCTCGCTAGCGATGTGGTGGGCATCTTTTAAGGTCTTGTAGATCTTGGCTTCCTTCAGGTCGTATCGCGGCTTATTGCCCTTCTCCTTGTCAAACTTCTCTTTGTATTTGATCTAATTCCAAGAGGAACAAGTGTTAAAACAGGGTCCTGAATTTTAGCTTGTCTGGTGCCAAGGGAGAAAGAGTCCACATTCAGATTGTCAAAACTGATTCCGATTGCAAGCAGACACGTTGAACAATGCAAGCCATAAGACCTCTTTGAAAAAGAAGATACCATTAACGAAGGCCAGGAAAATTCACGTGATGCAGCAATGAACTTGGCACACACTGCATTTACAAGATTTCATGTTGCGGCGTCTTTCATTCAGTAGTTGTGTCTCAGCTCCACATTTGAAATATATAACTCATTCATGGGGGGGGGGGGCGGGAATCTGAATGTTGTGTGTGTGCAGCATGGCTATCAAGAGACACAAGAGCTAAATTATGACTGCATTGTGCATTTTTCTGTGGCCTAAAATGGGCCTAAAATAGAAACATCTGACTTTCTAAATATTTCTTTCCTGCCTTCCCTCCCAGGGATTTTGAGCAGCATTCAAGTCTCAGGGTAGATCTACACACAGGGGAAAAACACTATAAATTAGAAACTAGATCGTTATAACAAAAAAATTTAAAACCCCTATGGAAAATTTTTCTGCTCTCTGGCGTCATCCGGTGTTGCATGTTTATAGTGCATTCAAATCATTGTTTCTTTACTAATGATGAAAGTAGGTTTACCTCCCAGTAAATTTACAGCTCAGCATGGTTTTGAACCAAGATTTGCTACACTGGAGCCCAATGTTCTACCAATACACTGCCTAATCAAAGAGGCAGTTGCATTTGATCTGATAACTATAATTACTGGCTTTAAGAGAAATTGCAAAAAGACTGTGATTGTAAATAAAAAAACATGTTCATGATAGAGAATAAAGGTCCTGCTAGATGCTCTATTCTCTCAGTACTAGAATTCCGAAGAATACTATAATGCACTTTTATTTACAATGACTTTCCTATGTCCTCTGATGGACAGTCCAGTTCTGCCTGACAACCGAAGTGAGCAAATGCGGCTTGGTTACTTTCATTCTAATGGAGGAATAAACAGATTCACCATGTTTTCAGTCGAAGAACTTGCCAGGGGATATTACTGCTTACCACTACTTTGCACTGTTAGTGTGGAAAGTACACAGAGCAAGGTTCTTAAGACTGAAAAGCTTCATTATCAAGGAACTCCATAAAAGAAGAAGTAAGATATTAGTCATTTGCTAGAGAGAAGGAGAAAATAGCAGTTATACAAATCCTGGCATGAGCCAGCAAAAATTAAGCACCTGGATTCCAAATGATTTCAATGAGAGCTTATGGTGTATTTTAGCCCTCTCACATTGAAATCAATGGTTTGATATGCTTAATTTTACATGGATGGCACCTAGTCTTCACCCCACCCCTGGCAAGAGCTGATTGACGTAACTGATGAAAGGAATAGATCATGCTAGGGAGCAATGCACAGGGCTGAAAAAAAGAAAAGTTTAACGTTAGAAAACTGGAAGATGCCGCAGTGCAGATTTCAATTCCATTCCACGATTCTGGATGTCTAAAACATGTTGGCATGTTTTTATCCACACAACCCTGTATCCTTCATGCTGGATAGCCTCATCTTTTGGACATGGGTTGACAAAAGATGCCAATGGTCAATATTCAAGTGACAGACAAGTACACTGTTTATGTTTACTTTTTAAAAATGCAGGACACTCTGGGCACTGACGCTCTTGAGAAGGACAAGACTCTTCCTACAATGACACAACACACACACAACACACACACACAAACAAACAAACAAACAAACACAAATGACATATTACAGGTAGGTGGGGACCATTATGGGCCACCACAATTCAGAGATGCATTTTGTGTCTGATTTCTGAATGAATAGTGGCTCCACAGGGCACAAGCTACTTTCTTAGAATACTCTGTGGGTTTCAAAAGCACTTTGACATTTGTCGTGAGGACCCACTAGATCAAAGTGCAAGTCTCTCATTAATACTTGCGATTTCCATCAGGATTCCGTACTTGCTAAACAAGGTTTGTTAATGGATATGAGATAATGAACAAAAAACAAGACGCAGGGGGACTTGTTTCAATATTAAAACAAAAAGCAGCAACTAAACCGTAAGACACAGTAAACAAGAGTATCAATAGCAGTGACAGCATAGATGACACAAGACACTGTGTAGATGGTGTTTTGACAGTTTTCATGGCAAATTCCTGCTGTTTCTCACAAGTAGAGAAGGACAGTTTTTGACATGCAGCTGTTCCATGCAACAATCACAAAGAGAAATGGGAAATAAAAACATCCCCCTTTATTCCTTATGAAATTTCTGCCCATAACCTGTAGAAAATTGGTGCAAATATGTCATTTACTTTCTAAACCATTTGAGAGCGAGTGAAGAATCGTCTGAAAATGTCTGTCCACAAATAACAGTAGTTAAGGAGCTATTTGCAAGTGTTTAGGAATTTGTTGGAAGGTAATTCATCAGAAGCCTTTCCCCTAAATTGGTGGCTTTTAATAGGGGTGTCCATATTGTTATATTCAATGAATGTGGACTTCGAGGACTGTGTACAGAAATAGTTGAGCTGTTCACTCGTACAATTTTTTACATGCAGCATTCCACAAGAGCATATTTTGTGTACCTGCAACAGTTGAGCTATAAGAGCTCGTACCTGTGCTCAGTGCAATGTGTGGACAAGCTTGTTCTGTTTCAAGAAACTCTGGGTTCTTAGTGAGAAGGTCAGTAATGATGAACTAGCTTCCCTGAACAACAGCTTGTCCACTGCTACTGCTCTTCCTCTGTGATCCTGGAGAGGATTGGGAATGTTCCAGGATATATTCTCAGTTAATTAAGGGCAACAAAAGTGGTTTCTGAAGTCTGGGCAGCATTCTACATCAACTGACTGTGCACATGAACTGGGGAGGAAGCACACTGCAGAGTGCACAGTTGTATTCAAGTGCAGATAGCTGCCACAGTTTCCCCATATATATATATATATAATACAGAGCATGGGTTGTGCTCTTAACACACTGACATGAAAACTAGTGAATGCTTCAGGAATTGCCACCAATGTCATATAGAGGGAAGTGTAAATGTTTGACTAAATTCCCCACTTTCATGTATTTTGGACAACTCAAGCTTTTCCTTGAAGCTGAGACATTCTCAGAACAAATTCCCAAACAGAACTTTGCATAAGGAAGAAAGGGGAGGTCTCACAAATCCACAAGGTTTTAATGTTCTTTTATAAAAATAGAAGCAGTGCCTTGAACACTTAGGATTGTGCCAAGAATATAGAATCTAGCAAGAGACTTGTGAAATTGGTAGCAGCGTAGGAGAGCCGCTGAAAATCCATCTTACATGGCTACTTAGGACATTAGCTTTCTTAACGTGTCTCATCATGGGCGTGTCGTATGATGCAGCCCCATGGCCCCTCATGCGTCCTTTGATGTATTCTGCCTACAAAGCGTAGCAAGATAGCAAGATTAGAATGGCAAACCTCCAAGATGGACAAAGCAAGAAGCTGAGGTAAAAGAGCCAGTGATATTCCCGTCTTTGTGGGGGGGTGGCAGGGAGTCTCGTGGGAAACAGCATGGGTCAGAAATGCACCAAGTGAAGTCGGTCAAAGTTTGGCAGAGAAGAAAGAGGCATACACTAGCACCAAAACGCAAAAAGTTAACACATTGTTTGAAGCACTTTTTTCTTGAAACATGCCTGAGGGCAAAGTCCAGTGCTGCTACCCTCACTATAGAAATATATAACAGCACAAACATTAAAATGTCTGCCAAAGAAAATTGATAAGGGAATAACTGGAGAAAAGACAATAAAAATAAAACATTTTGCCTCCAAGTATACAGCAAATGACCAAACATTTATGGCATGTTTTTTTAACACAAAAATTGTTTCAGGTCATTGGTATGGGAGCCCGGTGCCTTCCATATGTTGCTGGACTCCAGTTCCTATTACCCCCAGCCAGCATAGGGCAATGGTCAAGGGGAGATGGGAAGAGTTGGCCAGAAAATATTAACCACCCCGATCTCAAATAAATTATCTCTAAAGCTGCTTTATCTGTAAAGTCAACATTACATCAAAATGATTGCAAAAGAAAATGTGTGCCATATGGTTATAAGTTGAAGCAGCCACCTGTTCATACCTGGCTTGTAAGTTTGGACACCTCCTTGGCAAGTTCAATATCTGGACGTCCAAGCATGCTGACTCCCAAACCAGCTTCTCCACGAGCTTTGGCTTTATATTCAATCTAAGACAAATATATGAAATGTCAAGGGGTTAAAAAAACAAAAACAAACCCCCCCTCTGGCTTCTACATACTGAAATGAAACTATTTATATGCATGCTGTCATATTGCCACAAGTTACTGAACAGTTACACTGATAAAGTACTTACATCACTGACTAAATGGGAGACTTGGGTGGCTTTCTTAATATCAGGGCGATCCGCCACACTAGTGTAATGGAGCTTGGATTTGGCATCCTTTTTGTATTGGATCTAGGTGAACACAAGGATAAAGAGAAGCAGTTACTGTTGTGTTTTATCTTTAAGGAAAGAACAAGATCCTCTTGATGATAATGTTTTCACCAGAGCTATTGTTGATGCCCACCACCCATGCGAAAACTGCATACGCTTTCACTGTAATGAAACAAAGTCTGCATGGAAAAGCTACAGCCACCCATGTCAACGTGTGTTTCTCCTATGGCCCATGGCTTCGAAAGGATTATTCCTTAGATTGCCCATCCAGGGTTTTAATGACATAACTGGAGGAATAACTTACAGTGCTCTGATTCTTTGCAACTTCCATGGCGTGTTTCACATCAGGAGGCTCCAGCATGATTGAATAGTCTGACTTGCCTTTCTCCTTGTGGAATTTCTTTTTATAATTTGTCTGTTTCGGAACAGAAAAGAGTTGTGTCACACATTCTTCACCTGAGGCTTACTTTGCCGACATCCATAATAAGAAACATAGGTGATGACTTCTACGCTTAAGGAAGACAGGTGCGCGCTCACACATGCACTTGTAGGTTAACTAGCTTTGTTTCCTGATCTGCTGCAAGTTTTCCTCTACGGTCAGAAGCTCTCCACATTAAAAAGAGAGAGGGAGAGATTCAAAGGGCAGCTACATAAATGAGAATAAAGTTGACTGTAAGGATTGGTCCCTATGTGGAAAGCCCATCAGTCAAAAACATTTTGCTTACAGCTGTCAACAAACAGATATTGTATTGAATGGGTGTTCCCCTGCTGATTTATGCCTATTCAATCCAGCAGAGATTTTCGTCAGTCAAACAAAGATCAAGGTGATCTTCAGTGATTGCTCCTTCCTACACCAACCCCATGCTCCTGAGTGCTGGGGAACCCATTGGAAGAATATAAAAGATGGGACACGTACCCAAAATCATAGGGGGCAAGCACCAAGCAATTACTTAACCTATGTCTCAATTGCTGCATCCATATTCTATTTACAGTTATTTTTAAATGACTAGAAAGAATTGACTGCAATGAACCCAATTCTGCATTATGTGTATACACACACACACTTTTGTAGTTCTTCAGCCGCTACCACTGCCGCTCATTTCTACCACACTCTTTAATTTGTAAAGCGTTTCAAAACCTTTGCTCTATGTTCATAATCAAGTCCCTTACCAACAATTCATTCAAACAGGCATGGATTGCGCAAACTCATGTCAGAAAAAACAATTTCCAGACTTGACAGCCTACAGAAATATATTTGAAGGCATTCTCTCTCTTTTTCAACACGCTAAGCTTCCATCTACACACGATTTCAGAAACCCTGTTCAACCACGTTATTAGACTTATGCTGATATTTAACTATGTGAGCTGACAGGCTGGTGTAAGTAACATCAGCCCCGGTGAACAGAGAGCAGCACCCTTTTAGTAAGCCATAATTAGTGTGAAGTATAATTTATAGCGGAGCAACAACAGTTTCCATCACCGAGTAAACAAAACAAATGCAAGCGTCAACTCAACCAGTGATGTGGCTATAGTAATGCAAAAGCAGTTTACCTCACTGACGTTCTTGGTTACGTTTTTGACATGAACAGTGTCTCGTGTTTCTGGCAATTTTGTAAAGGAGCCATGTGGCAGGTGCTTCTTAACATGTTCTTTGTATTTGTTCTGATGATGAAGAGAAACAACGGTTATTGAAGTAATATATATTAAATAAGGAATAAATGCTGAAAAGTGGAGAATTACATACATACATATATAAATAATAAATTACCTCAGACACAAGAGCGCTAACAGTCTTTGCAAGAAGGATCTGAGGAGTATCTGGAACTGGGTGGATGATTCCCCTTTCCTTGTTATGCTTCTCTTTATATTTTAACTGGGATATGAAATGGAAAGGTATTAGTTTCAAGCAGTGTATAATAAACAGGGCTACACAAATGGGCTCACCGCTGATGAGCATGTGTTTTATTCTGGTGTGAGTCTCCATCCTTCTCTGGACTACAGAAAGGCAAGAGCTAGCTCAAATTTTGCATTAAGTATTGGAGAGCTTTGAAGGACTCTGTTCTAAAGTCAAAACATAGTCTGGGGAAATTTCTGCCCTTCTTCCAGTATGAGAGAAGAGTGGGGGATTTCCTGACATTGTACTGAGACCTGGTGATGTTCAGTGTGGCAGAGACAACTCTATGCCCTTCAACCAGTTTGGAGAGGGGGCACTGGATGGCTTTAACAATGCAATTGTGCTGGGCCCTGGAGATGTCTGAAGTACATCCACAGCCCAGAAAGGCACTAGTAAGAAGACAGTGACTTGGGCTGGTTACAAAGGCTACAGGAAATTTGAGGACCCCTGTAAATCATGGTAGGTATTTCTTTCCTTACCACTATTACCAGAACTGAACCTGACATTAAAAGGTGTTTTTGTTATCCAATGCTGAAAATGTTTCTCAGTGTGATTGGTTTGCCACACCTATTTAGAAAAGTACAATCATTTGCTAAGGTTTACATGCTGATCTGAGTGTCCAAGACTTAAAAAGGGGGTGGGGTGGGGAAGCTTCCATTAAAAGGATTTTAGAATACTCACATCACTCGCCAAGATTGCATTCTGCAAAGCCAACACTGTGTTTTTGTCATCTGTTACGGATAGCTTGCATCCTCTATAGTACTCTCGGTCATATTTGTAATCATACTACAAAGAAACAGGAGAAAAAAAGTGTCAGAAGTGCAGCCTGTGGCCCCAGAGGTATGCCTTGCTATGTCAGGAAATAAAATGGGTGCATGTGGTTTTAGTTTCCTTACATCACTCTGTTGCAAAGATGATTTGGCAGCTTGGATGAAGTCCGGTCTGTCCACAGTCCAGTGCCAGTGAGCCTTGGCAGCTTCATATTTCTTCTTGTAATCCAGCTGTTCAAAGAGAAATAGATAAACAATGTAAACATAGACTCAAGCCATTCTTGTAAAAGGGGCACCATAAAACAAGAGTGAAAAGGATTTTTTTTTTATTCCTAAAAATAAATACGTAACTAAATGTTTGGTGGTGCAGACGCAAACTTCCAAGTCTAGGAATTCTGGCACTCCCCATAAAGTTTCACTTTCCCTTAGCCATTTATGTTGGCCATCCAAGGCTGAGCAGTTGATAAATCTCCTATTTTTACCAGTAGGCAGGGAATGCAAAACCCCCCCCACAATATATAATAATGAGTGGGCTATGTTTGCCATGGCTTGCGGACTGTACAAGGCTGCAGACAAACAGGTCTGCCACTTTCTACTTTTCCATCCATATCTGCCTTTTTCTCGCTCTTCTACAGAATTTTAGCTCTGCTTGTGTGCTGCTGTGGAACAAGCATGGGGAAAGGCATAGCCTTAAAAGGAAAAAGACAAAAGATTAGCCAGGTAGTGGGTTTTATGTTTGGAACGACCAAATTTTTTTAGCTGTCAGGAATACAGCATGTTAAAAAGGATGGTTTGTTCATACATGGCTCTTTCAGGAAGTTGGAACCTGGGAATTTGCACCACCTACAATTTGTACTCTGCCCAAAGGGATGGGGGTGGACATTTCTCTATCCCACACATATCTAAAGTTGGCATGAGATGCACTGCCTCATCCGATCCGGCTAGGAGTTTTCGTAAGCGTATGGAAATTAGGCACCGAAAGAGGCCTCAGCTGAGTGGGACCTGGGAGCCCTACTCCCTCAGTTTCCTTTGTAAGGCTTAGTCACCGGCAACAATAGCACTGGACTCACATTGCTGTTTACTTTGTAGGCCTGCTTGGCAGCTTTGATATGAACGGAATCCGGTACAACGTTGCAGTGAGACTTATTCTGTTGATAGACTTCTTTGTATTTCAGCTGTCGAAAGAACAAGAAGGTTAACGTTGCACATCTCTTTACACGGCTAAACAGAAATCACCCCAGGGAAAATTGTGTTAATCTGCCCTGGTAGGTCCAAGGAGATACTGAATTTAGCAGTATCCACTGAGCAGTGGAGTCCCATTTGCCCTAAGAGAACAACCTCCGCTGCATCAAAGTTTCGTCCTCCACCGGCAGCCTCCAGCCCCACCTCCCACACTGTTCCAGAAGGTTCCCCCCAGCCCACCAGAATTGCATGAGGGTTGTGTTAGGAGCTGCAGGAGAGAAACAGGGATTTGGCAAATGTCACTTCCGATCTTCTGCCATATGGGAGAGTCTGCTCCTGCTGGTGGAAGCAAAGTCTAGTACCAACCCATAATACGTAAGCCTACGGACCTTTCTCTTAATCCCCATAAAAAGGTAAGCAATCTGAGTGGTAAATAATGTGTAAATATGAAAAAATTCAGTAATTCATTAATAAATTCATTCATTCATTCTCCTACCATGAATCTATTGTTTCAACAAGTATTGGCCTATAGCAAATAACCATACTTATAAACACTGCTATGAAATGTTAACTACATTGAAAATAAAGAATGATGTTTAAATAGTCTAAGGCTTAGCTTTTATAGTGACGCAAACAAAATCTAATATATATCATCTTACAGACTAATGACCAAAAAATGAATTTGGAACTTTGCTAGACACAGTTTATATAGAATGATTGGTCTCACCTGAAGCGTAGATTTGCGAGTAGGGATGCTGGAGCCAATGAGCGGAGTCATGTCCTATCCCATTGGCTCCAGCATTCTGCGAGGTAAATGATATTGTTTACTTACATCGCTTATTCTGTCCTTGACCTTCCGTACGTGGAGTAACATGGGAGTATCATGGATTGTGGTATATCCCTTTGGCTTGGCCTTGTTATATTCCAGTTTGTAGAGGATCTGGCAGCAAGAAAGGGCCAAGTTAAGTACAAGCAGTCATTAGAAATAGCATTTTAATTTCTTTTTAAAAAAATACCCAAAGTGAACAGATATGTATACAGTGGTACCTCGGGTTACATACGTTTCAGGTTACAGACTCTGCTAACCCAGAAATAATACCTCAGGTTAAGAACTTTGCTTCAGGATGAGAACAGAAATCGTGCTCCTGTGGCGTGGCGGTAGCTGGAGGCCCCACAGGCTAAAGTGGTGCTTCAGGTTAAGAACAGTTTCAGGTTAAGAACGGACCTCCGGAATGAATTAAGTACTTAACCCGAGGTACCACTGTACAACAATATGCATTGTTGTAGTTTACCTTAGACTACCTGAAGGAACTGGAGAAGGCCTGCTCCATCCACTTTCCCATTCACTCCCATGGGTTTTCCACTGATGTGCTGAACAGGACTGGATTGGAGGATATATCTCCCCAGTCAGAACCTTACCCACCCAGTGCACTGTCCCAGCCTCCAAGCTGGTCCTGCTTGTGGATTTCACAACTGGTTGGTGAGGATGCTGGACTGTGATGGGCCTTTTGACCAGATCTTCTATCCTTAACCCACCCTCCATGTGCATGAGGAAGCACACAGTTCCTCCCCATCTCCTAGTGAGCTGTCTCCTACCTGTAAACGTGGGGAGGGGATGTCCAAATGCTGCCCAGGTACACACAGTCTTGCCCAGGTGAAAAACTGCATGCTTGATTACTGCACTAAAGTAGGAAATCAGCTAGGCAGTTTTCACCTTCATGATCTGAGCACTCTCTACACAGGCAGCACTGGGATGTTCTGCTTTGGCAGGTGGAAGTGGTAGAGGGAGGGATGATGTGCTAAGCGTTTAGGGTCATAATCATGGCTATCAGGCTTGGACTGCAACCCTTCCAACCATTGGCACTTATCTTATCTGGACCTGCTTTTTACTCAAAAGTCTGCATGAGCGCATCCTCCTGGTAAGCTTTCCACTTTCCTAACGTATGCTTTGAAGCGCAGGAAGAGCAATGGAGAAAGCATGGTACATTGTTTCTTACACTAAGTATGTAACCTCTCACATGTGGGTGCGCTACTTGTGCCCAGCCAGTGGCTTCCTATCTACAATGGAGAGAAGGCAGAGGGTCAGGGCAGATTGTGGGTGGAAACATGGGTTGGGTGGTGTAGGAGGATGCTGGCTAGTATAAGGAAGACGCCAGGCTCAATCCCTCCATAGGCAATTGACCAATTTTTGGGTTAGTCACTGTTTCTCAACCTAACCTACCTTACAGGGTTGCTGGGATAAATTAGACAAAGCCAATTTCGCCACTCTGTGCAACTTGGAAGAAGAGTTGGATGGGTGTGGAACTGTCCCATCTACCCCCAGCCACACAATGCATCCATCTTCCGTAACACGGTGCATCCCAGATGTTGTCAGACTGCAATTCCCATTGACCTCAGCCAGCATGGCCAATAGTGAGAGATGATGGGAGTTGTAGTCCAGCAGCTTCTGGAGGGCACCAGGCTGGGGGAGACTGCACTAAGCTGTTGGTGGTTGCTGAAGTTCCCAAGCTCACTCACTTGCCTGAGCATTTTTAGGCAGACAGTCCTTGTTGCTGTTTCCCTCAGCTTCACAGTTCCTAACAGCAGCCCTGACCCCAAACTGGCAAGCTGTGTTTCTCTTACTGTCTTTTTCCTCTCCCATCCCATCAGTCCGAAGAAAAACCCTGGCTATCCCCATCGTTGTCACACAAAGATTAGTCCAGAAAGACACCATACCATACTGTTCCTCCCTGCCCCCCATTGGTCATGACAATTTCCACACTTACATCACTGATTTGCTTGTTGACTTTTGTCGTCCTCAGGTGTTCCGGAGTATCCACAATCGATGTAAACTTGTCCTTCTGCTTTTCATACAGCTGTTTGTATTTGTACTGTGGAATTTTTTTTTAAAAAAAGCAGCAGTAAATGGTGGGGAATGACAGCAAATCAACAACAACACCCCACCACAAATGCACATTTTAAGAAGAGTCCTAGCCTTAGCCTGCCTGTTCCAGCAGCTGTCATAGAAGTCAACCGAAACTGTGTACGTGGGGGGAGCCAAGCCCACACAATGGAAATGCCGGAGTTAAGCTTGCTTTTGGTTACGCTGACTTCTAAACAGGTCAAGTGTGGGGCAGTGGCTGGAGCACTAGATTTGGACATGGGAGCTTGTATCTAAACACCCTTCAGCTATGTGCTTCCAGGGTTGGCCTTTGGCAAGTCATCATCTTTAACTTATCCCACAGACTTGATGTGAGGATAAAAATGGGATAATCCTTTGCATCATCCTTCCCTGGGCCGGAAGCAAACACAACCAATAAAGGAACTAAACTAGCAGGGTTTGCCGCTAGTGGATAAAACCCCAAACTCTACGATCGCACTAAGAAATCAAAGAAGGCATTTAGCCGAATAAGAAGAGTGGGTGAGTAAGCATTTAAAAAATGGGTTTAAGAAGGGTCCCCACCCCCTGCTTAGTCAAGCCCACAGTCTACTGCAGGGGTAGGCAGACTAAGGCCTGGGGGCCAGATCCAGCCCAATTGCTTTCTAAATCCGGCCCATGCATGGTCCAGGAATCAGCGTGTTTTTACATGAGTAGAATGTGTCCTTTTATTTAAAAGTTTCTCTGGGTTGTTTGTGGGGCCTGCCTGGTGTTTTTACATGAGTAGAATGTGTCCTTTTATTTCAAATGCATCTCTGGGTTAATTGTGGGGCATAGGAATTCGTTCATTATTTTTTCCAAAATATACTCCAGCCCCCCACATGGTCTGAGGGGCAGTGGACCAGCCCATGGCTAAAAAAGGTTGCTGACCCCTGGTCTACTGAGATGAATGAGGTTCTACCAGTTTATGACTGTGGACGGCAGCCCTGTAGTGACTCTGGTAAAGTTTACTAAGTTGATTTGTACCTTTGGCTAGTCTCTTCACACAACAGTAAGATAGCTTTGGTTAACCATGCACCCAATCGACATTTAAATTGTAGCATGGGGGTGGGGAGGCTTTGCAATGTAAAACTGTTACTGGTGATTATGCTTATGACTTAAAATATATGAAGTAATGCAATGAAATGTATTCATTGGAGAATGGAGAAGTGGGCGTTTCTCTGCAGAACATTCTTTGCAGCTGAAAATCTTGGTCTAGCTTATAGAAAAATTGGGAAACCTTAGCAGTTGTCTAAAAACGATGCAAAAAACCCGCATTTTAAAATGTTGCTTCATTTTCACTGCATGCAAATACAGAGCATGCAAGACAACACATAGCATGCGTAAAAGAGGGGGAAGAAATGCATGGACAAGGAATCTCAACACATACAAAATAATGGCAAGAATGCTCTAAGCAGGGCTTGGTGATCAGTACCACAAGTAAGAAGACATTTGTATAGGTTGGATAAAGAGAACCCAGTCTGTGGTATAGTTAATCCGGTGTATTTTGCTTGAAGGTGGCTGGCACTCCAAACCTAACCATATCTCCATGCAAATAAATTTCACTGATTTCAGTGCAAGTTACTTTTAAGTAAATGTGCTTAAGAACACAGCCTGGCACCCTGATCTTTCCTTTTGCTTGGAAGATCAAGAGGGTTCTCTGGCTGCAGATCAAGAGGGTTCTCCTGCTCAACAGAATTTTACCATTTTATGTCCAAATACTTGCATCTTAATTTGATTGTGAATCCCAACCACTAGAGTTTGAATGCTATCTAATGCACCTGGTATTGGAGCTTTTCATGGATCCACATGGTAACTTAGGTCCAATTTTGTAACAAGAAGCCTACAATCCTATGCACACTTACCTGGCTCTCCTGAATTGTGTTGTACAATGCTGTCAGCATATCTGGTCGCAGAATTTCATTACATCCATGTTGCAGGAACAACTTGGCACTAGCCTTATATTTTTTCTGTGCATGCAAACAGCAACGAAGCACAAAAAAGACTTATGAAGACAAAGAACTACAAAAAAAGCTCTAGATCCCAGAACAATGAGATTTAGGCCTTTGGGATACTTGTGTATTCTCAGAACTGCACCAATGCACAGCATTCACCAGGGGCAACAGAATCAACAGACACAGAACTGAATTTTAAAAATGGAAAAACGAGAGTATTACGGTGCCATCATTATGCAATAATCTGGTCTCCACGCCATTTTCCTTGTAGCACATTTTTGCCTTTGAGCTAAATGGTGCAGAGTTCATTCATTTCTAGGTTATCTTTGCAACTCAACTGACATTTGGTGGAGTGATTTTGACAGTACATTGGTGCATAGTTTATGAGATCACAAAGTATGAATAGGCTCACTCAAAAAGCTGCTATGCTGTTTTGGGTGGCAAAGTACAGATAGGCTCACTCAAAAAGCTGTTGCGCTGTTTTGAGTGGCAAAGTATAGATAGTTCCAGATACAAACAGAGGGGAAACCTTTGTCAATATCATAGGCAAAACCTATGACATCTTTGACTGCAGACATTTCAGGCAGGTAAAGAAGTGGTCATCCAAGAGTGACCATAGCCAGATTCTGGGTGTTCTGGCCAGCTCTGTCACAGTACCTGACTGCTTAGTTCGCCTCCCAATTTGGCCAGCAAGGTTCTAGGGTCATCCACCACAAGGGAATACTTATCCTTCTTCTTCTCATAATCAGATTTGTACAATTTCTGTTCACATCGAACAGTAGCAAAGTGAAAAAGTGGAGGCACAAAGATACATTGAGATCAATGCAGAAACCCTTCAGCTACCCATTAAACAAATTCACCCACTTAAAGAGTAACACCATAAAAAGGAGAACGGATATAGGCAATGGAAAACACAGACCTATAATAGCTTTTACAGAGCAATACTGTGCAAGTATTACTGAAATGTAAAACTTGCTGGTGGATCTTACTCCTAAGTAATCACGTAGAGGGTTGCAGCCTTAAATGTACAACACTAAAAACCCTTTAAATCATGCACTGCTATCCTCCATTTAGTTATAGTTATAGTTCTAACTCTATGCATTTATCACTTGCATAAACTTAGTATAAAATATATGCACATGCTATACTATAGTTCTGCATATAGTCTAGATTGGGACCTAGCTACTATTTATCATTCTTTATGTCTAAAGTCAATGGATAGAACAAACACCATTTGATTTACTGTTGGATAAGTGTTAAATGGTTCTTGTTCTTGTATTTGTATTTAAAAAAAACAAAAGAAAGAAAGAAAAGAAAGAAAGGACAGAAAGAAAGTACTATGTGTAAAGACCATAATCTAGATAAAAAGTAAAGGACCCCTGGACAGTTAAGTCCAGTCAAAGGTGGCGCTCATCTCACTTTCAGGCTGAGAGAGCCAGCATTTTTCCACAGACAGCTTTCTGGGTCGTGTGGCCAGCATGACTAAACCACTTCTGGCACAACGGGACACCGTGATGGAAACCAGAGGCTTTACTCAGAAATATATCCCATTTAATGGAATTTGCAGTCCTAGATTCTCTTTCTTATTTTGTCTAACAAATTAAAATGGAATTGCAATGCAGAAGCCTATAGTTCTACTTACCTCATTCACCAGCTGAGTAGCATACTTAAAATGCCTATTAATTGGACTGTCAGCAACATACTTGAACTTGGACTTTATCTTCTCAAATGACTCCTTGTATTTACACTAGAGGGACATAAAAGACATTTTTTCTAAAAAACAACCACCAACTAATCACTATATGAGTGTGATAAAAACACAAAAAGCATACATTAAAAAAATCAATGAGGTGTAAAGGCGTGAAAGAAACATTGCAATTACTTCATGTAATTATCATGTCAGTAAGTGTGATATTTACTGATTTGTTGCTGTAACTGCATCTGTTTATCTGACAGGGCCTGTCTGTATGGCACTGCAAAACTGGAATATGATACAGTGTTCCAAAAACCTGCTAAAGCTCATTATGTTGATAATTACATAAACAGTGCAATCCTATGCAGATTTCCTCAGAACTAATATTCAGTGGAGATCACTCCTAGGTAAGAGAGCATAGGATTGCAGCAGAGAACAGTTCAGACTTAGTAGAGGATAGACTCAATTACCAGGGAAATGACACCATCCCTTATTTATAAAAGAATACGCTGATGTGAAAATAACACCTCCAAAAATAGATGGCACAGTGGGTTTTTCCACAGTGCTTTTTTTTAAAAAAAAAAAACGAGGTGCCAGCAATCGTATCTTGTTATGCATATACTTTGTTTAAGGTAATGTGTGATCTTGCACTGTTGCCCTTTGTTTCAGTGGAGCCTCAGTAGATAGTCCCAGATAGTTGGGCACTTTATACGTTATCATACCAATGATCTTTCTCCTTTGCAGTTATTGGGCAGTTCAATCAACCTGTGCATGCTCAGGTTGGCTGTGGAGAGTTAAAACCAATGACAAATCTTGTTTGTTCTGAGCAGAGAACTGCTTTATAAACATGGTCAACAAAAGAGGTTTAAAGAGTGTCTCAAGGCAAATCTAAAAAAAATGTAGTATAAACACTGACAACTGGGAAACACTGGCCTGCGAGCGCTCCAGTTGGAGAACAGCCTTTACCAAAGGTGTCATGGGCTTTGAAGACAATTGAACTCAGGATGCAAGGGAGAAATGTGCTAAGAGGAAGGCACGCTTGGCAAATCCACAACGTGATAAACTCCCGCCCGAGAACCAACGTCCCCACTGTGGAAGGACGTGGGATCCAGAATTGGCCTCCACAGTCACTTATGGACTCATTGTTAAAACCGTGTTTATGGAAGACAATCTTACTCGGCCACGAGTGATCGCCAAAGAAGAAGAAGAAACGTGGTCTTCTCAAACTTCTTGTCTGTATTTGCATGCATCCATCCCTACATGCAGTGCCTCACCTCAAATAAATATAAAATCGAATGTATGTGTGTAGAGCAAGTTGGGGAATAGACAGAGAGAAATCACCCTCTTTAAGCTACCAGGCAATATAGAACCACACATACCGGACTGTACAGCGTCTTATTCTTTTCTGCAAGAAGAAGATCAGGAGTATCCCATGCATAACAGCCAATGCCTCTGAGCCACGTTAAATCTTCCTTATATTTAAACTGTAAAGGCAAAATAACAAGAGCAAGGTTTACCACAACATGAGACAATTACAGGAGAGCAGAAAAAATTGTTATTTATATCTCAAAGCCAGCAGAAAAATCTCAGGCATGGGATCATGTGGATACTTGGGATCGTAATGATCTAAGTATACAAACTTGGAGGTAAGAACAATGGCTGTCACTAGAATAACGTTCAAGGTAAATATGCTTAAGGGTTGAGTTGACAAAATGACAACTTCAATCCACATAGTCCTGTTAGGCTCAATCTGACTTTTTGCTGCTCTGATGGAACAAGATGAAATCGCAAGTATGTGCTGTTTCTAATTGATTGCAAATGTGGGCATTTCTGTCAATAGCAATAGATTTGACTGAATTAACTTCCCTACAAATTAAATTGGGGGAGGTGGTGATAGTACAAATGGGCAGTGTTTATTGTTGTTGTTTCAACCCTCATGGCCATAGGTGTCAATGGGTATTCTCAGCTAGATAAATGTAAGGCTAGATCAGTTTTTAAATATTTGCATTTTGCAGAGCAATGGCCTTTAAAAGCTGTAACAACAACATAAAGACTCCCCCCCCCAAAAAAAAACCCAAGAAAGATCATGGGGTTTTTATGCTTGCTTGTTTGTTTCTGCAGCAGCTGCTCACACCTCCCATTGAAAAAGAAAAGCTACATCTAAGAGTTAGTGACTGAATATGGACAAGGGAGGCAGCAGAACTTCTCTTTGTGCAAGTGAAATATGCCTTCTGCTTGAGCAAAGGGGCTCTTTAGATTCCCACCCAATCCCCCTTTCAACATATCAGCTGTTAAACAAGGAAAACTGAATTGCTGTTAGCTGCTCCTCATTATGTGGCTTAGATATTCCTGATAGAAGTGAAGTTTAAATTCAGAATTCAGTTTAACGATCCAGGAGAGCCTGTCTCCAAAAGGCAGAAAACTATTAATCATTTTTTCAATGCATTTTGCTCCCCTCAAGTAACACATTGCAGCCTATTGTTTTGGAAGGCTGTCAGCATGCAATACCCAAGTGTCGAAGTTGATCCACACTCACATCACTGACTGCATCGGTGACGGCACGGTGGTGGAAATGGTCTGGTCGATCTGGGATAGACCTCCAGATTCCTAATTGACTCATGTAGTTTTCTTTGTATTTCACCTACAAAAAAAAGAGCATTTAATTTTTAAAATAAGCAACACATTAATCGCCCGATATTACAGGATTGACATCAGTGATGGTGCAATCCTATACATGCGTACTCAGAGAAGCAACTCCTATTGTGTTAAACTTCTATCCTGCCCTTCTCCTGAAGGAGCTTCAAAGAGGCAATGGGACTTGCTTTCTAACATTCAGTGGAACTTGCTTCCCAATAAGTGGATTTAGGTTTGAAACCAGAATGTCCTGGCACAGCTACGCCACTTTATATAGACAACAGTGCTTAGCGCATGTAGGAATTTCTGGCCAGTCCATGTAACACATGGGGAAACAGAAGAGGTGGAAGTATGACAGAAGCTCAGGTGGAGAATGAGACCAGGGCACAAAGTATAAGGGAAACAAATGCTATAAAACATAAAAAGAGGCAGGGTGGGCCAGAATTAGCTGAGGCTTTGTGTTAGGAGGACCAGGTGTCAAGTAGACTATAAGGCCTGATAGGACAAGGGTTAGACCTGAGGTCACCCCTGCTTTCTCTCTGAAAGGAATCATATCCACCAGAGGCATGACCAGGGGTACTTACATTATATAGGAAAAGGGGAGGTAAAGGAGTCTGAAATAGTGGGGAGAGAGAATAACCAGTGCCCCATAGTATATATAAATAAGGTACATCTATTGTATTTTACAGTTATCAAAACCAGCATATTACTCAGGAATATGCATATATATATCCAATATACATATATATATATCCAATATACATACTTTGCTGATATCATCAGTGACCTTGCGGTGATACACAATATCCAAGGCATCTTTCACTGTGTGGTATTTACCCTTGGCTTTCTCAAATGTTTCTTTGTAGCGCAGCTGATAAAAACAAAACAAAAAAGTATGAAGGCATCAGTTTTAAAATGTAGCAAACATTATTTTCCTCAGAGGTTGTAATAGACAGGTAGAAAAAGCAGACCATCAAGTCCGCTTTATGCATATTATAAACAGCCAAGCAATCCTAGCTTACTCCATGGTGCTCCTTGTAAATGTAAATCCTACTCCCCATTTAAGTATAGCTTTCATTTATTTAACTTTCTATTATAACCTGAGTTTTGCATATTCTCCTGTCTATTTCAAGACAAGAATCCAGATCAAGAAACCATATTATCTAACTCCCCCCCTCCTCAATTTCTTCATTCTTCTTCTGCTGCCAACACAATTATACTCAAAAGTATCCATGTGGACAGAAAGTGTTGCATCCAGCTGAAACATGGTCAGAGCAGACCCACTGAAACCAGCGAACATGACTAAAGTCCATTGGTTTTAGTGAGTTTACTCTGAGTATGTTTTAGCTGCATAAAACCCAAGAAGCCAGATTCAACTAACCTAGTGCAAGGACTACCACCAGTTCAATGGGGCTTTCCCCCTCCCTGTGCATGCCCCCCACCTCTCCTAAATCTGCCTTGGAGCATCGAGAGAACCCACAGCCTAGCGCCCAGGAGGAGGAGAGAAGAGACTGCACAAATTAGTATGATGTTGATTTTTACCCCAACAATCTTGTGTCAAAACAGACTTATACAGATTTTTTATGTATTATTTGTATTATGCTAGTATATAAGATTTCACAGGCAATGAGAAATAGACTCCATATGAATGCCAGACCAAAGAAACTTGATCTTATGTGCAGTAGGCTCACTCCTCTGTGCTACTGCTTCTCGGGAAGAACTCCATCACAACTGTTATAGAACTATGAATAGTTGTCTAATGGCTGCTGACTCTTTTGATCCCTTTTCCATATTAAAAAAAAATGCACCATGAGTATATAAGCCATACAGAGCTAGAGAATAACCCAATAAGTAAATGATCTGGAAGAATTCTCACTGGTTTCAGGTTCAGTTCACAGACCTTGCCTGAACATTACTCTACATTCAGATCTAGACCACATAAAAAAAACCCAAACCATCCCATTTTCATCAGATACTTACATCACTGGCATTCAGGTAGGCCTTCTTAGCTCTAATCAGGATTGGTGTGTCAGCGACAGTTACATACTTGTGCTTCAGCTTCTCATATTGGGATTTGTATTTATTCTAAATTAAGCAGGGGGGATGGAAGAAAAAATAAGTACACCAAGGTGCTTGTGTGATATAGCATTAACTGCATGCAACTGGGCACTTAAAAAGACACTCTGATGTAGGAGTGAACTAAAGTAAATTTATTCACCATGTCAATGATTTGTTTTTCCTTCCAATAAAGTCAGCTAGAGGTCTGCGGCTGGTATATTCACTGGCAAATTGCAAAGCATACCACCCTAATATGCAGATAATCTCCCTGCCATTTCCATGTGTGCCCTTCCCTCCTCTGTGATGCTTGCCTAAATCAGCCTTCTCCAATGAGGTGCCATCCAGCTGTTTGGGGCTACAGCTCTCATCAGCCCCAGACAGCATGGCCAGCAGTCAAGGATGATGGGAACTGTAATCCAATCAGGGGCAGAGGAAGGGGGTGCGGTGGGGGCAGTCCGCCCCGGATGTCACCACTGAGGGGGTGACAAAATGCTGGGCAGCACTCATCGTGGGGCCTGCAGTGTGCCCAAGCCACGTGTCTCTCCTGGGAGTGACGTGGTGGCTCTGCGCTGCCCCAAATGGTCTTCCCACTGCCTCCCCCTCAGCTGTAGGGCAGCTGAGTGGGATGAGGCAGGCAGACTCCTCAGAGGCCCCATGGAGCATCCTACCCCAGCTGGCCCCACCCCTAGGTGCAAGGCACACATGCTGCCTCAAATTCCCAATCGGCTTGCTCCACCACTGAATCCAATTACATGTGCCAGATGACCTCTCACTTAGATGCCACCCCCGGAAATGAACAGTATAGAAGAAACTGATACCTAAACAGGCAAAAAGTAAACGAATAAAAACAAAGCTAGATTGTGGCTTAACACGTATGAACAGCATATTTAATAAAGATTCTGTAAAACAGTTTTGATACACTGCATTTAATGTGTTTGCCAAACCCATTGTCTAGTCTAGACTTTAATGGTCTGGAGTGTGCAGTCTGTTTGCCATAGTAATAAAAAGAAGAGAAGGAAAGGTGCTCAGTCTTACCTCACTAACCAAGTCCTTCACATGCTTAGCAAGTTTCAAGGCCGGTGTCTGATCCCCAGCATGGTGATGGGGTCTTTCCTTGGTTGCAAGTTCGACGTACAAGTACTGGAGAAAGAGAAGAACCATAAATTGTCAAATTATGCTCCATACACACAAGAGGCCTTGGATATAAGCGATTCAGTCCTTCGCTCACTGCTTTTTGCAAACTGAATCAGTGTACTTTTCTTCCTGATTCAGTATATCTATTCTGACTGGCAGCACATCTCTGAGGTCTCAAGAAGAAATCCTTTATTGCCCTGTTATCTTTAGACCATTTAATGAACGATGCTGGTGAGACCTTCTGCACGCAAGGAATGTGCTCTATCACTGAGCCACAGCCCCTTCAACTTTATTTTTTCCCCCAATTAATTTTTATTGATTTTCAAAATTTTAACATCCAATTAATTTAAATTTAACATAAAATTTAAAAGTTGGTTTCCCAGCCCTTCACCCTTGGTGCTTCTTCACCTATCCTCCTTGCTGCATTGTATAACAGTATTTTTATCTCTTTCCCAATTAAGACAAATAACATTCCTGGAGGTGGCAGACACCCTGAATAATCTACTAGGTAATGGGGACAATTACAAAGCACAGGAAACAATCTGGGCTATGACAAAGGACAGGAAATGACTTGTAATTGTATCTACACAGTTTCAAAGCACATATTGATGGGAGGAGGAAGAGTTCTGAATATATCCATTTTGTTGTGCTGAACAGATTCAACAGTGGCAGTTGGTGCTGCAGTCACATGGCATAAGCTCTAGGAGACCATACAAGATCTGTCAAGTTCTTCATTCCTTATTGGAAATGAAAAACGGCCCTCCAGCTGTTTTGGGACTACAAAATGGCTCTCCAGTTGTTTTGGGACTACAGTTCCCATCATCCCTGACCACTGGTCCTGTTAGCTAGGGGTGATGGGAGTTGTAGTCCCAAAACAGCAGGAGGGCCAAGTTTGGCCACCACTGCCTTATGACTTTGACAACATTAGAAGAAGATTGGAGAACTGTGCCAGAGTTATGTTTTGACAAGGTTTCAATAATATTACAGTTAGTGTTGGGGGAGAAATTCAGTTCAGTTAGTATTTTTAAGTGAAATTAACTAAATCTCACTTCCTCAAATTGTACACAAAGCCAAAGACAGCTATCCTTTGAAAGCAGCACTTCGCTGAATTTTGCAATGGAGTTTTCCTACCAAATAGTGGGCCGGTTCACACCCAGCACTAAACCAAACCATGGCTTAGCTCAACACACATAGGCATGCAGGTTCCCAGAGTGGAGATTGCAATTGCATTGCTCCTCTTCTGTTCCTGCGGCTGCCGTAAGCCAAGACATAGTTTGGCTACACATGTTATTTAAACACAGGCCCAACATTGCAAAAACATATGTGTCAAGAGAAATGTGCGCTAAGATGCTGACATATTCATGCAAGGGCAAATTGAGGTATAAATATGGAAAACTGGACTTAAGCTTGGAAATATGAGAAACAGACAGAAACCAAAGCTGACAGATTCGTCCATCCACCCCTAAGTGCAATGGAGGTTTATGCACATATTGATTACCTATCAATATTTACTAATTTGGGTGGAAACATTTGTTAAGGATATGATGCTATCACAAAGACAGCTTGTATAATGAATGGACAACTGCAGATTGCTTTGTATCAGACGCCCCAGAAAATATCTAGAAAGAGTTGTGCATTATTGAATGAGAATTCCACATGTACTATCCAGCTTCATTTCTGTTCAGTAATGGTTCTTACCTTACTCTGTAGTTTTTGCCCTCTTTTGGCCCTGTTGATATCTGGTGTATCGAGGATAGATGTGTACTTGGTCTTTTGCTCCTTGCCTGCAGCTCTGTACACAAGCTAGAAAGAGAAACAACAATGCACTTTCATCTTCCGTAGCCAACCTTACAGCACAAGTGTATTAGAAAACAAAGAGAGTTAATAAGCTGACAGTGAGCAGAATGAAGTCTGATATGGTTGACTGACAGACTCTGTCCTTACCGCTAACTGAACTGGCATAAGCCTATCACACCCCATTGTCATTTTTACTGAAAGCAGATTATTGAAATTGCTGGATCTAACATAGCCACATCCACTACTTTCTGTGGTTCAACTCTGAGTGAATCCGAGTTGACTATCACCCAATGTGATTAGAAGACTTGACCCTCCACAAGTGCTTTATGACAGCTATTTGAAAAATCTACAAATCGCTGCATACAAGATATTGTTTCAATAGCTTGGTGTTCTTGTGTGGGTTCCCCACAGGCACCTAGTTGGCCACTGTGAGAACAGGATGCTGGACTTGAAGGGCCATTGGCCAGATCCAGCAGGTCCTTCTTATGTTCTTACATTATGAACTTGGAGCTCCCTTGACATCACTGCTGCTTCTCACTGCCCTATTCCCATCCCAGCAAGTGGCAGCGCTGCTAGTGGGTGCCTGAAGCTCCATACACACACCCTCTACCTCACACAGCTCAGTCAGTAAAGCATGAGACTCTTACTGTCAGGGTTGTGGGTTCAAGCCCCATGTTGAGCAAAAGATTCCTGCATTGTAGGTGGACTAGATGCTCCTTGTGGTTCCTTCCAGCTTTGCAGTTCTACTGCAAATCATAATCCTATTATTCTATATGCTGCTGCTGGCTGTAAAACTAGCTAAGCCAAAATATTCTGCATAGCATGAACCTTAACTGTGGTCTCTTGCTAAAGAACAAAGAACTTCTCTTCATCTGCAAGTCTACTTTAGAGCAGCTGCCGTAGAAGCACACTTAAAACGATCCAAGCATCCCTTTAAATTCACTTTAAAACATTTCAGTGCAGAAGGATTAAAGAACATCAAACTTACATCACTCAAATGGGTCTTCAGCTCCTGAACGGTCCTGTAGACAGGAGTGTCCAGAACCACACGATATTTATCTTGTGACTTCTTTGCAGCTTCAGTGTAGACGTAATTAGACTGAAAAAGAAATGTGCTTGAGTCAAAAGAACATGCAGTCTCTATCAGCCCAACAATAAAAGTTTGAATCCTAACAAAGAAGACTAATGAAGTCACAGCCCCTTGCTATAACTCCACAAGAATCTCTGGAATGTACAAGTTAGTAGTACAACGTAAAACATCACTTTAGTTGCTTTGTAAGTGGGCCATAACGTAACATCCATTCAAACACATTAGGGTGGCTTCTGTAGAAAACATTAGAGCCAAGCCACTAAGCATAGAACAACAATATCTTAAAATCTGCACCCATACATCCAGTAGCGAACCTTGGGGCCTCAAATTTCAGTGGGATGCCAAAATTCCACCTGCCCCTACTTCTCACCTTCCATTCTACATAATAGCTGTGGCACCCCATGCAACCATACTGATAGCTCTCCCCTAAATCTACCTCTGATACATCTGCTTCTCTATAGCTGTAAACAGGAAGGAAGTGGGGGAGGTGTGCTATGGAAGAGATACTAATCAGCACACACATTTGAAACTGTAGCTCATGATTTGGCACACACAGTGGTTCTGTTAGTCCAGCTGTACCAGCAGAAACCAACACAGGAATGGGTGCAAGTCATATGTAGTTTGCAGGTGTTAACTTCACTGATTGCACACTCTTGCTACTTGCAAAGGACAACGTCCATGTTCAGACATCATGGCAAACCTGCTTACTATGCACAACCCAAATCAAGCTGACTTTGCTTTTGCTCACTCCTTCTGGCTTGTGCTAGGAGATAACAAACCATAATTCCAGATATCATTGTTTTGTTTTGTTCCAATAAAGCACAACCAGTAAGCCAAGGACAAGCCTTGGCTAGATATCATGGTTTCTTGGGAACAAAACAAACCATAAACCCTGATTTGGATGTAACAGGAAGCCAGGAATTGTGGAGCAAAGCACAGCAAAGTGGGACTGATTTTGCTCATGCACAGTGTTTATGTCTTACCGTGATGCGTGAACAGAGTCAGTGATGGGGTGGCACTTTTAGCTACTAATGAACATTATGACAAAGGACTGCTGTGGGATAAAGTGACCCAACACATCTAACCAAGCATAGGGCCTCACTTCCAAGAACAATGTCCACAGCATATCTAATGACCACACATAAACCTTGGTATGGCATTGCCTAGTCTGATCTTATGCCCAGCATAGTACAGTTCACGGTTTATAGTGGGAAAGAACCTCACTTTTAAATATAAAAAGGTATAACTTAAATCAAGTCAAACCAATCAAACAAACAACAAAAAGCAACACTTGAAAATGGCAGTGTTTCACCTCTTGATTATTTGTCAGCAAAAAATTAAGGAGTCGTCCAACAGAGATAGTCATGGAAAAAGAAACATACCCAGAGCTTGCGCAAATGTCGAGCACGGACCATATCAGGGGTATCATAGAGGAAGCAGCCCAGGCCTCTCAGCCACTGCAGATCAGTTTTATATTTAACCTGCCAAACAATGATGAGGATGTAATATCATATCTATTACATAAATAAACCATCATATTATGTGTTATAATCATAGTGTTTTGAATACTTATGCAATAACTGAATAGTTTTAAAAGATGGCAAAGAAAAGATGATAAAATATAGAATGAGTGCATGACACAACACACACACACACACACACACACACAGAGAGAGAGAGAGAGAGAGAGAGAGAGAGAGAGAGACTGACTAAATAAGAGTAGGAATTGAGCCACTAATGCTACTAAGTCCAAAAGCTTACATCACTTGTAATCTCTCCAACGTAACGGTTATGTATCGTCTCCGGTGTATATGGCAAGGAAATCATGTGCCCCTGCATCTTGAAGAAGTCAGTCTTGTAGATCAGCTGAGATACAAAAACAAAGGGGGTGGGTGGAGAATTAGGGTGATTTTTTCCCCATCACATCAGACATTACTGGAATTTATCTATTTATTTATTTTTAAATGTATAAGAGAGGCATACATCACTGATGGATTCCTGGTTCGTTTTCACTTGGCGAATTTCAGGCGTGTCGGGCGTGGTATGAATCTTATCCTTGTTTTTGTGATATACTTCCCTATAGAGCCTCTGTAACAAAAGAGAAGGAGTTATTGCACATGGTGCTGAAACCAATAAAACAAAAGACACCTTGATCTAGAATTCCATGGCCTGCCTACCACTGCTGGGAATCCTGCAGGCAGTACTTCTGCTCACCCGCCCATTCAGTCGGCAGAACATGCTGCTCTGCACCATCAGAGTGAGGCTGGCATCAGTCCATGAATGGAGGCTGGCAGATCTGAGTAGAGGGATACCTCAGCCCAATCCAATCCCCCAGTGCAAAAGAGGTTTGGACTGCAACAGCAATTTCTTGGGAGTAAGCCCCATTGAACTCAGTAGGACTTACTTCTGAGCAGACATGTGATTGTGCTGCAAAGTCTACCTTCGACAGCGAACATTTGTTTTCTTTCTTGCAAAACAACTTCCTATTTCTTTTGCTGATTCAAGTAAGTATGCTCCTTTAATTTGCACTCTGGAGCAAATTGGTTACCGTATTTTTTGCTCTATAAGACTCACTTTTTCCCTCCTAAAAAGTAAGGGGAAATGTGTGTGTGTCTTATGGAGCGAATGCAGGCTGCACAGCTATCCCAGAAGCCAGAACAGCAAGAGGGATTGCTGCTTTCACTGCACAGTGATCCCTCTTGCTGTTCTGGCTTCTGAGATTCAGAATATTTTTTTTCTTGTTTTCCTCCTCCAAAAACTAGGTGCGTCTTGTGGTCTGGTGCGTCTTATAGAGCGAAAAATACAGTAAGTTTTTGCCTGGTTATGGGATCTTCTCTGTTCACATTGCTTGGCCAGTTTGGCCAGGCTCTAAGATTTCAATGAGAGTGACTAGAATTGCACACTGGACACTGACCACCTGTAACAAGGCAGGAGCCTGGAAATATACTGACCTCAGAAGGGAGAATACAACTACCATAAGTCTGTGTCTCTTTCCACCCAGACCCAGGTAGTGAATCAGGAAAGTTGTAGCAGCCCATGAAGAAGGAACCAAAGAGTGTTTCACACTTGATCTCATGCGATCAGTCTAAGTGTGCCCCTTTCATTACATACCCCAATAACAAACATTTATAATAAGGGGAGAGTCATCATTCAAACTATATTTACATTTAAGTCATTAACTATAAAAAATTTATATGCTTATGAAGACATTTTACAGAACATGGGGTCCTGAGTGTATGACAAAATCATATCATGGTTTTATAATGAGATGCATAAGATTCCAACAGGGATCTTATTTTTTATATTTTGCATCATCAAGTACCATATAAATGCCAGTTTCCTTAAATACTATTCACATTACCTCATTGAGAATTTTGTTGACTTTCCTTATGTTTACAAACGGAACAGCTTTGGGTCCAAAATTGTAACCTTTATCCTTGATGTGTTCATAGACTTCCTTGTATTTCAGCTGAAATCATACCAAAAAAAAAATAAATCAGAAAGGTATGTATTTTAGACACAATAGCTGTTTATAATAGAACCTAAAAATGAAGTCATACCATTTAGCAGAACATGAATATATACTTACATCCATGCTAAATTTTAAGGTATCTAGGATTGTAGTTCAGCCCTCTTGCCCATTTCCTGATACCTCCCCATTCCCTTGCCTTGCCTTATTAACACCCCCCAAGATCCTATGGTTTTGCTGCATTTTCCCATTTCTATAAAATAATATAAAACTTATATGGTCATGTTTCAATAAGTATAATATTGCAACCACAGTTTTTGTAACTGAACAGGTATCTATTTATTTATGCAACTATATTTATTTGGAATAGTAGTATGAGTTAAAAAACGATCCACCACTCACATAACTGCCAAGGTATTGGGCATGTTTAGCATGCTTGAAACCAGGGGTATCTGGTGGGAGTTTGTATCCAGTGGGAAGTGCATGCCAGCCAGCTTTTCGGTAGAGACCCTGCCAAAAAATAAAAAAAAATAAAATTCATGACAATGTTTAAATATTGCAATGAAGTCCAACACTATGAATACATTCCCTCACAATTAGGTATTGAGCATGCATTCTCATTTGCTTGGGGGTGGTTATATGATATTGTGTCAAGCGGTGACTATCCCATACTTCCTGTTGCTTTCCTTTCCACAAAAAGTCTAGGGTGGTGGTTGTTGTTTTAATGGATTTGTTGCACAAGAACACCAATAATTGCTCAACTTGAATTTTCGAGTATGCACTTGAACCCCACCCACAAAGCAGCAAAAATCTGGGGGTAGCTCCAGCCCCAGCACTTACTTCATTCTGTATCCTGTAAGCATGAGTTGCCCGCTCCAAATCCACCGTCTTATCTGTTGGAGTGTATTTCCCTTTGACATTGTGCACATAGTCATGGCGGTAAACGGCCTAAGGAACATAGAAAATGTAAAACTGATGCTGAATGATACAGTAAAAGCTTATGTGCTGAATATGAGCTGGGCATACATCTGGAGAAGGCAGAGTATCAGTAGTAACAGTAACAGTAACAGTAATTTGTACCCTGCCCATCTGACTGGATTGCCCCAGCCACTCTGGGCAGCTTCCAGCATATATAAAACCATAATAAAACATTACACATTAAACACTTGAATGCTGGGGTAGAGGAAAGGCACCATCCAACCACAGGGGTATTGTGGGGATTAGAGGAGGAAAAGTGAGAGCCAAGTACACCACTTTGAGTTCCTCAGAGAAAAAGGTGAGCCACCAATGCAATAAATAACTAAATAATAAAACCACAAATAAAATAGGAATCTGCGTACAACTGTAAACTGGATCTGGTGATTAAGGTGGGGGGATGGCTATGAATGCTGACTGAATCTCTGAACAGGATACATAGCCTACTAACTAATTGGCTGGTTTGATGTGCGTTACTAAAGCACTGCTACTATTGTTAATGAGAGCGTAATTGAAATGGGGGGGGGGACGACAAATATTATGATGAAGCTGCGGTGAACAGAAATGGAGAGCCTTACCTCACTCAGATTCATGGCACTCTGGACATTCTGAACATAGAGAGGTGTGTCGGTGACCACGGTGTAGTTGCTTTCCATTTTCTTGGCCTTTGACTTGTATTTCAACTACAAGAGAGAGAGAGAGAGAGAAAGCACCTGAACCTTCCCTTTCTCGTTCCCACCACTGACTTTGTCAAATGTCCCACCCATTCGGCAGCTTTTCTGAAGGCACTCCAACCAACCACTCCTCAAATATGCCAGCTATACCTGGCAGCTGCCCTGAAATAAGAGCCTCTCCTCCAACTTCCCAAGAAGCTGAAGTAAAACTCCAAGAAGAGGAAGAAGCAAGAATGATAACAACAATAAGGCTGCCACATTGTTTCAGTCTTGCCTTATCATCATCATCATCATCAAACCTTTTATTGGCATCACATACAAACATCCAAAACAAATCAATACAGAATTACCACTTCCCCAGTGGCACAAAACATTATCAGCTGACTATTGTATCCTGCATTCAGTTAATTAGCATTTTTTTAAAAAAATCAAAGGAAGTTGAAGAGAGGGGAAAGGAGATGTGTGTATTCCTAACTCACCTGAATTCAGAGGAGATAATTAAGTTTATTGTTAAAGCAGTGGTGCTTCTGCTTTTATAGTAGGGAAACCACAGCAAAAAAATAAATAAAATGAAAACAAATAGCAGATTGTTGCATTATGTATGTTTTACCGAGTGGCAAAAGTGTGCAAGGCTGACTGACAAAAGTGCAGTCCGATATAAAATACATGAAGCAGACAGCAGTCAGCTTTCAATTCACCCTACTAACCATGCCCCCAAAAGAGCTGTAAGAGGAGCTTGAAGGAGAGCTAGGAAGGAAGCTTCAGAACAAAGCAATTTGCTATCACCAGTTGTACTCACGTCATTACGAAGGTCATAGGCATGTTTGGCATGGAGAATTTCAGGGGTGTCCCAGACAAAGCAACCTATGCCTTTGAGCCAGTTGAGGTCATCTTTGTACACAATCTAAGGTATTGGATTAAAAATAGAGAAGAGTGAGAATTTCATAGCAAAACATAGCAAACATTCATTATACACAAATCATGATCAAAACTTTGCTACATAATGGAAACCAGCTTAGAGCGTTAGAATTAATTTCTATTGGCTGCCATTATGTTGCTCGATTTTCTAAGTACTCCTTTCTTCAGCAACCCGCTGTTTCCTCAGATTCCTGCTTTTCAGCCAGTTCCTATTTAGTCCTAGTAATACAACTTGTATTATGGGCAGTTTGATTCAATGTCTGTCTGTCTGTCTGCACACAGACAGCAGGCGCATGAAAAACTGAAAATGTTTACTGCAAAAACTTCCAGATTGAAACCCTGAAAGGTTCTCTGTTCGTTAAAAGCCCAATTAATTGTCCCTTTGAAGGCATGCTTCTCCTGCATCCACCAATCAGCAATCAAAGGGGTGTGGGATTGACGCCGGTCGAGAGGCAATGAACACAGCCTGCAAGCTTATAGATGTAGTTTGTCACACCATTAATGCTCCTTTTCCTGTCATGTGCAAATATAATAGTTTTTCCAAAGGCAGACCTGGTATCATTTGCAGACTTACATCACTCAGCTGGTCATTGACTTTCCGAGCAAGAGCATTGGCATGAAGATCTGGGATGTTGGCCCATTCATGGAGACGGATGCGATAATCGATTTCACTGACTTTCTTCTGAGTGCTCTTAGCTGAGACTATGTCCACCATGTCTGGTGCAATATGGATTTTGGCCTTGTTCTTTTCATAGCCTTCTCTATATAAGCGCTAGGGTAAAATAGAATTATTATTATTATTATTATTACTACTACTACTACTACTACTACAATTATTTCTTCTTACCCACCCTTTATCCTAAGGTCCCACAGCAGGTTACAACCACTAAAAAATTATATATTAAAAACAGTCTAAAACAAATTACAATCCCATGAGTTAGCTAACAACTAACAAACAATTCATGAAGTCGTATCTGAGTAGACCAGAATATTAGCTTCCAGTATTTTTTTATAATAATAATGGGAAGCTTCTAATAATGGGCGGGAAATATAAATAAGATATTAAACCACGTGAAGGGTGACATTCTGGCACAAGCATGACATCATAGGAAACTACAACTCTAAGGGGAGAAGCAGCAGAGTGGAGTGCCTGCTTGACCCTTTTGGTTCCAGCCATTCTTCTGCTCAGAATCCCAGGTTTTTCCATCCGTAAGAACGGGGAAACCAACCCATAATGAAATCCAATGGCACCTGCCTTCTTTTAGAACAGATACCACTAATAGAATATGCTCTTCATGTGCCTTCAAAACCTGCTCTGGAGGGTTGGGAGAATGTCTGGAGCAGATTTAGAGCTTGGGATGGACTGCAAGGCAGGAGGTGGGAATTAAAATTGGCATTGATGTCACACTATGGAACTCTGTGTACATTTAGTTTGGCCCTTAGTGATCTACATGCACTTGTGTGAATGAAGGTGACCTATATCAACATATTGTTATAGCTCCTGGGTAAATCACCCTTTGTTAAGCTGATTATCTGATACCTGCAATGATCAGCTGACATTCCCTGAATGGGTACAGCTTATGAATTGAAATTACTTTTTCCAACCCATCACCAAGTAGAGGGGCAGAAAACTATGACGTTGCAGTTTGAGCAGTTAAGAGACACAGAGAGTTGGAAGTTCTTCTGCTGAACTACGCCTGAGCAAGAAGCAGCCTGCAGGAGGCTACAGAAATCTAAGCAGTTGCTGTCTTTGTGAATCTGATGCATGACTAGTGGTTGTGCTGACCACTATGGCAGTCTATTGCTTCCAATAAGTTCTCCTCTGGGCACCATAAGTCCCCAGCGTGCTCTCTTCCAATGAACACTAAATCCTGTAGCACTCCCATCTCTTGGGGAAGTGAGGGGTGCTAAATAACATAACACTTTCAGTATCTAAAACCAGCTATTAACGGAAATAATCTGATTAAAAAGGTGTAAGATGGCACTTTGCTTATTAGATGGTATATCAAAAATAAACCTTACATCAATATTCAGCTTGCCAACCCTTAGGCATCTGGCAGTGTTGGGATCATCCTGAACCCCTCTGGGTAGAGTGTAAAGCGCTTTAAACCGATCATACTCCTCTCGATACTTTACCTATGCAGAAAAAGAAAATGGAAATCCAAGTTACTTAGAATGATACATCATTCATACGGCATCTTTAGGAATGTGTTGCTTGGGTACACTTACAATACTGGCATTGTGCTTCAGTTCTTTGGCACGGACAAATGGCACAGCATCAGGAGGCAATGTGAAACCAGTGGCCTTCACTTTATCCCAGGCATCCTTGTACAGGTTCTGTAGAGGCGAGAATCAAAGCACTGCGGTCTATATATGCTACTATACACTAATGCCTTGTCCACACTGGAGCACCTGCCTGTCTCCACATTAATGTAGGAGTGTCTACAGAACGTCCTCCCCATCTCAGTGTTCTCCTGTCCTCTTCTTTAAATGTGGGGCTTTCTGCTCCTGGGAAACGTTGAAATCCAAGGATTAAAAATCCCACATTTAAAGGGTGGGGGGAGATCTGAGGAAATGTTGGGATGCTGAAAATGTCATGTAGATGCCCTTATTATTAATGGGGACAGGAAGGTGCAGATCCATATTTTGCTCTGGTGTAGACAAGCCCAAATATTTTGAGCTGCTTTAGAGTCATTTTCTATGAGGCCCCAAAGCAGTAAGAACCATGAGTAAGAACCAAATATTAAGACACCTTTTCTGCCTTTTAAAGCAGAAAGGCCTAGAGCTACACGTTCTTTCACATAGTCAGGGAAGGAAACAATTGCTTAAATCCACACAAACAAAATGGATACTAAAAATCATGCCCTTCCACGCCCCAACTTAGAAAAGGCAACCCAAAAGGAAAGAAATTTCAACACTAAACATCAAGCTCATACTTGATCTGTCATCCTTCAGGATGGGGAAATTCCATAATTTTTGGAGCAGGGCTGAAAAACTTCAGTTTCTCCTAAGTGTTTTGTGATTAGCCACAGGTGGCAATTTCAAGAGGCATGCCAGATTGTAGGGATGTAAACCCAGGTATGCTAGCCCCAAGTCATGCTGTGTTCCAACGTCAGGTGAAAACATTCCCCTTTTGCTGGGTCCTCAGACAGCAGTAGCAATATGCTGTTAATCAGAGACCTGTGTACTGTGAATTTTAATTGAAATAGTTCTAATCTGTGTACAGCACTCTGCATTGTTGCTCCGTACTTCGGTTAAGCCTCCCTGACACCATATGAAGGGAAGAAATAAATATTGGCTAGCATACCCAGGTACTTATAGCTAAAAGAATTCCAAGATAAACCACCACCCAAAAACAGCCCATCTCATTAGCCCCTGAAAATAAAGTTTAAACACTCACACTACTGAAAAGGTGCTTGAGGTTCTGAATCCTATCATGATCAACTGTTTCCAAAACTGTGGTATATTGGTCCTTCATTTTATGGTATTGTTCTTTGTATTTCACCTATAATCAAAGGCAGATTCAATCATTACTGTAGTTCCCTTTACAATTCAAGGGAAGGGAAGAGAATGAACCAGGGCAAAGGAAAGGAGGAGAATGACTCACATCGCTAGCGTTGATGCCACTCTCGATAGCAGTTATATAAACTGGAGTGTCCATAACCACACCGTAGTTCTGTAAATTGTCTTTTCCTGCTTTTGTGTAGAGCAACTGTGAAACCAAGGCAAAAAGAAGGCATTAGGACAGAGAACAGCTACACTGGATTATTTAGCAACTCTAAGCACACTGTGTAGCGATGGGATTCCTTCTTTGGTTTCTTTGAGGTCCCTTTGGCAGGTATGGGGAATAAATCGCCTTAATATAGAAACGTGCTACTAATCAGATGTGGTTTTTTAAAAATGTTAGTTAGTGCACTTAGCACTTTCAAGGAAGCTAACAGCTGTTTTAAGTGCAGTAGCTTGCTTTATTGTCTGGAAGGAAAGATGGCCGCTGCCATATTTTAATGAATTTATGCCTGCATTTATCCACAAGTGGGAAATTCCAACAATTCTAAGGACTTGTCTTATACTGAGTCAGGATGTAGTTCAGTACTGTCTATGACTCTGATTGAAAAGAGATCTCTGAGGCCTGAGGCAGGCATCTTTCCTAATCCTGCTACCCAATATTCTTTAGCACCTCTATGAATGGGAAATGGTGCAAACCCCAAACTGATCAAATAAAGAAACCTTATAGAGAGACATGGTTCCCAGTTCCAGCACCATCACCACCACCACTATCCCTGTATTAGGCAATATCCATTTGCTTACTTGACTCTGAAGATCATAAGACTTCTTAGCGTGCAGGATTTGAGGTGTGTCCCACACATAGCATCCAATTCCCTTCAGCCATGTTAAGTCATCCTTGTACACAACCTGCACATGACAGTAGTAGGGGGGGGCACACACAAATGCAATGAACACATTATGCATTCTTTCAAACATCTCCAGTCATACTAATGCTTTGGTCCACTGCAGAAAAGTGAGGAGTGGAAGTGATATAAGAGATTTACGTGTATTCTGGGGCTGCCTGCATGGGTTCCAGATGACTACTACCATTCCCACTTTGAGAATTCTCTTAGAATAACAGTTAGTATTTCTATAGAGCTATAGAGTTCTTCAAGCATGTTACATACATCATCTAAGGCTGCTGTCCAAACCTGCCGCTGCAGAGCAACCACTGCAGCTGCAACCAAGCCATTCACGGTGGTGGCAGAAGGTGGAGCAAGCAGATCAGGACTCATTCCTGTACCAGCTTCAGGCTGCCATAGCAACTGGACCTGGAACATGCCTGATGTGAGAGCAACTCAGGATCCAGCAAATCCTGGGCCAGTTCAGCTCCTCTCTACCTTTGCAACTCTTCATCTCATGGCTATTTGGCAGGTGAGTGGAGGGGGGGGCCATGTGCTGGTGAAGAATCCAGTACCACCACCCCTGGCCAAAGCCTGGACTACAGCTTTGTTCCCCAAAGCATAAAATCATAAGAAGAGCCTGATTAGATCGCATCAAGGTTGACTATCCTATATCCCACTAGGTGTTTCTGTTGTCTCTAAGCAGGGCATGGAGACAACAGCCCTTCTCCTGAGGGTTTCCCTTCCTCCACTTAACAATTGGAATTTTAGTGCCACACCGCCTCTGTACATTGAGATGGTATTTGGCCATAATGGCTATTAGAACTTGGTAGACCTATCCTTCACCAAATTGTCCACTGGGCTGGGATAGGAGGAGTGATTTGCCCAATGCCTTCCTATGACTTTACGGGTCCGGCAAGATTTGGGTTGGATGTTTCTTCTTCACAAACCACACTACCCCAATTTGTAAAACAAAAGGGCAAGCTACTCACAACACCACCTTTTCCTGCTTCTCTATAGCAAATGAAATGGTTCTCAATTCGATCGGGTAAATACATACGTCGCTTAGAATTTCCTGGGCTCTTTTAGCCATAATAACATCGTGCTCCTCAGGTGAACAGTTCCACTGATGGAGGTAAGTTCGGTATTCGAGGTCACTAAGGATGTACTGGCATTTCTTAGCCAACACGTGGTTTATCATGTCGCTTGGGATATGAATGTGTGCCTTGGTGTCCTCATAATTCTTCCTGTAGGCCAGCTAGAAATCAGGAGATTGAGATGGAAAATGTAAGTTTGGTTTTTTCACATTATTCAGACTCAAGGAAGAGCCCCACCCAACAACAACAACAACACTACTACTTACCGCACTCCTTATCTTTTGGAAAGCAAGAGAATGGACAACACTTGGGAAATCATTTATTTGTGTCCCAGCCAGATAATGGCCCTTCTGCTTCTCATACCCTTCTTTATATTTGAGCTGTGAAGTGCAAACATGGGACACATTAGATAAGACACATAGCAGCCCCACAAGCAAACAGTGGCAAAGTAGTTAACAAGGGAAAGAAGGGTCACACTTACCTCGCTGTTAATGTAATCAGCATGTTTGGCACCGACAATAGGGATGTAGTCTGGAGGCAGAGTGTACCCAATGGCCTTGGTGGATTCCCATGAATCCTTGTACAGGTTCTAGATGGCAAAAGGTGCACATGGGATATAAATGAGCAGGATGTTTTCCAACAAATGTAATCATGAAGAGCAAAAACAAATCAACTAAACCACTATGCATTCTCTACAGCACAATCTCGGACTCTTTCAATTTTTCCAAAGCACAACACTATATAAATACTTCCCTGATTTAATTTTCATTACCTTCACAGGGTTATCTACTATATGTCTAACTATATATGGCAGCAGCCCTCAAGGGTCTCAATGAGATGTTCTTTCCAGCTATACCTGGAGCTCCCTGGAGCAGAACCAAAGATGTTCTGCACTATGTCCTAGTGCTGTACCACTAAGACATGGCACCTTCCCAATGGGTGAAGCTAGTAGATGGGGACTTGCCTAAGCTGGAGACCTAAAGTTCCCTAACTGTAGCACCTATTTTCATACAATATCCTCCATGTGCTGTTCACCCAGAAGCCTGAAACTTTATCATTGAAAAAAACACACTTCCTAATTTTGTGAAAACAGTAGGCCAACTTTTGTACAGTAGGCTACATTCCAGTCGTGCAGAAGTCCGGGCTTTCTACACATGCACAAGCAAGAGGATTGTTGCAATTAAGCAATCAAGGAGAAGGTGGAGAAGGATCTCAGGCCTGGAAGGGATCACAAGTGGCCTGAGGTTCCCTACCCCTGTAGTAACACGAAGAGACATTGAGTTTTCATTATTAGATACACGAACAGCAAGAAACTTACATCACTGTACAGTTTAGCCATATCTCTAGAATGACTCAGGGCTGGAGTGTCATCAGAACCAATGTAGTGACCTCTTTCAAGGTTAAAGGTTTCTTTGTATTTCAGCTAGAGAGAGAGAAAAATTAAATAGAGTGTTAACCCATCATTCCATGTGCTACCACACACACACCAGGATGACATATTCAGTATGCTGTGCTTCTTAAGGGATGAATGTCTTAATCAGCCTCTCAGTGCATGAGGTGAACATACTAAATGCTTCATGCTGGGTTGTTTTCTTTTATCCTTCAAATTCACTAAGTTATGAAGATCATTTTGAGCTCCTTTGAGGTGTCTTGTTGTTTACCTATGTTTGTTATTACATCTGAATGATATAGCAAATTCAATGTCATACCATCATTTTGACAGAATTATTCTATTTATTTATTCTAATACCTTTCTCCCAAGACAGCTCACGTTAAAACAAATTATACAACACATATTCTGTTTAAACATTTCATTCTTCATGAATTGTGAGGCAACTCTTCCATACGCCATCTTAAGGGATATCCCACAAAAAATTATTTACACAAAAATACTGTCATTTCCTTTCGCAGGACTACTTTGGCATGTGGTCGTTTTTAAAATATTGCCGTATGTTCCTGAACATTTGAGCTACACAAATACCTTCATAGTTCTAGCTGTGGCGATCTAGAGATATGACTCTTTTATAATATATGAAAGTATGTATTTACTCAGAAATTCTGATTTAAAGGATACTTACATCACTCTGATTAATTGCGTTTGCCTTTGCCAGAACAATAGCTGGAGGGTCTTCCACAGGTGTGAAATTGGCAAAATTATTAATAGCCTCTTTTGTGTAGAGTCTCTGTAGGCAGACATGATTAGATTATCATAAATAACAGTAACAGGAAATGAATAGGATGCTGCCACAAATGCGTGAAAATTGCATCTTACCTTATCAATCAAGTTCTGAGCATTCTTCACTTTCCGATGCTCCACTGAATCTAAGGGAATCCAGCCACAGCCGCGGATCCATTCCAGATCAGATTTATAAATATTCTGTACATGTTAAAAAAGTTGAAGAATATTATTCACACCTATGCAGACCAAAAGACAAGCTGAGCCTTGATTTCCCTTCCCAGGCAATTGCTCTTGGGTATACCAATATCAAACTCTTAAATTGGTGCGATCTGACTGCATAAATCACTTACATCGCTTTGAAGGTCATATGCTTTCCTTGCCTGGATGCAGTCATTCTGATCAGGGTGGCAAGTCCATTCATGAAGGTAATGGCGATACGGAATTTCACTGACAACATGCTGGCAGTCTCTGGCTGCAATGACGGACAGTATATCTGGAGGTATATGAATTTTGGACTTGGTTTTGTTATACGCCTGTTTATACAATCTGTCGTTCTGGATCTTGCCGGCATGTTCAAACCACACCAGTTTCGGATCCTCTCTCATATTATTGACACCGACGTAGTGACCTCTTTGGTGGACATAGTCTGCCTTGTATTTCAGCTGAAAGGGGAAAACACAGGTTCTTTAAATATCCACACTGGATCTTTCCTAATCCTAATTCTCTGGGTTATCCTTTCTGAGGTAAATGATTTCATGAAAGCATATCTGCTTTGTTTACTTGGTGGTCTTCCATCTCTGGGAATAGCATGCAAGAGTTTTCTTTAAAAGAAGATGAACCACCGAAATGAAAGATATGAAGGATGGGCTCTTTGATAGTGCAGAAATATGTGTGATTTTAAAGCTAAAGAGTGTTTACCTCGCTTTGGACATCACTTGAATGCTTGGCATGGCGGATAGGCACACTGTCGTGAGGCAAAAGATAACCAGTAGCTTTCTCTCTTTCCCAATTCTCCTTGTACAGATGCTGTAAAACAGAGAATTAAAGGGTTAGCACCTGTCGGAAGCATAAGGACTGTCACTGCTGTCCATTAAAACAAAACATGGAAAGTACATACATGATTAAGAATCCTGGCTGCTTCTTTAGCTGCATCTAATTGTGGCGTGTCTGTCAGCGTATAGTTTGTCTTGATGTTATTCCATTCCTGGTGGTACTTAATCTGAAAAAGTAAAACATACATAATAAAAGTCTTTTAGATTTACGAGTTATATATGTATAACTAGACTCACACAATAAAACTCGGTGAATTTTTAAGGCCCCAGTTTTCCACAGATATATGGTTTAGTTTTTGTGGATGAAGAAAATCTGTCTGACGTGTGTACATTGAACCGAATCAAAATAAGAGGTAATACTTACATCACTTAGTATTTCCCCGCCTTGTTTGGCTGTGATATAATCAACCCTGTCAGCCACAGGTGTAAACGGTTGTTTGTCAACTTTTGTGCGATACAGTCTCTGTGCAGAAATAAAAGAAAAGCAATGAGGCCATACAATTGATCGCACCAGCAATAAGTGAAAAGAGAGAGAGTTGAGGGGAAAATATTCAAGGACAGGGACTGTTTCCTTGTTAATGCTTGTCTTGCTTTCTGTCCTCTCCAGACCACACTCAGTAATAGAACTACCACTGCTGAGTTAGGATCTCTCATATGACAATGAGGCACTAACTTTTCAAAAAAAGCCCCCCCCCCCAAGTATAAAATACCCAGACTTTAATAGCAAGGCTAGATATTGCCTATCCAAGCCCAAAGTGCTGGGTGAATGAGCCAAAACATAAGTGAGGAAACTCGACTTCCTGTTTCCCCCCCAAACAAAATTACTTTTGGAACCACAAAATAACAATAATAAAATAATAATAAATAATAATAAAATTTTATTTATATCCCGCCCTCCCCAGCCAAAGTCGGGCTCAGAGCAGCTAACAACAGTAAAATGATACAACATTCTAAAATCAGTTCATTATAAAATCAGTTCAAATCAGATTAATGGCAACCATTGGGCTCTGTGAGGATTGTCAAAGGAGGGGGTCAGGTTGTGCCCTGGCTAAAGGCCTGGCGGAACAGCTCTATCTTGCAGGCCCTGTGGAAAGATGTCAAGTCCCGCAGGGCCCTAGTCTCTTGTGACAGAGCATTCCACCAGATCGGAGCCACAGCCGAAAAAGCCCTGGCTCTAGTTGAGGCCAGCCTAACCTCTCTGTGGCCCGGGACCTCCAAGATGTTTTTGTGGGGGGAGGGAGGGGAAGATAATTCTGCCTCAGGAAATAGCTACGTGAAGGATAAGGTATAGTAACAAACAAGAAATGTCAGGGGCAGGATTAGTGTTAATAAGCATCATTCTTTCCCAAATATGGGGACACAAGGTGGGGACATTAATGCCAGAAAGTGGAGCCTCCTTGTTGAAGAAATTATCATGGTTCTAGACTGCAATCCTATGTACATTTACATGAGAGTAAGTTTTATTGATCTCAGTGGGAATTATTTCCGAATATACACTTATAAGATCGCGCAGATAACAGGTCTTTTGTATACTTGACAATATTTTGACATGAATTTGCTTTGACTTGCTTTCTATTTTGCTAGATGCCTTGTTTTGTTATACTGACATGCATTTTGCTATTTTGTGCTAGTTGTGTTGCTTTCTGCTTTGCTTTTAGCCACTTTGGGCTTCCTTTGGGAACATAAAAAATATAAACATAAATGAAATGCTAACAAAAGAAGGCCAATTTAAGAAGGTGGTGGACTCTCCTTCCTTGGAAGTTTTAAAGCAAAGGTTGGATGGCCATCTGTCATGGAAGCTTTAGCTGAGATTCCTGCATTGCAGGGGGGTTGGAGTAGATGACCCTTGAGTCCATTCCAACTCTAGGATTCTATGAAAATCTCTGCGATTGATACTTTTAACTAGTTGTTATTACCTCACTTAAAATGTCCTGAGCGTGTTTGACGTGATTGACAGAGACAGAGTCATTTGGCATCCAGCCAATTCCACGCAGCCATTCCAAGTCGGATTTATAAACAGCCTGCAGAGTCAGGGGAAAACAAGAACAGTTATTTGCAGCACTTTTTTCCCTGCATGGAGTGTTTCATACCAAACTTGATTGCTTTTAACTTAAAGGGAAAAGAGGGCTTGTTTTCCAATGGCCTACAAAAAGAATGGGATAATAGAAAACTGAAAGGAGGAACTATTCAGGCACAGAATATACCAGGAACAAATATTTCACTCCCCACTTTGATTATGCTGTGCCAACCACCATCTTGCCTTCTGCAAGGTGGTGCTATATCCTATGTTTGCTCGACATATTCAAATCGGGTAATACAATCATGAAAAGAATGAGAGCTCAAATCTATACATAATGGAAAGCAATTATGTGCAATTATATGCATGTGCATAATTGAGGCCTCAATGTCCTGTGTGCTTTCTTAAAGACATCTGATGATTGTCTAAACATTACTGAATTTATATATTAAAAAATCACATATAGTATGGATCTTACCTGTTCACACAAGTATTCTAAATATTTATTATTTTTTATGAAAAGGAATGTAATAATTGTGGAGACAAAATATCAAACACTTATCATTGTAGAGGCAAATGAGAGACGAAAGAGAGCAATAGACAAGAAGCTATCAAGAAAGAGGAATTTCAACAACAACCAAAGCACTTACGTCACTCTGTAATTCATACGCTTTCCTGGCCTGGATGACATCATTCTGGTCAGGGAGACACGTCCATTCATGCAGGTGGCGGCGGTAATCAATGTCACTAACAAGCTTCTGACAGTTCTTGGCCAGCAAGACGGACAGCATGTCAACAGGGCTGTGGATCTTCGTCTTCAATTGATTATATACTTTCTTGTACTCCCGCTCACTTTGCATTTTAGCGACGTGCATAGCCAGTACCATCTTGGGATCGTCGTTAACGTCTCGGCATCCCACATGGTGTCCAAGTTGCTTACGGTAGCCTTCCTTGTATTTGTACTAATAGGATTTGAAAAAATACATATACAATTAGAATCTTCATCTTCGTTATCTCAGAGTGTAGAAAGATTGATAACATTGGCAAGAGTTTTCCATTTAACTCTCTTCCTAAGATGCTAAACAAAGGCTGCATTCATGCTCACATTTACTTGCAATCTAACTATTGAGCAAATCACATATTTTTGAATTCTGCACATCACCTATCCTTTACCTGACCTTTTTTTGACCAACGGCAGAGCTTAATATTTCATCAGGATAGTTGACAATTTATTTGGAGCACGTGAATAGCCTTCACCAAGATGGCACCCTTCACATGTTTCGGACAACAACTTCTATCAGTCATGTTGGATGAGGGTGATGGATGTTTTAGTTCAAAACATCTGGAGGGCACTAGGTTAGTGAAAGCTGGCCCATAATGTCCTTATATCTTCCCTTGAACTGAGAACTTTTATTTTTTCTTTCCTGCATTGTAATTCCATTAGATACAAAAGTCCAGAGACAATGGATTACCAAACACTATCAAATTCGATTTGCATACTTACATCACTGGCAATTTCTCTTGAGGCTTTGGCTGTTTTGATTGGGACTGCATCTGCTCTCAGGTCAATATATTTCTTCATGTCATCCCAAGATTCCCTATAAAGTTTCTACAATAAAAAACCAACAACATTATATTGTCATTATCCTCTTTCAGCACTTACATATATATGAAAGCTCACTGTCAATCAGCTTTTACTTTTTCCTAATCACTCCTGTTTTTGCAGGTAAGAGTTACAGATTATCTCCATATAAAACTATGTAAGGAAAAGTATTTAAACTGCATGAAAGTAATTTTGGATAACAAGTGCTAACACATCTGTTTTGTGGCATATCCACAAGCACAATAGATTGCCAGTTTGCACCTATGCAGGTGCAATAACCCACAGAGAATTTACATGGGTCCTTGCTGCATAATGAACTTGTAACATCCAAAGCCCCCTTCATCTGAGTAACTGAAGAAAGTTGTAGAGTTGTAACATAAGAAGAATGGTAGTGATTTACTTACATGGCTCACATTGATAGCATTAGCCCTGGAAAGCACAATTTCTGGTGTGTCTGGCATCACATGGATCATAACTTTATCTTTATCCCAAGCTTCTCTGTATTTTGCCTGAAAAAAACATCGAAATTATCTCATAATTCCTTCTACACCATTGCTCATATTCCTACATAATTTCCCTTTAACTGTAGGAACATGAATAACTTTTCTATTAATACAAATAGATGCTTCATGCTACAAACTGATAGGGAGGTTTGTAGCATACTTAAAATAATGTCACATTACTCAAAGGAGTTACATACAAGGCTCAGTTGCTCAGCGTTGGTTTTGGCAAGGACAACTTCAGGAGTGTCAACGATGTTGGTAAATTTCAAACGATCCCGAGGAGTGCGATAAACGTTGTCACTCAGAATTTCCTGGGCAAATTTCACCCTCTTCACTATTGGAGACTCATGTGGGATCCATCCAACCCCCCGGAGCCATTCCAGATCTGATTTATACACAGCCTATGGGAGAAAATTTCAGAGAGGGAGAGCAAGATATTTCAGTTCAGTTCAAAAGAAATACTCCATGTGGTAAATAGAATGAATGGAACTTCAGAAAGTCAGGACAAACTTGTCTCAATTACTTCATCAGGATCTAAGCAGTACTATCTCTCTGGCCTAGGCCCAAAACGTTTCTTTGACCTCCAGTTGTATTTCACACCAGCATTTATAACTTTGATCAGCACTATGCTGGCTGGGGAGTTGTGGACCAAAACATCTGGAGAGTTCCAGACTTGTGTAGATTGGGCTAGATAGAGTGGGCAGAAAGATTATCCAATCCATACATATGATGGATTCGGTTATGGATTCATTAGCTATTTTTAGATATGCCAAGTCTATCACGTCACTCTTGTCTGCATGATGTGTTGGACATTCTGAATTAAAAATCTTTCAGTTCTTCCTCTCAAGGTACTCATGATGAAATCAAGTGAAGATTAACTTACGTGAAAATGTGACAAGGCAAGTTTTCATTAACACAACAAAGTAAAAATTAAGAAAAGGAAATCTTCCACAACTATCTATCACAATGTCTCTTTTGCCTTCTGTCCCAGCAGCAAAGGACAGATATACTTACATCACTTTGCAAAGGACAGATATACTTACATCGCTCTGTAGTTCGTAGGCCTTCCTTGCCTGGATCACATCATTCTGGTCGGGCAGACAAGACCACTGGTGCAGATGTTGACGATAGTCCACCTCACTTACTAAAGACTGGCATAGCTTGGCTGCTTGGACAGACATCATGTCCAACCGGTATAGTAATATTGGCTTTGGATTTGTTGTAAGCTTGCTTATACAACCGGTCATTCTGCATCTTCAATACTTTGGCAGCAAATGAAAGTTTAGGGTCCTCCTTCACTGAAGGGCATCCAATGTAGTGGCCTTTCTGTTTCTCATGTGCTTCTTTGTACTTGTACTGAGCAGGAAAGAGAATTGGAAGTTACAGTTATTCAAACAATTTCCAGGAGAAAAGTTAGAAGTTCTTGATGCTTCAATTTTTAAGGGATTTAGCTATGGAATAATGAGAGGATAAATAAAACATAGTAAGGCTCCCTATTTTCTGTCTTTATGAAATATTTACCTGGATTTGTTATTAGGAATGAGAGGGAAATGCGGTTCATTTTGCATTTAAAGTCACACTTCCATAATTCACACTTTATGAATACTGTATACAGACATGTATACGTATTAGGAAATATTCACACAAAAATGCTAATGAATTTTTATTAGAACTAAAAAAATCCCCCAAAACAAGTCAATGTGGAAATGTGGAGAATTGATAGTTTTGGCCACCCCAATTGTATACATCCTGAGCCTAAGTAAAAAGATCTATTTTTTTCAAATAACTGAATAATATATATGTGGTTGCAAATTCTACAAAGTCGCAATGTCTTTTGAAAAGCACAGCCCACTTTGTGTAATAGTGAAAAGCTACAGATGAAATTTGGCTATCCAAATAAATAGTTCAGAAATGGCAACCATATGCATTTTTACTTGGAACAAAGCCCAGCTGGGCATGGTGGAATTTACCTATCTGAGTAAAAATGCATAGGATGGTGTGCTCAGTGTGCTAAACTTGATTTGGAAACTATGCAAGATTATTTTTTTATTATTATTTAATTAATTTATATATACCACCCTATACACGGAGATCTCTGACATTCCACAACTTAAGAGAAAACTTTAAAGTGATTGTAAAGAAAGGGGAAGGGGGGGGAACACTTGGGTGTTTTTAACAACAGGAAGCAACAGATTTAATTATTGCAAAGTCTTTACAGTGCCAAGTATCTCCAAATTTATCACAGTTAGCTCTTTGGCATTTAAAATAATGGACTATATTAAACTTTCTGATTGTTTGAAAGAAGACACTTTCATAAATTGTAAAAGAATGGAAAGAATGATGTCATAGACATGCAGTAGAGGATCTTGTATATGGGTGGATAAATACGGTTTTGAGGCTGAATTATCAATTGTTCATATACTTTGACATGCACACTCATCATATGAAAAGATATAGCCATTTGAGAAGTAAATGTTAAATAAAAGAGATTGTACCTCACTGGCAATTTCTCTGGAGGCTTTGGCATGCTTGACTGAAATAGCATCACCTCTTATGTCGTACCCTTTTGCTTTGGCCTCATCCCAGGCTCCAGTGTAATGTTTCTGCAATCAGAATAAAATGCACAGTTTTCAATGTAATCACAAAATACCGTATTTTTCGCTCTATAACACGCACCAGACCATAACACGCATGTAGTTTTTAAAGGAGGAAAACAAGAAAAAAATATTCTAAACAAAACAGTGGATGTATGATTTTTGTGGTTCATGCTGTGGCCACAGACATGTGATCTGACGGTGAGTTTGGGGTAGCCCAATGCAAAAATCCTGAGGATCCATGTGGATCCATGCTAAAGTCGCCCTAAAGTCGCAGGGGCGCTGGGGGAGTGAACAGGAAGCAGGAGGAGGAGAAAAATCCCTCTCACACACACAGACACACGGAGTATCAATCCTAAAGTCACAGGAGAGGCAGGGGTGCTGGGAGTGGGAAGCAAGAGAAGGAGAACGATCCCCCCTCTCTCACACACACACACACAGTATCAATCCTATAGTCGCAGGAGAGCGTAGGGGCTGGGAGTGGGAAGCAAGAGAAGGAGAACGATCACACACACACAGTATCAATCCTAAAGTCGCAGGAGAGCGCTGGGGCGCTGTGAGAGAGAACAGGAAGCAGGAGGAGGAGAATGATAGCTCAAGCACACACTCACACACACACAGCCCCTACAGTGGCTGATCCAAAATCGGACAGCAAAAAACTGCAGGCAGGGACAGAGAGCACGGGGTTGTTTTAAAACAGCCAGCGCCGCTCTGCTTTTTTCCCTCCTCGGCTAGGCTGGCTGAAACGTTTTGCTGCTACGTAGCAGCTCAGTGAGGAGAGAGGGACAGAGAGCACGGGTTGTTTTAAAACAGCCAGCGCCGCTCTGCTTTTTTCCCTCCTCGGCTAGGCTGGCTGAAACGTTTTGCTGCTACGTAGCAGCTCAGTGAGGAGAGAGGGACAGAGAGCACGGGTTGTTTTAAAACAGCCAGCGCCGCTCTGCTTTTTTCCCTCCTCGGCTAGGCTGGCTGAAACGTTTTGCTGCTACGTAGCAGCTCAGTGAGGAGAGAGGGACAGAGAGCACGGGTTGTTTTAAAACAGCCAGCGCCGCTCTGCTTTTTTCCCTCCTCCCCGGCTCCGCTCGCTGACAGGAGCCGCTTACACCCGCTTTGCAGTTTCAAAGAGAGCCACGGACTGCTCACAACTGCAGCGGATTCCCCTGCCATCCGTAGGCATTCGCTCCATAACACGCACAGACATTTCCCCTTACTTTCTAGGAGGAAAAAACTGCGTGTTATAGAGCGAAAAATACGGTACATGATGAAAACCAACTATAGACATTCCTCAATCAACACTGCAATCCAATGCAAGTTTACTTAGAAGTAAATCCAACTGTGCTCAATGGACCTTACTCCGAAGTAAATATGGAATGCGTAGGACTGCAGCCGAAAGAGTAAAAATGTGAATGCTGTGTAATATGACATATACAAACACTGCATAAATATAGCTTATATAGATATATTTGTTTGCATGCATGCATATGTCTTATATAACTGACATCGACAATTTATTTGGGGCCTAGATAAGAAACAGAATGATTGTGGGGAAGTACAATTTAGTAATAATAGAGATTGACAGGCAGAAGATATTAAAGAAAGACTGACATTATCCAAATCACAAAATCATCAAAGCGTGTAACAGTGAAACACTCTGACGACGTTGGGATTTGGAACAAGTCAGTCTCTTTTTAATATCTTCTGTCCATGAAGTTCAGTTAATTCTCTTTATTATGTCTGAATAAAAACTCACAAGTAAGAGCCAAATGCCTTCTTGTTTTTAAGAACAGTTAATGATGGGAAGTTGCATTTGACACAGTTGAATAGGTACAGATGCATCACTACACACATTCCACTCATGGGTATATAGTTAGTTAATTCTCTTACATTGCTGATATTCAGAGCATTAATCTTAGACTGCAGCATCCCAGGGGTGTCTGAAGGAAGATGGAACTGAGTCTTCTCTTTATCCCAGGCTTCACGATACAGATTCTAAGAAGGAAGTGAAGGCATAAATGATTGCATTGCATTACAAAAACCTCTTATTTTTCAAAGGTATGCAACTATAATTCACCTGTTCCCAATACCAATTTGTCATCATAACGAATACAGAAACTGGGTAATTCCCAAGCTTACCTCACTGACTTGTTGGGCATTGATCTTAGCCAGGACAACGGGTGGTGGGTCAGCAATACTTGTAAATTTCAGTGCATCTGGACGTTGCTTATACAATCTGTCATTCAGGATATCTTGGGCGTGCTTCACTTTGAGCACTTCCACAGAGCCCTCTGGCATCCAGCCAACACCACGCAGCCATTCTAGGTCTTGCTTGTAGACGTTCTGCAAAGGAAACAATTGGGCTATTAACAATATGGTTGAAAATGTTTCCTCCAATTTATTAAGAAGGCTGTTGCTGCGGCTCTACCCATCATAATACAGAACTGCTCAGCTTCCATGGCTGGCCAATCACAAGAAGTGCATACTACTAATGTGGGTATTAATAAACAGCCCTCTTTTTATCCCCTTTCAAGATGTATATGGCAGAACAACAACAGTACTGACCATGAGCAATACAGATTCTAGTAAATAACTCCAACTAAGGCAATCTAGTCAAGGGGAAATAGGCTGCTTAATGCAGCTTAAATGAATTCTTTTCACGCCTAAAGTCTCTGGAATAGAAAGTAAAAGACCAGTTGAGATGGACACCTCTAGAAGTGTTTAGTTCTATGCAGCTGCCACAAATTCAGGTTTTGGTGCCTTACTTCTTCAGATCATGGTAGAGTCAATTAGCCTTGTATGCATGGATACACGTGTTGAATTGAGGTCTCAATGTCCCCTTGTGTTCTTTCTTAAAGAAGTATGATGATTGTCCAAACAATACCTAATTTATATGTTTAAAAATTCACATGCACTATGGCTCTTAATATGTGACACGTGTTCACAGAAGTAAAACATTTATTACTTTTTAATGAAAAGATATGTAAAAATTGTGGAGACAAAATATAATTGTAGAGCCAACAGTAATAATCCACCAAATGTCATGACAGAGGAAAGAGAGTGATAGACAAGAAGCCATCATAAAAGTGATATTGCAACAATAACAAAATCACTCACATCACTCTGTAATTCATACGCTTTCCTGGCTTGGATGACATCATTCTGGTCAGGCAGGCAGGTCCATTCATGCAAGAGGTGGCGGTAATCAATGTCACTAACAAGCTTCTGACAGTTCTTGGCCAGCAAGACGGACAGCATGTCAACAGGGCTGTGGATCTTCGTCTTCAATTGATTATATACTTTCTTGTACTCCCGCTCACTTTGCATTTTAGCGACATGCATAGCCAGTACCATCTTGGGATCGTCGTTAATGTCTCGGCATCCTACATGATGTCCAAGTTGCTTACGGTAGCCTTCCTTGTATTTGTACTAATAGGATTTGAAAAAAATACATATACAATTAGAATCTTCACCATAGGTATCTTAGACTCAGAGCTTTTTTTCAGCTGCAACACACTTCTGGCACTTCTCAGGTGGGTGCCACTGTATTGGTAATGTAAATATTCAGCACATGCATAGATCCGACATCCGTCATCTGACATTTTTTTGACCAACAAGATGAAAGCTTTGGTCCCGAGAGATTAATATTCTACTTCAGAAACCTTCATCAGGATACTGGACATTTTACTTGGAGCATATTTAAAGCCAACAGCAGCCTTTGCCAAGATGGCACCCTTCACATGTTTTGGACAACAACTTCCATCAGTCATGTTGGATGAGGCTGATGGATGTTTTAGCTCAAAACAGCTGGAGGGCACTAAGTTATTGAAAGCTGGCCCATAATGTCCTTATATCTTGCCTTGAAAAGAGAACTTTAATATATTTTCTGTTTCCTGCATTTTAATTCCATTAGATACAAAAGTCCAGAGACAATGGATTACCAAACACTATCAAATTCGATTTGCATACTTACATCACTGGCAATTTCTCTTGAGGCTCTGGCTGTTTTGATTGGGACTGCATCTGCTCTCAGGTCAATATTTTTCTTCATGTCATCCCATGATTCCCTATAAAGTTTCTACAATAAAAAACCAACAACATTATATTGTCATTATTCTCTTTCAGCACTTACATATTTATGAAAGCTCACTGTCCATCAGCTTTTACTTTTTTCTAATCACTCCTGTTTTTGCAGGTAAGAAATGCCTTAAACATTACAGATTATCTCCATATAAAACTATGTAAGGAAAAGTATTTAAAGTCCATGTAAGTAATTATGGATAACAAGTGCTAACACATCTGTTTTGTGGAATCTCCACAAACACAATAGATTGCCAGTTTGCATACAAACAGAGTTTGGATTTGATATCCCGCTTTATCACTACCCGAAGTCTCAAAGCGGCTAACATTCTCCTTTCCCTTCCTCCCCCACAACAAACACTGTGAGGTGAGTGGGGCTGAGCGACTTCAAAGAAGTGTGACTAGCCCAAGGTCACCCAGCAGCTGCAAGTGGAGGAGCGGAGATGCGAACCCGGTTCCCCAGATTACAAGTCTACCGCTAAATAAACAGCTAAGTAAACAGCTAAATAAATTCCTTCCAGTAGCACCTTAGAGACCAATTAAGTTTGTCATTGGTATGAGCTTTCGTGTGCATGCACACTTCGTATCCGAAAAAGTGTGCATGCACACAAAAGCTCATTCCAATAACAAACTTAGTTGGTCTCTAAGGTGCTACTGGAAGGAATTTTTTAATTTTATTTCGACTACGGCAGATCAACACAGCTACCTACCTGTAACTAGCTAAATAAATGCAGGTGCAATAACCCACATAGAATTTACATGGGTGCTTGCTGCATAATGAACTTGTAACATCCAAAGCCCCCTTCATCCGAGTAACTGAAGAAGGTTGTAGAGTTGCATCGTAAGAAGAATGGTAGCGATTTACTTACATTGCTCACATTGATAGCATTAGCCCTGGACAGCATGATTTCTGGTGTGTCTGGCATCACATGGATCGTAGTTTTATCTTTATCCCACGCTTCTCTGTATTTAGCCTACAAAAATACAGAATTATCTGTTAATTCCTTCCACAGAATAATTAAAATAATGTCACGTTGCTGAAAGGAGTTACATACAAGACTCAGTTGCTCAGCGTTGGTTTTGGCAAGGACAACTTCAGGCGTATCAACGATGTGGGTAAATTTCAAACGATCCCGAGGAGTGCGATAAACGTTGTCACTCAGAATTTCCTGGGCATATTTCACCTTCTTCACTTCTGGAGATTCATTTGGGATCCACCCAATCCCCCGGAGCCATTCAAGATCTGATTTATACACAGCCTGTGAGAGAAGATGTCAGAAAGGAAGAGGAAGATATTTCAGTTCCGTTCAAAATAAATACTTCATGTGGTAAATACTGTAGAATGAATGGAACCTCAGAAAGTCAGGACAAACTTGTCTCAGTTACTTCATCAGGATCTAAACATTACTATCTCTCAGGACTAGGCCAAAATGTTTCTTTGACCTCCAGTCGTATTTCACACCAGCATTTATAGCTTTGATCAGCACAATGTTGGCTGGGGAGTTGTGGACCAAAACATCTGGAAAGTTCCAGACTTGTGCAGATTGGTCTAGATAGAGTGGGCAGAAAGATAATCAAATCCATACATATGACAGCCCTCCAATCGGTTATGGATTCTGAACTAACAACATTTCAGTTATTCCTCCCAAGGTACTCATGATGAAATCAAGTGAAGATTAAATTATGTGAAAATGTGACAAGGCCAGTTTTCATTAATAAAGCAACTACAGATGTTATCAGGGAAACAAAATAACAATTAAGAAAAGGAAATCCTCCACCACTATCTACCATGATGTCTCTATTGCCTTCTGTCCCTGCAGTGTTGTGCTGTTTGTTTGGCTTTGCAAAGGACAGATATACTTACATCGCTCTGTAGTTCGTAGGCCTTCCTTGCCTGGATCACATCATTCTGGTCGGGCAGACAAGACCACTGGTGCAGATGTTGACGATAGTCCACCTCACTTACTAAAGACTGGCATAGCTTGGCTGCTTGGACAGACATCATGTCCACCGGTATAGTAATATTGGCTTTGGATTTGTTGTAAGCTTGCTTATACAACCGGTCATTCTGCATCTTCAATACTTTGGCAGCAAATGAAAGTTTAGGGTCCTCCTTCACTGAAGGGCATCCAACATAGTGGCCTTTCTGTTTCTCATGAGCTTCTTTGTACTTGTACTGAGCAGGTAAGAGAATTGGAAGCTTAAGTAATCTGACCAATTCAAAGGAGAAATGTTGGTAGAAGTTCTTGGTATTTCAATTTTCAAGGGATTTGACTATGGAATATTCAGGTGGTAGATAAAGCATAGTAAGGCTCCCTAATTCTGTCTTTATATTATAAAATATTTACCTGGACTTGCTATTAGGGATGAGAGGGAAATGCAGTTCAGTTTGCAGTTAAAGTCACACTTCCATAGCTCACACTTTTCGAAATCAGAACCAAAAGGAACACAACTATGCTTTGAAATTCACATTCTCCAAATTTTGTAATGCACATCTGCGACCAAGTAGTGCATACAGAAATGGATATACTTGTGTAAAGTATGCATATGAAAACATGCATTAGTGAAAATCATACAAAATTTCATTAGGGAAAATGGTTTCGCAAAAATGTGTATATTAGGCAAAATTGCACACAAAAATCATATTAGGAGAATTTCTCGCTAAGATGCTGATGAATTTTCATGAAAGCTTTTTTTTAAAAAATACAAGCCAATGTGGAACTGCAATAATTTACTATAAATGGCTGTAAAATCAGATTTAATATATCTGCTTGAAAATATGCCTGCCATTTTGGGACCAGTTAAACTAAGATTGTGAAAAATAGCTCATCTTGGCTTAACTGGCAATAGCCAATGCTGGAAGAAAAGATCTCTACAGTTTAAGAACCAATGTAAGCAAATTTCAGGATGTATCTGTGCCAACAGTCTAAAAACTGAAAATGCTAATCTAAAATCAGTTTCCTAATATTTACCGAAATATTAGCCACCTCTTTAGCCTTATAGGAAATAACATTACAGAAATAATATACAACAGTGGACAGTACCTCACTGGCAATGTTTCTTGAAGCCTTGGCATGCTGAATTGCAATGGCATCCACTCTTAAGTCATAACCTTTTTTCTTGGCTTCTTCCCACCCTGCTTCATAATGTTTCTGTGAAGGAAATGAATAGCGCAGCATTCATGTCAGCGTATTTCAATTTTTTTTTAGTAAGGGTCCTGAATATTAACTCATGTGTTTAAGATCTTCAGGTTGTGATTCTAAGTGTAAGTAAAGGTAAATTTGAGCAATCAATATGAAAAAAAACCACAAAAAAATGGATTGACTTAATAATTTATGAAAACATTAATTGGCCTCATTATAAAATAGTAAGTCAGTGTGCCGAATAAAATCATCGCAGTAAAGCAATAACATGTTCCAAGCACAAATGCCACAACAGAGCCAGCACTAAAACATCATTGATTAGGAAGGCCTTTGTGAGTATGTGTGTTTAAACCAATCAGAGGAACATCATCACTGTAGATGCCCATTGTATCTCTAGGGGAAGGTCATTCCATTCCATGGCACGGGACGCATTAAATATTACCATGTTGCCTTTTCTTCCATGTCAAGCTCCCACAATAGAATTTTATTGCTACGGTGTATACCGGTACATGTATTCAAACTTATAATGTAGTAAAGGTAAAGGGACCCCTGACCATTATGTCCAGTCATGGCCGACTCTGGGGTTGCGGCACTCATCTCACTTTATTGGCCGAGGGAGCCGGCGTACAGCTTCCGGGTCATGTGGCCAGCATAACTAAGCCACTTCTGGCAAACCAGAGCAGCACACGGAAACGCCATTTACCTTCCCACAGGAGCGGTACCTATTTATCTACTTGCACTTTGACGTGCTTTCGAACTGCTAGGTTGGCAGGAGCAGGGACCGAGCAACGGGAGCTCACCCCCGTCACGGGGATTCAAACCACCAACCTTCCGATCGGCAAGTCCTAGGCTCTGTGGTTTAGACCACAGCGCCACCCGTGTCCCTAACATATAATGTATCATACTCAAATAAATGTTGAAAAATGTATGTTTTTATACTGAGCCTAAAAATAAATGAGTTAAAACTGAGGAACGAAGGGATGAAATAAAATATAAAATACCGGTAAATCCTCTTAGTTACTGCTATCTAACTTCACACTGAGAAACATTGCAATGTTTTTTCTAATATTCAGTATTATGGGAAAGATCAAACATCATTCCAGTAGATGTGACAAAACTTCCTCTACTTTGCCCCACCCAATCTGCTCCAGAAAACCCCCTAGCTTGATAATAAGCTATAAAAAATATCATATTTTTCACATTAAAGACCTTCCTGCTTCCCACCTTCCATTTGTTTGCTCAAGTCTAGGGAATCACGAATTCAGTGGAAGGGCATTACTCATAGCTAATCAGAATTGATTACTACATAGAGAACTGAATGGGCATTTCATATATTCATCCTTTGGTATTCTCAATTCCAACCATAAAACAATTTTAATTGAAAGGCAATTCTCACCCAAACCCCTTATTTAAAGGTCAGAATTGCTTTACAGATGTATTCACATTTACTGCTTACTTTGCTGACGTTCAGAGCATTCATTTTGGACAGAACCATCTCAGGAGTATCAGCTGGAAGAGTAAACTGTGTCTTTTCTTTATCCCAGAGTTCACGATATAATGCCTAATGAGGGGGGGAAATATAGTACTTCTTTCTGTTATAATATACAAAGTACATATTGAGAGTATACATACAAAACCCTCCATACAAGCTACTCGTGTAAGCGGTCTAGTTGGGTGTGTAGCATCCCATATGGATTTTTTATTGGGGATTTATTAAAGAACAGCGGCTACTCCATTGTTAGAAAAATTGCAATGTTTGGCATTTCTAATCACAGAAGCAATCTTTTGCGAGACCTGCCCCTGCATCTATGTTCCTCAACAATCAGAAAAAGATGCAGAAATATGTTCTAAATGCAGAGTTGCATCCAATAGTATCTTTGCAGTTGTAAGGAGGTACTTTTGTTTGATAATGATGGGGCACACAATTTTCAGATATGCCCACCTACCCACTGCTCCTAGGGGTTGGGAGACCTTCTGGCACGGAAGGATTCAATAGGTAAGGGAGTGTGGCAAAATGAGATGTCGCCTTATATGAATGGTATTACCTTTCACAACTGGAAAGCTGCTACTGGATACAACCTATACTTTTTGCATTGCATTTATTTGAATAAATAAAGGTGTTTACTATGATAGCAGTCAGAATGGGACGGTTTTCAAGCAATAACTCAGTTTAAAGGCTCTCTAGCAAAGTGTACAGATCATGAAACAAACTGCAATCTCTGCACCCCAATTGCCCCAATGGAAAGCCTTCTTTGACTTCAGAGGGATCTAAATGTGATCTTAAATGAGAGCATAGGCAGCCTCAAGTGATTGTTGAAAATCAAAGCTGCATGGGTTTTGTGCTTATTATTTTCATATATCTCACTTGATTCCAGCATGCTGGAGTAAGCATCTAGAAGTACATTCTCCTCACACCCAAAAGGCAGATACCCGAGGACCAAAAGGCAAATGCAAAGTTTCTTACATTGCTCTGAAGCAGAGCATTGGCCTTTGCCAAGACAATTTCTGGAGAATCAACAATAGCGGTGAATTTCACAGAGTCTGGTCGTTGACGGTACAGTCTGTCATTCAGGATCTCCTGAGCCTTCTTCACTTTTAAGACTTCCAAAGAACCTTCTGGAATCCAACCAATACCACGCAGCCATTCTAGGTCTTGCTTGTAGACGTTCTGCAAAGGAAACAATTGGGCTATTAACAATATGGTTGAAAATGTTTCCTCCAATTTAAGGTCTGCCAATTCGTACTATCATATGTTTGATCCATCCCATGCTAAATCTTGAAGACTAGGGGTGAAATTAATGGACTTAACCATGGTTATTAATTTCAGTGGGTCTACTTTGAGTAAAACTGAGGTGAATACTACACTTGCTCTAAACACAACCCTGGTACCAGGCCCAATAACTCTTACACTGCAGTCCTTAGCATGGTTACATAAAAGTCCCTACTGAGCAAAGTGTGGCTTGTTCCCTAATTATTGTATTTAGGACTGCTAATCCAAATTATTTGTAGCAGCACCAGCACAAATAAGTTTAGGCACTTTTACTTACCATATATTAGTTTACATTAGTTTTAGTTGAGTGTTTGTTTTTTAAAGTGTTTTAAATGCATTATAACATCGTCACTCCAGATGGCCCTGTAGAGTTTGGCCTTTCTGCAACGTGATTTCCCATTATGAGGTTTACAATGCGTTTTCCTGAAATGCTTTTATGATGTGTCTCAATCCAGCCCAGGGACATTGAAATTTGATCTTTATTGATGCTCACTTTTTACAGCCTGCTTAACCAAGTAGAGTGTTTCTGTGCAGCCCTGCAGTTTTGCATAAGAGCTTCTGGACTGAAACGCATCAGACTTTTATTTCTTTATGAAAAGTCTAAGCATATTTTATCCCATTCAGAAATTTGCAAAGCTATGGAAACATAGGAAGCTGTCTTTATATCGGCTCAGACTATTGGTCCATCTAGCCTAGTCCTGCCTACTCTGATTGGAAGCTACTCTCTAGGGTCTCAGGCAACGAGAGAGACACCTGACCTTTTAAACTTGCAACTCAATATGCCATAGACTGAACCTGAGAGAGCTTCTGCTTGCAAAGTAGGTGTTTTGCCACTAAGCTGTGATCCCATTCCCAGGAACCCAGGTGCTTTATGTTTGCTTTTACGTACATCACTCTGTATGTCATACACTTTCTTAGCCTGAATGACGTCATTCTGGTCAGGCAGGCAGGTCCATTCATGCAGGTAGTGGCGGTAATCAATGTCACTAACAAGCTTCTGACAATTCTTAGCCAACAGGACTGATAGCATGTCAACCGGACTATGGATCTTCGTCTTCAGTTGATTAAATACTTTCTTGTACTCCCGATCGCTCTGCATTTTAGCTACATGCATAGCCAACACCATCTTGGGATCATCTTGAAGGTTTCGGAACCCAATATAGTGCCCTCTCTGCTTCTCATATGCTTCTTTGTATTTAAACTGCAAAAGAGAAAAGAAACACATTTTAGAGCTATTATTACTATTATTATTATTATTTATTAATTAAAAGCATTGGACATGCTTGCTGAGACTAATAAGAGTGGCAATCCAAAAGTTTTGTAGGGCATCAGGCTGGGGAATATTGCTCTTGTGTATTACAAATGTTGAAGATATCAACATAGGGTCAGTCGAAAGGACCTGCATCGCCACCCGAGAAGACCGAACACCTTTCCTTTGAATTAATTATTTCTATAATAGTCATTTTGAAAACCACAGGGTTGTTACTTGCATTTCTTTGCAGAAGTGTGTAATCAACACATCCACTTACATCACTAGCTATGTCCCTTGATGCCTTTGCAGATCTGATTGGAATTGCATCAGCTCTCAAGTCATATCCTTTCTGCTTCGCCTCTTCCCATCCCTCGATATAAAGTCTCTACAGAAGGAGTCATAAAAAACAACAACCATGAATGAAAACTCACTCACATAGAATTTGAGCATATACGGTGTCCAGAATCCCCAATTATTTAAGAAAACAGATGCATTTTTAAAACCCATCCTTAAAAAACGCTCTTACGTGGCTAATGTTGGCTGAGTTTGCCTTTGCCAGCATAATCTCTGGGGTATCTGGCATGACATGAATGTTTGTTTTATCAACATTCCAGGCTTCAGTGTATAATCTCTGTGGGAGAGCAGAAGAAATAGTTAGCATTTTGTATTTTGAAAAGCATCAAATAACATGCACCCTTAGGAACTGATGCTATTGCTACTATATCCATAAACAAAAAATGTATTGTAACATGCCCAACAATATAAATTTACCAAATAATACCAGGATTTTCTAACTAAAATCATATTTGTTGTTAAATCATATTTGTTAAATCATATTTCATTATATTAAATATTTTGTTGCCACACTTACTCCTATCCTTGTGATGCCCCAAGTTAGAATTGTTATTGTATCTTCTGTGAGAACATCATCAACACTTATAAATAACTATCACATTGGTTAGCCAATTGGCTTAATCAAAAAATGGGCAAATAACTGTGGTTGCAAGGGGGAAAAGAAGGAAAGTGGCAACAAGAGCTGAGAAAGACAAAAGGGTATTGATGGCAGCGGAAAATACGAATGTTGAGTTGAGACAAATCTTTAAGCAATTCTTTAAGCAAATATTGACATTAGAGAACACACGCAGAGCAGTCCTAGAAATGCCTAATCACAAGACTCACCTTGTTCATCGTCTCAGCGTTATGTTTTGCCAACTCCATCTCCAAAGAATCTGTGACGCTGGTAAACTTGAACTTATCAGGTGGCTGTCGGTACTTCCTGTCACTTAGGATTTCTCCTGCTCTCTTTACTTTCTCAACTTCCAAAGAGCCAGATGGAATCCAACCGACACCTTTCAGCCATTCCATATCTGATTTGTAAAGCACCTGGAATATGAACACAGATTATCCTTGCATTCAGAGAAACTATCAACTTCACACATAACTACTATTGCAGGGGAATATTTCTGGGTTCAGTGGCGGAGCATCATGCTCCAGCAGCGGGGGGCAGAGAGCAGGCGGGGGCAGGGCTGGCGCATGTCCCAGGGACGTGGCGCGCCACCTGTAGGGGCATGGTGCGTGTCCTGGGGGTGTGGCGTGCGTCCTGGGGGCATGGTGTGCCACCTGTAGGGGCATGGTGCGTGTCCTAGGGGAGTGGCGTGCGTCCTGGGGGTGTGGTGTGACACCCAGCACGGGCAGGGGGGCAGCCGCGATGGCACCCTGCTGGGATCGCGCTGCCGGGGGTGGTGTGCTCCCCCCCACGCCTCTTCCTCCGCCAGTGTCTGGGTTATAAACATAGAGATGAAACATTAAATATGTGTATACTGAAGGACCAATACATCACAGTTACAACCACTATAACTCCTGCTTTTGCAGCTACATATTCATTTAGCCCAAACTTGATGATCCTATGCAGTCTGATTCACACTCCCTTGTTCATTGCTTGGCCTCTTGTTCATTGCTTGGCCTCTGTAGAATTGTGCCATTGATGTCTCATTCCTGACATTGCTTAGAATGCTAATGGAATCTGACTCTACTGAATTTCACCTTGGATTTTGGTGTTTCACGTTATCGTAACTGAACTAAAAGTATCTGGTGATATATTTCCAAAACGTTTGCAAGGTATCTTAAAAATAATTATTTTTAAATTGTTTATTTAAAAAACTAGCTTATTTTTTCAGGTTTACTTTTAAAATTATGCACAAAAGCCTTTCCTGACAATACAAAACCCGGAGTTCGTTCCAGGGTTCAAACAGAAGGCAACCCAAGAAATAGTGAACAATAACAGAGAGGAATGGATGGAATCCATTCATCTCCACTTATAAAACATCGATTTCCGGATATATATGAACTGTCTCCATAAAAAAGCATATCTGGATGATTTGGGGAAAGACACAAATTCAGTGGCTGTGTTTATTCTGCATAGCTTACTTACATCACTCTGGAGATCATAGGCCTTTCTAGCTTGGATGACGTCATTCTGATCTGGAAGGCAGGTCCACTGGTGCAGATAATGACGGTAATCAATATCACTGACCAACTTCTGGCAATTCTTAGCGTGCAACACTTCCAACATGTCCACAGGGCTAATATACTTAGTCTTCCATTTCTCAAAGTCCTTCTTATACTCCCTCTCACTCTGCATTTTGGCTACATTCATAGAATGCACAAGTTTCGGGTCATCTTGCACACTGCGTGCTCCAATGTGGTGGCCAAGCTGCTTGCGATAACCTTCTTTGTATTTGTACTGAAATAGATATACATGTGTAAACCGTCTACCCATAAGAATATTCATCAGATAGCTGCACTGGAAAATCCCACATTCTGAGAGGATTGTGACAGTATTTTTCTCATCTAGATAGCATCTTTTGTTCCTACGCTTGTCCTTCATCTTCCTATTTCATCATACATATTTTATAATAATCTTTAAAGATTTTGTTCCTTTGGCAATATAAGCTTTTTTTCTTCTTCAATCCTTTATTATTCATGGATAGGAATGAAAAAGCTCTTTAGGTAGTTCCGATGTCTTAGGTAATGCTTAAGCACCTCCCGCCATCTTTCCAGTTTAAAAACTACTTTGCTATGTGGCGATCAAGTGGGGGCTTTCATGAACCACAAGTCCATGGTCCCTTGGAGATGCAGAACTTGTCACAGTTCCTTGAATCTCAGCTCTAAATTAATCCCAATATATTTTTCCCCTGGATTTCACCTTTTTTTCTTTTCTTTTTTAATCTATTATGCAGCTGCCTTCAAATATTTTTCCTTTCTTTTCCAGTAAGTTATAAAGAAACATAGTAAACACAAAGCAAAGAAACAAGGAAATACATCTGGCTAAGTCCATTTCACCACACTGGGAAAATGTCCAGTGGGTTGATAACAGTTCCAAAATGGGGCGAAAAGCCCAAGTTTCTGCTTGAATTATTATTTTCCTTCCCATAAATGTTTACAGTGAGTGATCCTATTGATTAATATTCCACACAGTAAACATTTCCTGCTAATAATAGCTGAGCTGCAGTTAATACATAATTAACTTTGACTTTGAGTTTTCTTTTAACTTGCCCTTTCACTAACCATGAAATAATTGTTTGAGGGTTTCATTGTAGCTTGTATCATATTAAAACCCTGTGAAACATTACTGTCTTCCTATATCATGCCTAAGACTCATGCCACTCTGCTTTCTATTTACTACATCTCCTCAGGCACCTTTTTCAATACTCTGTTCTTAATGCTACTAAAGAACCCTGTTCTTTTGTCCCCATAATCCACATAATAAATTAGTCCCTTAACAAATGAAACCAAAATCGTGGAAGGAAATGTAGCTTCTCTCTTATACTGCCCTTCATGGATGCCTAAAACATCCACCACAGTCACACATACTGTAGAATTGAGTCCACAGTTTCAATTCTTTTTTTATTTATTTAGAGCAAGAAATGCTTTCCCCTTTAAAAAAAAATGCTATACATAGAACATATTGGGTACACACATCACTGGCAATATTTCTGGAAGCCTTGGCAGCTTGAATTGGGATAGCATCCAAACGTAAGTCATAGCCATCCTTCTTTGCCTCCTCCATAGCAAGTCTGTATAATTTCTGTAAGGAAGAAGAACATGTTTACTTCATTGCTATCCATGCCTGCGTCCTTCATGTCCACACACATATATAATTTTACAAAACTGACTGAGGTGCAACAACTTGACTGTGCAGCACTTAAACCAAAACCTCCAGGGCAACTCTAGCCTACTGAGCCTCAACAAATCCAAGCCATCTGGTGACTATGGGGCCCACATCCCTTGCAAGAACCACGGACGTTGGCTGAAATATTTGCAATCTCCCTTGGTATGGAGAACTCCTTTGTTTATCCGAGTGGCACTCACCTGACTATAGTTTAGCTTGTTGAATTTTGACAGCATGATTTCAGGTGTATCAGGCATCACGTGGATCGTAACCTTGTCTTTATCCCAAGCTTCCGTATACAAACGCTGTGCAAGAACATAAGCACAAGAGACAGTGGTTATAAGGACAATCGTTCAGTAATCTTAGGGCTTTTTTGTTTTTTTGTTTTTTTTTTAGTGAGGGCATCCTATGAAAATTGCATTAAAATAGCCTGCTGAGGCAGAACTCTGCTACCTCGAACTGTGGTGCTGTAGGTAGAGTGTTGGACTAAGACTGGGTAGAGTTCAAATCTTCAGTCAGCCATGCAGCTGACTAGGTGATCTTGGACCACTAATAATCTCTCAGCTTAAATCTACCTCACAGGTTCCATATGAGAATAAATGTATTATTTGTTCATATTTAAGTCTACCTGATGCAAAAGGCACAAGGTTCTTCCAATTCATGAACTTTGCAATAAAATAGCTGACAAAAATGTCTAAGATACATGAAGTGTATTTTTTTGCTTTCAGAGAAATGTACAGGAGTCACAACCATGTTACTTGTTGACTACCCACCTATATGCCAATACAGCTTTAAAAGAAATGTTAACTGTATGTCATATTGCAAATATGTGATGTAAACTCTGACCAAAGCTAGGTACTTTTAAATCCCCTTAAGTTAAATGGCAAAAGTTAAACAAGGTACAAAAAGCTCCCCAACGGAAATCAGTGAAAATGGAAAAACTTTGGATCACTAGTGCCCTGTAGTAAGACCCTACAACATTTGTACCACAATACTAGTTTCTCAACTGCCCGGCTCAGATTCACCTTATTCATTGTTTCTGCATTATGCTTGGCCAACTCCATTTCAAGAGAATCTGTCACACTGGTGAATTTCAATTTGTCTGGTGGCTGACGATACTGCTTTTCACTTAGGATCTCTCCAGCCTTCTTGGCTTTTTCCACATCCAGTGAACCAATAGGGACCCAGCCAATGCCTTTCATCCACTCAAGGTCTGCTTTGTAGGCATTCTGTGAATAAGAAATTCAAAGAATCATTAATAAAACCAAAAGCTATAGAGGACTCTTGCTTGGGGGAGGGGGTGCCATCTGATTAGGATGCCAGAGAGAGAGAAAATGTGTACACACACACACATACACACCATAATGAGGTGCCGAACTCATGAGTTTATCCAAACTCATGTTTGGATAAAAGTGCCACAAGTGTCAGGATAACATGGCTGCTATGGGCATGGGGAGGTTGTTGGGATTTCAGTCTCACATTGCTGATGTAACATTATATCCATGTTGACATTCCTGTACTGTTGTGTACTGTTATGCCTGAGAACGGAAGTGAGCATCTGTTACTTCCGCTGTTTGTTCTCTTTCTCTCCTCTCGCAACAGAGATGTGTGTGAGGCACTCAGCTCACACTAGCTATGCTTTGTTGTTTTAATTCGCTGAAAATAATAAAAGAAATTCGGAATGCTACAAATCCGACAGTCTGCTTCCTGCTGATACTCTGCTGCAGCCCCGGGAGGGGTTTTTCTACCTTCCCCTCACAGGGGGGCTGCCAATAGGAAGGTGTCAGTCAGGGGTCAGCAAACTTTTTCATCAGGGGGCTGGTCCACTGTCCCTCAGACCTTGTGGGAGGCCGGTCTATATTTGGGGGGGGGGGAATATGAACTAATTCCTATGTCCCACAAACAACCCAGAGATGCATTTTAAATAAAAGCACACATTCTACTTATATAAAAACACACTGATTCCTGGACTGTCCGCAGGCCGGATTTAGAAGGCGATTGGGCCGGATCCGGCCCCAGGGCCTTAGTTTGCCTACCCATGGTGTCAGTCCTCCATGCCAGTGACTACTGCCACCATGTTTGCTTTTTGTTACTTCACATTGTGCAACTGCAACACTTGAAAACTGTGTGGAATTAGAGGTGGGTTAGGAGAAAAAAGCCAAGATTGATGGAGCAGGCTGGGGGAGGGGAAGGATTCAGTTCCACTCACCCTTGTATCCCACCATTTGACACACCCACCCCGATTTTATACCTTATATTACGTTTAGTTGTGCCCAAACATAAATAGTACTCACATCACTCTGGAGTTCATAGGCCTTTCTAGCTTGGATGACGTCATTCTGATCTGGAAGGCAGGTCCACTGGTGCAGATAATGACGGTAATCGATATCACTGACCAACTTCTGGCAATTCTTAGCGTGCAACACTTCCAGCATGTCCACAGGGCTAATATACTTAGTCTTCCATTTCTCAAAGTCCTTCTTATACTCCCTCTCACTCTGCATTTTGGCTACATTCATAGAATGCACAAGTTTTGGGTCATCTTGCACACTGCGTGCTCCAATGTGGTGGCCAAGCTGCTTGCGATAGCCTTCTTTGTATTTGTACTGAAATAGATATACATGTGTAAATTGTCTACCCATAAGATTATTCTTCAGATAGTTGCACTGGAAAATCCCACATTCTGAGAGGATTGTGACAGTATTTTCCCCATCTAGATAGCATCTTTCTTCCTTATCTTTTTGCCACTTCATTTTCCTATTTCCTCATACAGATTCTATAATAATCTTTAAAGATTTGTTTCCTTTAGGAAGGTATTTTTAATATTCTTCAAGAATCTATTAAAAATGGACCAGTCATTCTGTTTTGTGTTGTTTTCAGAAGGGGCAGGTTTAAAGAAAAACAACAGGGGGGAAAAGAAAATAAATGCGAGCATTAGCCAAATCTAAGTGTAAGCTTGAATGACAAGCCTGGGTTGGATGACAGGCCAAAGCTCCATGCAATTCCTGGCACTGTGGTCTAAACCACTTAGCCTAGTGCTTGCCAATCGGAAGGTAGATAAATAGGTACAACTCTGGCGGGAAGGTAAATGGTGTTTCCGTGCGCTGCTCTGGTTCACCAGAAGCGGCGTAGTCATACTGGCCACATGACCTGGAAAAACTGTATGCAGAAAAACACCGGCTCCTCGGCCAGTAAAGCGAGATGAGCGCCACAACCCCAGAGTCATTCACGACTGGACTTAACTGTCAGGGGTCCTTTACCTTTACCTTTTAGCTGTCAACATACTGCCACATACAAGGAATAAAGTGTAACTATTTCATTTTACGGATTCAGGCATGCTTTGGATTCCACCATCACCAGTTTGGGCACTCGTGAAAAACCTAACATATTCAATGAATATTCCTATTAATGATGATTGACTATATCAATAAAATGGGGGAAGCTATTTAGTCCATCTAAATCTATCCCAAGCATCACAAGAGTAGCTGTATCAGCTGTGATAAATGAGGGATTCACATATCACAGCCTTTTCAACAATTCAAACCAGAAAACAAAAATCCACCTATTCAGTAACTGAGCAATAGAAAAATGATATTTTCTTTTAAAAAGTAATAAGGGAAGTGGGTTAGGAAGATGCAGTTCCTATTACATGACAGCATCTGACAACTCATGAACAGAACTACTTACTTCGCTTGCAATGTCTCTTGAAGCTTTAGCAGCCTTGATTGGAATTGCATCTACACGAAGATCATAACCCTTTCTCCTGGCCTCTTCCAATGAAAGTTTGTATAATTTCTAAAAGAATGGCAAAGATTGGTTTAATGTTTAAAAATAGAGCACTTATTATTCTAAATTGGTTTTCTACCAGTGATTTTGAAGACATTACTTACATCACTATAGTTGATCTTGTTCTGCTGCGACAGTATAATTTCAGGAGTATCTGGCATAATGTGAATGGTGGTTTTATCCTTGTTCCATGCATCAATATACTTGCGCTGAAAAAATAGTAAATAGTAGAGGAAAAAGAGTATATAAATTATTTGATAACGGTAAAAGCTGCCAAAAATGGTAATTCGTTCATTCATTTGTTTGTTTCTAAAATCTCTTAGAAGCCTTTCACAATCATAAAACTGTTGAAGTTTCCAAATTGTCTCCAAGGGCAGCCCCACATAGAGAACATTGCCGTAATCCAATCTGGAAGTTACCAGAGCATGAAGTACTGTGGCCAAGTCTTGTCTGTAGTTGGGCCGTAGTTGGCATACCAGCTGTAGATGTAAATGAACTCCTAGGCACTGAGGCCAATTGGGCCTCCACTGACAGAGATGGGTCCAGAACATTACAATGCTTGCACCTGCTCCTTCCAGAGGAACTTTGGATACATAAGACCCCCATCTTTTCCTGGTTCCACTTCAATTTACTGACCAGCATCTAGTCCAGGCATAGGCAAACTCAGCCCTCCAGATGTTTTGGGACAACAACTCCAATCATCCATAGCTAGCAAGACCAGTGGTCAGGGATGATGGGAATTGTAGTCTCAAAACATCTGGAGGGCCGAGTTTGCCTATGCCTGATCTAGTCCATTACTACCTCCAAGCACCAGGCTAGCACTTCAGTTTCCTCTCGTGCTTCAGATGGAACAGAGAGCAATAGCTTGGTGCCCTCCACATATTATTGGTATTTCACTCCAAATCTCCTGTTGAGATTTGCAGATATATATTAATTAACAAGCCGGGGGAAATGCTCATGGTACTAAACAAAGCCAATCATATCCACTTTCTGGAAATGGCTCTGATTCAACCAGTATGAAAATGGTTGCTGAAAGAGTATGAAAATATGAATGAATGGAATGTGCCTTCTTAGCACAAAAATGAAACTCTTAATTAGTTAATTAGGGTCAGATAACAATCATAGAGATAAATAGTTATAATGATAAAATCACTAGGCAAATTCTCAAAGTGATCAGAGCCTGCATATTCCCAGTCACAGCATTGCTAAACCAGCCAGATTTCTTTATATATTTGCTCATATGAGTTTTAAGGAAGGGGTATGAATGAAACTCACATGGTCCATAACTTCAGAATTATGCTTTGCCAAAGCCATAGGCATAGAGTCAATGGGACTTGTGAATTTGAATTTGTCAGGATGCTGTCTGTAGATGTAGTCACTCAAGATCTGGGAGGCTCTCTTATTCTTCTCAGCTTCCAAGGGAACCACTTGGAGTCCAGCCAATGCCCTTTAGCCATTCAAGATCTGCTTTATACATATTCTGTTTGAAAAGAAACAAGCAGGGAGGACAATAGTTCCATGAAAACCTTCCATTACAATTGACGATTTTTGCCTTCACAAATTATAATCCACATCAACTAAAGAGACTATTGTTACACTGTCGATTTGTGTCAGCACAGATTAAACAAGCAATAACTTTTCACCTTTTCTTTACTCTTTTAATATATAGTACGCATGCTATCTAAACAGAATGCAGCTATTAGGCTGATGAGTGGGGCAGCCCAATCGAACCATCTGCCATCAATCCTGAAGGCACTTCACTGGCTGCCAGTGAGCTGCTGGGCCCAATTCAAGGTGTTTGTACTAACATACAAAGCCCAAATGGCTTGAGACCCAAGTACCTAAAGGAGCGCTTCCCTGATTTCAACAATCTCGGGTCCTATATCTGGCAGGGGATTCCCTGCTGGTGCTGCCTTCGGTGGGTGCTAAACTGTTGGTGATGCCTGGTCTCAGGGCTTCCTTGGTAGTGGTTCCCCCTTTGTGGAGCAAACCTCAGCAGAAAGCCAAATGTACATCCCACAGAAAGGTGTTCTGGACCTCTGGAGCAGTAAGCAATCTTTGTTTCGAGATCCCGGCACAATTATAATTGCCTGCTGTTTAGAGAAAGGCTTTCTTCACACAGAAAATGGTGGTTCAAATCCGCTGGCCCTGGGATAATCTAATGTTTAAAACGCTTTTTTCTTATAAAGATACTCACATCGCTCTGAAGTTCGTATGTTTTCCTGGCATGCACAACATCATTCTGATCTGGCAGGCACGTCCACTGGTGCAAATAATGGCGGTAATCGACATCACTGACCAGTTTCTGGCAATTCTTAGCGTGCAAGACCTCCAGCATATCCACAGGGGTGGTATATTTGGTCTTCCATTTCTCAAAGTCTTTCTTATACTCCCTCTCACTCTGCATTTTGGCTACATTCATAGAATGCACAAGTTTTGGGTCGTCTTGCACACTGCGTGCTCCAATGTGGTGGCCAACTTGCTTGCGGTAGCCTTCTTTGTATTTGTACTGGAGGGGAAAGAAATATATGTACATACTATAAATGATCTACCCAGAAGACTGCTTGTTGTCAGACAATTTCTCTGTTTCTGTACTTATACAGAATATGATTCATAAATCTATTAAAAAACGGACCTGTCGTTCTGTGTTTTTTATTTTTTCAGAAAGGGACAGCTTTAAAGAAAAACAACATTAAAAAAATGTGAGCATGAACCAAACCTAGGTGTAGGCTTCCTGGTATATCTGGGTTGGAAGACAGGTAAAGATTCATATACCCGCTAGCTTGCAACGTGTGGGTGCCACATACTGGGAACTTAGTGAAACTATTTTATTGGAAGGACTGAGGGACGTTTTGGATTCTGCCATCAACATCTGCAGGCACCTGCAAAAACTTAATGTATTCAATGATTATTCCTATTTATGATAACTGACAATATCGGTAACACAGGGGGACTATTTAGCCTATTTGGGACTATTTACTATTAAGGGAAGTGGTTTGGGAAAATGCAATGCCTATTACATAACAGCATCTGACAACTCATGAACAGAACTACTTACCTCGCTCGCGATATCTCTTGAAGCTTTAGCGGCCTTGATTGGAATTGCATCTACACGAAGATCATAACCCTTTCTCCTGGCCTCTTCCAACGAAAGTTTGTATAATTTCTAAAAGAATGGCAAAGATTGATTGTGTGTTTAAAAACAGGGCACTTGTATTTCTTCTAAATTGGTTCTCTACCAATTTTTTTATTTTTTTTTTACTTACATCGCTATAGTTGATCTTGTTCTGCTGCGACAGTATAATTTCAGGAGTATCTGGCATGATATGAATGGTGGTTTTATCCTTGTTCCATGCATCTATATACTTGCGCTGAAAACAACAACCAGTAAATAAATTATTTGATGAAGGCAGCAGCAACCAAGAATGGCAATTTGTTTGCTTCTAACATTTATCAGAAGTCCTTCAACATAACGTCATAGTCATAAAACAGATAAAACAGTTGAAGTTTCCAATTTGTCCTCATGCCCACACAGAGCACATCACAATAATCCAGAGTGGAAGTTACCAGACCATGGAGTATTGCGGTCAGGTCTTCCACCATCTCCAAGCACCAGTCAATCTCCTCTGATGCTTCGGATGGAACAGAAAGAGATTGATGGTTACATGCCACATATTAGTGGTATTTCACTTCAAATCTCCTGGTGACAGGTCTGAAGATTTCAGATAGATATTAAATAACATGTGGCAGGGGGACACTCATGTTCTCAAACAATGCCCTCCCCATAACTACTTTCTGGAAATGGCCCTGATCCAACATGTATGAAAACCAACATTTTGCTACAAAATGGTTGTTGAAAGAGTATGAAAATAAGAATGAATGGAATGTGCCTCCTTAGCACAAAAACGAAACTCTTAATTAGTTAATTAGGGTCAGATAACAATCATAGAGATAAATAGTTATAATGAAAAAATCACTAGGCAAATTCTCAAAGTGATCAGAGCCTGCATATTCCCAGTCACAGCATTGCTAAACCAGCCAGATTTCTTTATATATTTGCTCATATGAGTTTTAAGGAAGGGGCATGAATGAAACTCACATGATCCATAACTTCAGAATTATGCTTTGCCAAAGCCATAGGCATAGAGTCAATGGGACTTGTGAATTTGAATTTGTCAGGATGCTGTCTGTAGATGTAGTCACTCAAGATCTGGGAGGCTCTCTTATTCTTCTCAGCTTCCAAGGAACCACTTGGAGTCCAGCCAATGCCCTTTAGCCATTCAAGATCTGCTTTATACATATTCTGTTTGAAAAGAAACAAGCAGGGAGGACAATAGTTCCATGAAAACCTTCCATTACAATTGAGGATTTTTGCCTTCACAAATTATAATCCACGTCAACTAAAGAGACTGTTGTTACACTGTCAACTTATGTCAGCACATATTAAACAAAAGAAACAAACTTTTTCAACTTTTTTTTTACTCTTTTAATATATAGTATGCATACTATCTAAATAGAATGCAGCCATTAGGCTGATGAGCAGGGCAGCCCAATAGAACCATCTACTACCAATCCTGAAGGGGCTGAGTTAGGACTACCATTCTTGCTCACCATTAGGTGGGACCTAGGCTTTGGGCTATGACTTGGCATACCCCTTGGAACAGGCAGGTCCCTCAAGGTTGAAGTTAGCTTCCCACTCTTCTGACTTATGAATAATATGTTCCCTCATTTGACCCATCACTCCGGTCTCACCTATTTGTTCTAAGATCCAGGCACAATTATCACTATTTGCTGTTTTGAGACAGGCTTTTCCCCCATAAGGAATTGTGAATAAAATCCACCAACCCTGGGATAGTCTCATGCTTAAAAGCCTTTAAGAAAAAATAAGATACTTACATCACTCTGAAGTTCATATGTTTTCCTGGCATGCACAACATCATTCTGATCTGGCAGGCATGTCCATTGGTGCAGATAATGACGGTAATCGACATCGCTGACCAGCTTCTGACAATTCTTTGCCAGTAAGACTCCAAGCATATCCACAGGGCTGGTATACCTGGTCTTCGATTTTTCAAAGTCTTTCTTATATTCTCTTTCGCTCTGCATCTTGGCTACATTCATAGAATGCACAAGTTTCGGGTCATCCTGTATGCTGCGTGCTCCAACATGGTGGCCAAGCTGCTTGCGATATCCAACTTTGTACTTGTACTGTGGGAAAGAGAAAATTATTTTCACTAACTTCTCATTCTAATTACATTAAGAGGTGCTCGTCTATTTATAAAGGCCTTATCAAATGATCATCCCTCCAAAACTTGATTTCTCAGGACATCCTAACTTATATAATAAGGCGTTTCAGCTCAAATGGTTGGGCATGACCAACAGTCATTTAAGAGTTTATGGAATCAAAGCAATATTGTGTGATTGTAGTATTGTAAAACATTAAGCAGAATTTAACCATCCTTCTGTGTTAAGGACTGCCTGTCTGAACCAAAATGGCAATTCTACCTCGGGAGGTCCTGGGTACATCTGCAGGACCCAAAGTGGACTATTCCAGGGGAGTGTCGGGGACAGGCTTGGATGTGCAGGAACCTAAGCTGTCATTGTTATCCTGATACACACAAAAAAGGGCCTCTTAGCTACACCAGCCCTGCAGCTGGTAAAGTTAATAGCTTTCCATTATCTGCAACTGGGAGTGGGAAGGTAACAAACAAACAAAAGGATGAAAAAGCTGCCAACCCATCCCACTGAGCCAATAGGGCTATGGGTGTGGCAGATCTCCTCCCAGGTATATAAGATTACCCCACCCATAAGCAAAGTATTTATTAAACCATTAATACAAATAATTTAACATGGAGTTCCTTCTACCAATAGGCCTCCCTTTCTGCCAGCACAGCAGCACTTCTGCCTCTTCATGTTTCTCCTTCAGACTGCCTCAGAGCCAGAGGGAGCTTTGAACTGCTCCCTAATAGGACTTATTTTTTATTTATAAAGGGAATTTATCATATATATATATATATATATATATATATATATATATATATATATGAACGTTGATTCAAGATAGCATTCCAATTTATAAAAGAGAAATAAAAGAGAAGATGAAACCAGGCTTTGATTTACACTCATTTTATATGTGTTCAAAACCTGACACTTTTCAAAACACAATTAATTCATTTCAGCTATTATAATGATTATACGAAGCACTGCATTTATTTTTGGGAAACTTCGAAACTATTTCCCCCCTTAAGGTTTAGTTGATAAATATAAAAAAAAATAAAAGAAAATCAGTGTGTGCACTTATGTGTAACTAAATGTATATATATATGCACACACATCCCTTAGAAAGTTCACAACGTTAACAATGTGCCGAATCAAAGATTTAATAAGCAGCATTGCCATTTTGCTGTCAACCAGCAGAATGAAATACTTACTTCACTGGCAATATCTCGAGATGCTTTTGCCGCCTTGATTGGTATGGCATCGAGTGGAAGGTCATAGCCTTTCCTTATCAATTCTTCAAATCCTAACTTGTAGAGTTTCTAATGAGAGAACCATCAGAAAGTTAATCGCTGTGGAAGCCCAGCAAGAAAACAGACAGCTCAAACACCCTCCTATGCTATCCAGCATCAAACTTACATCGCTCGTGTTAATTAAGTTGGCTCTGGATAGGATAATTTCGGGAGTGTCAGGCATGATGTGGATCTGAGTCTTGTCCTTATCCCATGCTTCTCTGTAAAGTTTCTAGAAACAATGGAAAGACAGTGAATAATAATAATAATAATAATAATAATAATAAATGTGCCAGTAAGAATAAATATCAACTTCAGCACAGTACAAAAGTACATCAAGCCAATGTGAAATGTTGGGCAGGCCATTGCGCATGTGGAATAATAACAATAATAATTTATTATTTATACCCCACCCATCTGGCTGGGTCCCCCCAGCCACTCTGGGCGGCTTCCAACAAAACACTAAAATACAATAACCTATTAAACATTAAAAGCTTCCCTAAACAGGGCTGCCTTCAGATGTCTTCTAAAAGTTTGGTAGTTATTTTTCTCTTTGACATCTGATGGGAGGGCGTTCCACAGGGCGGGCGCCACTACCGAGAAGGCCCTCTGCCTGGTTCCCTGTAACTTGGCTTCTCGCAGCGAGGGGACCGCCAGAAGGCCCTCGGCGCAGGATCTCAGTGTCCGGCCTGAACGATAGGGGTGGAGACACTCCTTCAGGTATACTGGACCGAGGCCATTTAGGGCTTTAAAGGTCAGCACCAACACTTTGAATTGTGCTCGGCGTTCCATGGCACGTTGTGCAAAACCTTGTGAAAGAGACTGTGCAGCACCTTGTGCTAGCAGGTGCAGTGCAAGGTCTTGTGCTCCCATGCACCTTGAAACATTGCTGAATACCTGGTGCACATAGGCGCTAACTCCTAGGGCTGAGGTCCCTTCGTCTGTCCCCCAATAAAATATTTGAGGGGGTTAGGGCCCCCAAAGATGATGGGCATTGTCATTCAAATGGTGTGTGCGCACTGTGCCATGTGATTATCAGGGGCAGGGCTTAGTCCCCCCCCCCCGGACAATATTTTATCCAAGTTGGCACCCCTGCTGGTGCAAGAGACTGTAAAATGCCTTGTTGTGGGGAGAATAGGGGGAGAAGGGTTGCTCAGTACTTAAACCAATGTAATTATATCCTACTTCACAGGATTGCAGGCTTACAGTTGGGGGGGGGGCATCATTTTCCTAAATAAATCCCTAGGCCCAGAAACTGAATTTCCCTTTTTATACCAAATTCATCAAACTGAAAACAAAAATAAAAATGCACTTATCAAAATTGCTACAGAATCCTATGCATGTTCACCTGAAGCAAACTCCAAGCAAGAAAGGAAGTTACTCTTGAACTAATTAAGGCTGCAGTCCTGAACATGCTCCCTAGAGAGCCCTGTTAAATACAGTGGGGACTTACGTCTGAGTAAACATGCATTGGATGGACTGTAAAGCAGTTAACTATGTTATAGGGTATGACTCACTCACTCAGTCCTCCCCACTACCATTCACAGCCATTATTCCCGCTGCTGACACCTGCTCCTCAAGAGCAGCACATCCTTGTGCTAAGAACACTTACATCGCTCCTATGCTTGGCATTTTCCTTTGCCAAAACCACCTCCATTGAATCAGGGATACTTGTGAATTTAACGGTGTCTGGAGGCTGGCGATATCTCTTTTCACTCAGAATCTCAGAAGCCTTCTTGTTCTTTTCCGATTCTAGAGATCCGTATGAGTTCCATCCAATGCCTTTCAGCCACTCAAGATCTGTTTTGTATGCATTCTAGCAAGGAAGAAATCATATATGAGATCCATTTGGTATTGCAAATACCACTGAAGAGGATTTTAACTTTTGGTCCTATTCCTATTCCTCCGTCATATGTTGATTATGGGTCCTTGCCTTAGGTACGTCTATCATTTGGCTTGATTGTTATTTAAATAAAGCATACAAAGTTTTGCAAAGTTTGAAAACCAAGTACAGTGGTACCTCAGGTTAAGTACTTAATTCGTTCCGGAGGTCCGTACTTAACCTGAAACTGTTCTTAACCTGAAGGACCACTTTAGCGAATGGGGCCTCCTGCTGCCGCCGTGCCGCCAGGGCACGATTTCTGTTCTCATCCTGAAGCAAAGTTCTTAACCTGAAGCACTATTTCTGGGTTAGCAGAGTCTGTAACCTGAAGCTTATGTAACCTGAAGTGTATGTAACCCGAGGTACCACTGTACCGGTATGTTTGGCCAAGAATATGGCCAAAAATGTACACAGTGAGAAGACTAGCGCAGGAGGGGAGACAAGGGAAACATTGTTTTTAAGGTACCTTAAATCTCAGAAAAGAAGTTTGACAAAAACGAATTGAGAGATTAAACAAACTGGGTATCAGAAAAGATTGGGAACATACTCCAGAAACAGCAAAAATGAGGATGAACAAGAGCAATAAGAAGTCAGTGAGAATGAAGGATGTAAGCAGGGACCTACCAGCATTAGGGTAGGTAAGAGACTGAAGGAGACTTGAAATCTGCCTTCACAAACAAATATCATTCTAGATATGGTTTATAAATACGACTTACATCGCTTTGTAATTCATATACTTTCTTAGCATGGATGACATCATTTTGGTCCGGGAGACAGGTCCATTGGTGCAGAAAATGACGGTAATCGATATCGCTGACCAGTTTCTGACAATTCTTAGCGTGCAAGACCTCCAGCATATCCACAGGGCTGATATACTTGGTCTTCCATTTCTCAAAGTCTTTCTTGTATTCCCTCTCACTCTGTATCTTGGCTACATTCATAGAATGCACAAGTTTGGGGTCGTCCTGTATGCTGCGTGCTCCAATGTGGTGCCCCTGCTGCTTGCGGTAACCTTCTTTGTACTTGTACTGAAATCACAAACAAAGTTTGTTGCAAAGACCGGAACGACAAAATCCGGAATCGTTAGCAGATCTAGCCCAATGGAGGCGCCATGTCAGAACTGTTTGCAAATGTGTCCTTTTGTGGTTGCTGTTAATTCAAAAGCAAAGCGGGTTGCTCATTCACTTGGGAGCAAGCACCCCTTGAACTCAGTGGGTCCTACTTGTGAGTAGACATGCCATTAAGGCTGCTCTGGAAACAGGCCAAAAAAAAAAAAAAAAAAAACCCAGCACAGTGGCAGCACTACATTCCCAGCCTGGCATGTTTTGGTGAAAACTACATTCCACCACCAATAGCCTACCTCGATTCAAAATTGCTTGATAACTACATGAGATGCAATGATAAGACTTTTTCTTCATAGGGGACATTGGAAAAATCATACAGTAGGACATCTATTATTCTACAAGGGAACCATAGGTGCTTTGGCTGGTCTGTGCTGCTATACACACCATGGCACCTCAGAGGTGAGGGAGAAAGTACTCTGCATGCACTTAGTTGGCAAGGTACCTGGAAGAGTGAGGGGCGGGTGAAGCTCGATGGAATGCAACAAGCTCTGGCCCTGAAAACCATTTACATGACTGAGTCCTAGAGAGCGTGACTGAATGCATCAAAGGTGTACTACAATACTACTTACATCACTAGCAATGTCCCTTGATGCTTTTGCAGATTTCACTGAGATTGCTTCAGCGGTGAGGTCATAACCTTTCTTCAACAATTCTTCCCATCCAAGTTTGTACAGTTTCTAATATGGAAAGCAAGAAGAGTAAAAAAAAGCTCAGTATATAACAGGCATTTCTTCCACTGGAGGTATATATCAGAATATATTTTTGGAATATTTGAGTGTGGAACAGTTAAGAAATTGCACAAGGAACACCAAATAGTTCTTAGCTTCCCTCTAAACTCCTGTGCTGTTATAGCTAGGGCAGAGTTAAATTTAATGAGCGAACATTTTTGTTGGGGGTGGGGAGGTGAATGATTGAGTCCCTTGAAATACTCTTCAAAAGATGCTTCTAAGCCTTTTTTACAGTGGCTCACTCCCAATCTTTATTGCCTCATCTGGCAGGTCCTTGGGCATCCCCCCCCCCATCCCTCAACACTGCAAAAAGGAGTCTTGCTGGCTATATGATCCTGCCAAGCAGGGATCATGAAGCAGGGAGATGTCACAATACCAAAAATGGGTAACCATTGCTGCCCTAATTTTTGCAGCCCTGGCTTTTTCTTTTTCAAAAGGCTGTTGCTGAAACAGGAGGTGCTTTTCACAAGGAGAAGAGGCATTAAAAAAAAAGGCATCTCACCACCTGTTTCAACTCATTCTAGTATTGCCCAAGGAAAAATCTGAAAATTTGCTTCAGATTTCATTTGAGGTGAAATCTGGTGACGATCTAGATATTTTCGGAGACCCCTGAGAAATTTCTGTTAGTGTTTCCCCAACTCTTGGCTTTCCCTGTATTTCATTCAAAGGGTGGAGGGAAGGTTCTGAAATTTCCTTAAAATGCTGCTTTAGGTAAAATGTGATGACAATACAGAGAGGTGCAGAAAGCCCTGAGAAATTTCACTAGTGTGATCACAAATCTAGGCCTGCCTCAAAACTCCTCTTGTTTGTTCTGACACGAAGCACTCGCTTCAGATTTCACTTCAGGTGAATGTCAAATACAATTGGAAATGACCTTCTAATAACTAAAGAAAACAAAGGCATTCCTACAAAATATATCCGAGCCAGAGAATTTGCATACGAATAGTATATTAACCAACACAACGCATTGTTACATATTTCTATACCTGGCTGTAATTGTACTTGTTTGCTTTGGCCTGCATAATGTCGGGTGTATCTGGCATCACGTGAATCTTCGTCTTATCCTTCTCCCACGCATCTATATATGAATGCTATTAGGAAAAACAAAACAAGATTAATCAATGCAATTTGCATTTATACGTGCCGTAATGTTGCCATATTAATTTTAAAGTTGTTTATTTATCTTTTTTTTTACACTTTTAGATATAGCAGCCATTTGGTATATCACACCTCACAGAAGCCATTTTGTTTTATGCCATACACTCAGCAGTGGCCATTTTGTATTATGCAAAACACCAGGGCAGACATTTTGTTATGCCATGTCCCTACAGCAGCCATTTTGTGACTGGCACTCACAGCACCCTCTCAAAATTCCAAATGTACCCAATTGGTCCAAACAAAACAGATTCTTTTCACACTGGGTAGCGACAGTCACCTTATTCATAACACCAGCATTGTGTTTCGCAAGTTCCATGTCCATTGAGTCCATCAGCTTCTTAAATGGGAAAAGGCTTGGATGCTGGCGGTACTTCGAATCGCTTGCAATTTCAGTGGCTTTCTTACTCTTTTCAATATCCAGTGACCCAGCAGGACTCCAACCAAGTCCTTTGTACCATTCGTTGTAATCTTGTTTGTATTCATGCTGCAGGTGGAAGAGAATAACACACAGCCAAAGTTGAGCAGCTATAGTTGCAGCAACATAAACCATCTGCAAATGCATGAGAAATATAGCCACTGACTGGTAGTGAAAAGAGAATGCAAGGTCTTACATTGCTTTGAATCCGGTTCATGTTTCTTGCCAGTTCTACATTAACGGCATCTGGCAGGAGGATATATTTGTGGAGGAGCCTTTTGTAGTTGATGTTGGTGATATTTGCTTGAGCTTCCTTGGCAGCCATGACGCTGAAAGTATCGGCCGGGGTGTTGTACTTGGTCTTGCTGGTTTCGTAGGCTTTCTTGTACTCACGATCCGACTGCATCTTAGCTACTTGCATGTAATGAACAAGCTTGGGGTCATCTTGGAGGCTGCGGAAGCCAACAAGTTTGCCCTTATCCATTTCATATCCTAGTTTGTATTTGTACTGCACAGAAGAAGACAAACAGAACATAAGCAAGGAAGTGAAATTTAATCTCAGGGAGGTTAGAAATGCAACATTTCTTCATCTGTGATGAATAAAATTAAAAGTGTACATGAGGTTGAACATAAAAACTAATAAAATATGACAGTGGGTCAGATCCAAAGGTGTCACTCCATTTTGTCCCAAATAAGGCTGTCTTTGTATCAGTTTCCCCCAGCACCACCTCCCCTGTTGTTCTGGAGAGGACCCCAGCCTTCTAGAGCAGATTTTCAGGGGCATAGGACAAGCGGGACTCCAGACCCATTGGGGCAGTGGGAACACTTTTTCTGCTCACAAAACCTTTGGATCTGATGCAACGTATGAACTTCAGCTTTTAGAGTAATTTAAAATATTTTGGCCTTAAAAACTTACATCACTGGCAATGTCTCGGGAAGCCTTAGCAGCTTTAATGGGGATTGCATCAGCCCTCAGATCATATCCCTTCTTCTTATCTTCTTCCATGGAAAGTCTGTACATTTTCTGTGTATTCAAAGAAACAAAAGAATAAAGGCTTTGTAGTGAATGCTTTTGTATGGAGAGAACACTCCTTCCAATTGCTAGGTAAAGCTTTCTTGACTTTTTTCGGGCTTTCATTTACTTTTTTTAAAAAAGTTGTTTGGAAAAATGAAATTAAAGGTGGACTATAAATACTCTAATAAATTGTGTCAATGGGGAATCATAATGCAGGACTATACCCCAAAGGTAATAGCTCTTTCTGCTAACTAATCACCTCATTAGCAGTTCTTTATCTTTAGCACTACATGAAAGCAGAATACAACCCCAGCTATCTACCTAGCCCTCATACTTACATTGCTGATGTTGAATGCATTGACTTTTGCCAAAACAAGCTCAGGGATATCTGGAGTGATGTTAATCTTGATCTTGTCTGCTTCCCAGTCCTTTTTGTAAAGGTGCTGAAAAGGCAACGCAAAACTTATATCACCATCTCTAAAAATCACTTACAACTGTTTATTTTCCTCTAAGAGGAGATGCATTAGACCCTTTTGCTTTGCTACACATTTGAAAAAGCTGCTACTCGAATGTCTAAGATTAATGGGCCTTGTGCAACTAACAAAGGGATATCCAATATTAATCATACTCAGAGCAGACCCATTAAATCAATGGATTTAAGTTACTTAAATCCATTGATTTCACTTGATTTAGCTGAATATCACCCTTGGTTAGTATCCAATTTATATATATGTTAAAAACAACAACCCTGCTATCTGAATAACTGGAGATGTCTTTTTAGATTACAAGTTTTTAAAATCTATTAAAAAAAATGCAGGCCTACTTTATATTCACAAATGCACAGGACAATTTTCAGGCTGGTTAAGCCTAGTGTTCCATGTCCTGCCTAAAACTTTAGATTCTGACAGTCCTGATTCAGCACAAGCCAGCATAAATCAGGTTCATTTTGTTTCTTGTGGAATCACAAAGCAAACAGTAACCATGTGCTAAGATGGCAACCTGTTTGTTGATCTGGAGCAGCTCTATAAAATACACAATTCCACGGAAAAATATTACCCAGGGAATCCAAATAATTAGTTAATTATTGCTACTTTTCTGGATTGCCTTGGAACAAGAAGACCAAGCAACAGAGACTCTTTCGCAAATGTTTTGCCTCGTAATGTTGGCAAACCTCCTTTGAAAAGAGACACGTGAAATTTAGGCATGGGTGTGATCTCACATGACCCAATGGCATACTGATCTTAGAGTAATAGATAAATTCATCTTATCACGAGGAGAGAAACAGGCACCCTAAACTGCCACATACATAGAGCAATTTTAGCATGCAAGAAAATGACACAGAAATCAAAGAAAGGAGAGGTGGTAGAAGAACACAAACCAGTTCAACCCTGACTACACCAGTAAGTCTTACTGACCAGATATCAAAGCAATGCCATTATTAGTAACAACTTGTTGAGCAGGAAATATTATAAAATTAATAATGAAATCTCGGGGGGGGGGGCTATAAATATTACTCCATAATTTATACAATAGTATAGAATCAGTAAAGTAGGAAAGTTTGCCTCCTGCACAACTGCCCTATCATCATGCATTTATGAATTTTAACTTCTGTGTGTTTCCAGTTCTTAATTAAGTCAACAAGTCACAGATTAGTTGGTGGGGTTAATTTGTTTGTGAAATCGCAGGACAAGTTTCTGCTCGGCAGCAGCTTTCCTATGCTAGGCTTATTTGCTTACCCCGTCCATGGTCTTTGCGTTTTGTGTAGCCAGGACCATGGGCATAGAATCCATCTTGATAGAATACTTGAGTTTGTCTGGATGCTGCCTGTATTTCTTCTCACTGACAATCTCCATGGCTTTCTTGTTCTTCTCGGCTTCTAAAGATCCCAATGGAACCCACCCAACCCCCTTCATGAATTCATCATAGTCTGCTTTGTACTGGTTCTGGAGACAAAATGAAATTAAACAGGTGAGAAATGTTAGATACACCGCTAGTCTATTTTTAAAGCAGCAGTGTTTACTTGCAAAAATTGCACGCACTGGCACAGCAGAAAAGAAATCCAATACATTGTGTCGTGGTTTATTTGTACTAATCAGCTAAGCTGGACCTTTTCAGGATAGCAACTTCATATTTAAGCCTGCTTCTTTGTAAGCATTTCAAAACTTTAAAATGTATACTAATATTGTGCTGTATTGTTGCTTTTAAAATTATCACCACAAAATTGTTTACACAGTCTTCTTCAGTCTAAGACTACACTGCTATGCACATTTATTGGAACACATAAACATTTGCATATATATATGTAATATTTTCTTGGTTTACAAAAGTACATGCCTTGTCTCTTTTCTCAGGTTGTCCAGTCTTTCTGACAAATCTGTTACATTTGTTGTGCGACATTAGTGCTGAGTGCAGTATAAGGTTGGGGAAGAAGGGGGCAGAGGAGGGGGGAGTGGTGAGGCTTATATTATTTTGTATAGTGTACGTGTTGGGTTTTGTGTCAGAGTCAACTGGGTAGGTTCTCTTTCTATTCGTTTATTACATTTCCTTGGTAGTGAGAGGTACTGGGTGGCAGGGTGTGGCTGGTTGTGGTTGGTTGCAGTGGGGCTTGTTTGCATTTGTGAGGGGAGCGGGAGTCAGGAAAGCTTGTTGGGTCAGGTAAACCAGATTGATTCGTATGCTGTCAGTGGATTATTGTTGTTGTTTACATTTATAATCTATTTTACATGACATATAGAATATTCCAGGTGCCTAAGGGCCCCCCCCTCACCTTGGACATATGGATTTGGAGGGTTAAATAGTCTACATCTATAATTCAGTGGTTTTTCAAAGTCTTTTACTTACATTACTCTGAATCTGCATCATGTTTTTGGCCAGTTCCAGGTTCATAGAATCAGGCAAAACATTATATGTGTGGATAATATTCCTGTAGTTTGTATCCGTTGCCACTTCCTGTGCTTTCTTGGCTGCCACCACACTGAACATGTCAACTGGGGTGTGGAACCGGGTCTTTGACTTCTCATAGTCCTTCTTGTATTCACGCTCTGACTGCATCTTAGCAACTTGCATGAAGTGCACCAGTTTAGGGTCGTCTTCCAGACTACGGAATCCAATGTGCTTTCCCTTGGCTTGCTCGAAGGCTAGTTTGTATTTGTACTGTAAGCAGAAACTCAGTTAAGACCACCATCTTACTGAACATGGCAAAACAACCATTTTACATTTCAAATAAGTTTATGAGTTGCATATACATATATATATATATATATATATATATATATATATATATATATATAAACAACTATAAAATTTTCAAAATAAAAAGGCTTGGGAACCATTATTATGCACAAGGATCCCCAAACAGCAAACAGTGGGATAGATCTTGTTAGTGGAAGCACTGTGCAAAGACCTTCTGCTTGTGCAACAGGGCTTTCCTTCCCCCAGAAATGCGTTCTGAAAGAACCCCCCAGAACAGCATGCAGGAGAGTCATTCCCTCTGGTAAGATTGCCCTGATAGCACAATTACCTTAGCATAACATTGAATTCCTCCCAGAGTGCTAAATTCAAAAACTTTTATTTATCCCTTTGCCCATTTAATAATAAGTGAAACCATCAACCCAAAGGACTTGTATACACTTCAGCCACAATCTAATAAAGTAGCCTTAAGCTCTTTAAAATCAGTAAACCTTATTTTGCATGCACAATTGTGGCCATAATTTAGGGTAGGGGTTGCTCTAGAGTAGGGGCCATCATCAATCCCTAGTAAATTATCTCTATCTTTTCTTCATTGATGTACAACTGTGCTAGAGGTAAGTGCAATGGGCACAAAGAAACATATTCTTGCAGGATCATCCTTGAGTAGGTGATTTTCAAAAGCCATGGGCTCCAAACAAAGCTTATGAAAGCAATAGTATAATAAGAACCATTTCTCAGATTTGCCCAGGTGGACTCAGAGAACATAAGGTATCCAAACATGGGAGGAAGGGCTAATTGAGAATGGTAAGTCTAGGGATAAATCAGTCTTTTCTCATGAACGCAACGGAAAAATTAAACTTACATCACTTGCAATATCCCTTGAAGCTTTGGCTGCTTTTATTGAGATAGCATCTGACCTCAAATCATAGCCTTTCTTTTTGTCTTCTTCCCAGCCAGCCCTGTATAGTTTCTTTTCAAAAAAAAGGAAGAAGGGGAGATTGGTAAAGGGGAGGTTGTAAATTAAAAACAAAACACACTTCTCATATATTAGGTATACAGAATGGGAGGTAGAATACTCTTTGTCATTTGAAATCTTACATCGCTCATGGTGACTTGATTGAACTTGGACAAGATTATCTCTGGTGTGTCGGGCATCACGTGAATGTCTGCCTTCTCTTTGTTCCATTTTTCATTGTACAGTCTCTGCAGTTCATAAAAAAAGAGTAGACTTAAAGATGTCGCTTTCTGTTTTTACTTTTGCAGGTTGCAAATTATCGGTTGATTTGGCTTACACATGCTCGGCCATTAATGCACACTGAATTTTACACAGGCCCCACTGAAATAAATAGAGATCCTAGCCTCCAGAAGAAGTTACAGATCAGAGGGGATCACCACCTTGCAGGGATGACTCTGCAAATCAAAACCCGATCTTTGGGTTTACCACGTTAGATTAAATTCTCTTACAAAACTCAATCATGTACTCCACTTAACAAGCAGTTTTTGTTTTTAACAAGCAGTTTTCTTGTGTTCCTAAACCTTCACAAAGGCAAGCATAATTGCCTGATTTTACTCTGTGTTTATGCATCATGGCACAAGACAAGTGAGAAGGGGGTTTGGTGTGAATCTCACACAATTGCAGGCAGGTCTACTAAAAAATGAGACCTGCTGAGTTCAATGGAACTTATTCCCAGGCAACTGAACACAGGAATGAAGCCTCATACACTTCTAATCCCTGCTGTCCACATCCATGAAGACACTGGCCTGCAATGATTCTTTTTTGTCCATCTGGCAGATTTCACTACAGTGGTATTTTGGTTTACGAACTTTATCCGTTCCAGAAGTCCGTTCTTAAACCAAAGCGTTCTTAAACCAAGGCGTGCTTTCCCATAGAAGCAGGGGACTCAATTTACAAATGGAACACACTCAACAGGAAGCGGAACATGTTCTGCTTCCAAGGCAAAGTTCACAAACCAAAACATCTACTTCCGGGTTTGCAGTGTTCTTAATCCAAGTTGTTTATAAACAAAGCTGTTCTTAAACCAAGGTACCACTGTATTGTGAAACCATCAGGCAACTGGCTGCTGATTACCAGCGTTTCTCCCAAGAGCCAGAATACATATTTATTTTACTTTAGCCATAGTCGATTATACTTCAATTGTATATAATAAATCAATACATTTAAATGTAATTGCATTTAATTATTTTTTGAATATGCATTGTGCGAAGTTAGTAGTATTTTCTTTGGGTCAATCTACTGTCCAGCAACTTCATCAGGTACACCAAAATCAATCACTTCTACACAAATGACTTAGGGTAAGTAGTACTTCCAGTAAGTGCTAGTATCCATTGGTGAACAACACTGAGAAATCACACCTGTTACTTTGACTTTAAACTCTTGAGACATAAAGTTTATATTTCAAAAACGAGCCATATCCCTCTGAGGTTTTTCTTTCCTTTACCTTGTTCATCGTAACAGCATTTTGTTTTGCCAGCACTTGCTCCATAGCAGTCATGTCAATCGTGTATTTTAGCTTGTCTGGGTGCTGACGGTATTTCTTTTCACTAATGATTTCGGAGGCCTTCTTTGCCTTCTCCACTTCCAGAGACTGGATCGGCACCCAGCCTACTCCTCTCAGCCAGCTGTTGAAATCTGCTTTGTAAAGATTCTTTAAAGGAAGGAAACAATGGGAAATGATTTGATGTGGAAAAGATCTGTTTCAACCTTCACAATACGCCAAAGCAATGACTTCATTCTGGTGCCAGATTGTGGGCTTAAACCGGATTGGTAGATGGTTGTGTGCATAGGAGCAAACTGCTAGGGGCTGAGGGGGCCTGCCCTCCCCAAAGTTGATGGGCATTGTCATTCAAATGGTGTGCATTGTGATCGACCATGCGGGGTGGGGCTTACCTGAGCCCCCCCTCCCATATTTTACTCAGGTTGGCCCATTTGGTTATGTGTGTGCGGATAAGATGCGTTTGGGTAAGGTTTGTGTCTGGATAGCTGTGTCTGAATGAGGGTCTGTGTGTGACAGACGGGAGGGGAGAGAGAAAAGACTGGGTTTCCTCCACCCACTTTTGACTTTGGCCTTTCCGTTTTGGTCCTTGGATCCACACCCACTGCTGCTTATGTACCACTGCCTCCATCCACCTCAAAGGAATGGGATGTGAACCCATCTCTCCTGCTCCATCTTTTATTGAAGTCCATTAATTCCAACAGGTTAATTTTGGCTTGTGTGGGAAATATTATTTCTAAAAGTGTGATGAAAGGAGAGGATACCTGATCCCAAGGTTAGGTTAATCAGCCTTATCTCAACCCGGACAAAAACTCAGAACAGATGCAACAGGACAAAAGCCTAGCAGAGCATCCTACCTTGAGACTTCCCAAGCTGCTAACAACCTCCACAACCTTGTTATCACCGTGGGATTGCTTTATTACATATTTCAATTATGGCGGTTCATATTTTAATGATTTAATGGGAATCTCTTATGGCTTATGTTTTTACTGTATATTTTAATTATGAATGTCGATATTTTAATTGGTATAATTGGTGTTTATACCTGTAAACCACTTAGAAACCCATCTTGGCAATGAAGTGGTATATAAATTAATTAAGATATCAAGAACAACCAAACTACATCTTCATCATCAGAATACATACATCACTCTGAATCTGCATCATATTTCTTGACCGTTCCACACTGATGTTATCAGGCAAAAGGGTATAATTATGCAGAGATGTTCTATAGTTTGTGTCGGTGATCACTTCCTGGGCCTTTTTAGCAGCTATCACACTGAACATGTCCATGGGCAAGTTATACTTGGTCTTGCTGCTTTCGTAGTCCTTCTTGTATTCACGTTCTGACTGAAGTTTGGCCACATTCATATAATGGACCAATTTAGGATCGTCTTGCAGGCTGCGGAACCCAACTTGCTTTCCTTTATCTTTCTCATATGATTCCTTGTACTTGTACTAGGGGGAAATCAAGTCAAAGGAACAAAAATTAAACGGGCAAACATTCATTCTGCACACTGGGGGGGGAACCAGTAGAACAACAGTAGATATTTGTTATTCTATTCTTGTCTCCACCCTTACTGTTACGTTCTGGCCATCACACCCTTTCCAACATTTTAAAAGTAATTTTAAATTTGTGAATACTTAATTATTTTTTACCTAAGTCCAGAACACTATATTTTCCACTTTCTTGGTCCCCTCATGTCCTGCTTTCCCTTCTCTCCCCTCCAAGCCTCCTACCCTCTTTCTCTTTGGAGGTATTGGAGGTGGCATATAATGACAGTCCCTAGCATTTTTATTTTGAAAGAGAAATGCTGTCCAATCTCCCAGATTTCCCAGAAAAAGGCCCAGTGTTGTCTGAAGAATTATCACAATTAGTCACCCTAGATGGCCAATGTCCAAGAAAAAATTATAAGCAGACATGTAACAATCCCACACACATCTGCAGCACGGGAGGAATGGAATTCCCAACACCTGGATGGTGCCTTCGTCTTACTTGTCCCACCCCCGAAATGAGCTTGTCTCTTTCTGCTCAAAATTTCTCAAACGAATAATGAATTGATTAGTAATTCCCCCCTACTGAAGTAGATGCACACATCTCAGGTGGCAGGGCTAGAGAGGTGGGGAATACCTTGCATTGGATCCTAAAGGGTGTCATTCTCTAGGCAGGCAAATAATCTGACTCAGTTGAAAGCAGCTTTATATGTTCAAGACAGTTCTGAATTTTTATCTAGATTCAACTTACGTCACTGGCAATGTTTCGTGAAGCTTTTGCAGCAATGATAGGAATGGCATCAGGCTTCAGATCATACCCTTTGGCAATTAACTTCTTATAGTCCGCTTTGTAAGAGTGCTTAAAAAGAAGAATGAATATTCATAGTAAGAAGAATCCTAGTGGCACAATCAAAGGGCAATATTATTCTAGTATACTGAGCAAAAACATCCATGTGGGTTTCTGACATTATTAAGGATGATCCACAAGGTATGTGTATTCAGCAAACACAATGATATCATTTTTTAAAATAATAAAAAAAGGATTGGCAGCTTCACTCCAAAACACAATCCCCAACCATTACTGCCACCAAGACACAAGTGTTCAACTAACATACATAGAGAGAAAGAGAGGGGGAGGGAGAAATGTGTAAGGCTAATAAAACACATAATTCACTTTCTGAAAGATCAGTTTGATTTCTGCTCATCGAATACTCACATCACTTATATTGTAGGCATTGACTTTTGCTTGAATAAACTCAGGAACATATGGATCCAAGTGGTAGTTGTGCTTAACTTTCTCACCCTCCAGCTTGTACGTTATCTAAAAGGAAAACAGCACATGCATCATTTCACTGGCTTGGCACACGGTACCTCGTTGTAGTTTTGGGATGGATGGACCGGTCAATTTCAGTTCTCTCAGCTTCTGCAGCAATTTGCGAGAGAGAACCCTGCCCAAGGCTCTGCAGGCTGTGGTTAGCCAAATGGGCAATACGAGATAACCTTGGCAGGAATGCCTTGAAGTTAAGGCACTGACTTGCAACCACAGTGAACATTTACTGTGAACGCTTTCTATCTCGGCAACAGTACAGTGGTACCTTGGTTCTCAAACTTAATCTGTTCTGGAAGTCAGTTCCAAAACCAAAGCCAAGGCGTGCTTTCCCATAGAAAGTAATGCAAAATGAATTCATCCGTTCCAGACTTTTAAAAGCAATCCCTAAAACAGCAATTTAACATGAATTTTACTATCTAACGAGACCACTGATGCATAAAATGAAAGTAATAATCAATGTACTCTGCTATAGAATAAATAAGACAGTATTGTAGATGATAAAAAAGAAAATAATTTCCCTGCACTGATGATAGTCATTGTTTGGATGGGAGATTTTATCCATTTCCACAGTCACACAATCAATCAATCAGTAGCTGAACTGGGTTCCACACAGTCACAAAAACAAATTAACCAAAAAAGCCTCAGAAACAAAAACGCAAAATAAATAGCAAAAACAAAAGCACCAAACTTAATCCATTCCGGAAGTCCGTTTGACTTTTGAAACGTTCGAAAACCAAGGTGCAGCTTCTGATTAGTGCAGGTGCCCCAGAAACAATAGCCAACAACCGCATCCAAAAACTTCCAAAAAACATTCGAAAACCAGAAAACTTACTTCCAGGTTTTCGGAGTTTGAGAACCAAGGCGTTTGAGAACCAAAGCGTTTGAGAACCAAGGTACCACTGTATTCGATGATGGCTGCAATAGGGACTTAAAATATTGCACTGGCACTAACTTACATCACTTCGCTGTTTGGTGTTGTGTTGTGCCAAAACCATCGGCATTGCATCCATTAAGCTTGTGAATTTGAATTTGTCTGGGGGCTGACGGTACTTCCTTTCATTTAATGCGTCTCCAGCCTTTCTAACTTTTTCTACCTCCAGAGAACCGAGAGGACTCCACCCAATTCCTTTGAACCAGCTGTTATAGTCTTGCTTGTAAATGTTCTGAGGGTAAAAACAAGGAGCAATTCAAAAGACAGACATTGAGGGGATAACATTCTAAAACAACCAGAAATACACAGAAGTTTCATTTCTTTCTAGAATCAATACATTGCACCTGACTGGATACATCTGTATCTACCAGAACAAATAAAATGTTTCTTATACAGACCAACTACATGTATGCCACTCCCGAAGTGTCATCATATATAGGCTACTTGTTATACATGCTGCAAAATTCCACGGCCATTTCTCTAAAATTTTATTTGAAAACACCTCTCCCACCCAAATTCTATCCATTCACTAATCAAAAAGCATTATTTTATTTGTTCTAAAGTGGGGAAATGTCTCCAGGAAATTTAGTCTCCCCACCCCCTTGCCACCCAATCAACTTGAGGTCCTTGCTTTAATTAGCTAATTCTGCATTCTATTTGTCCATGTGCTTGCATGCCAAGGCCCCATGACCCCCGCACCCCAATATAGTAAAATAACTAGACAGGACAAGTGTAAGGTAAGAATTGGTCAAATAGGCCACAACTGTATTGATTACAGATGTGAAGGTTTGGCTTAGGCATTGGGTATACCATTTTACTGCAGCCCATTTGCTGGGGGTGTATTCTAGGGTCAACCCAACCTTGGGGGGCCCTATGACCTACAGGGGTCCCTGTTTGAGGAGTGCTATGGCCCTAGCCCAGGCATAGGCAAACTCGGCCCTCCAGATGTTTTGAGACTACAATTCCCATCATCCCTGACCACTGGTCCTGTTAGCTAGGGATGATGGGAGTTGTAGTCCCAAAACATCTGGAAGTCCGAGTTTGCCTATGCCTGCCCTAGCCCCTGTCTGGGTGTCCAGACAGAAGCAGCTCCTCACGGAACCCTTTAACACAGCCTTTCTCAACCTGTGGGTCCCCAGATGTTGTTGAACTACAACTCCCATTACCCCTAGCTAGCAAGGCCAGAGCTCAAGGATGATGGGAGTTGTAGTCCAACAGCATCTGGGGACCCACAGGTTGAGAACCACTGTTTTAACGGGATACCCTTTCCCATAGAGGGGCAGGCAGAGGCTACCTTCTCCCCTTCATCCAAGATTAAGGCTTACCGCCACTCAAACCACTTACCAGCAAACCCTTCACACCTGCAACCAACCCTTTAATCCCTCCATCACATCATTCAACCAAGATGTCGAAATACTGCAATGAAATGTGACATTTTTTAAAAAAGTAATACTTACATCACTCTGAATTTGCATCATGTTCCTTGTCAGTTCAACATTCATGGCATCTGGCAGGTAGGTATAACGATGGAGGAGGTGTTTGTAGTGAGTATTAGAGGCTACATCCTGAGCCTGCTTGGCAGCTTGGATGCTGACCATCTCCACAGGTGTGTGATAGCAAGTCTTGCTCTTCTCATAGTCTTTCTTATACTCCCGTTCAGACTGCATTTTTGCCACGTGCATAGAATGGACAAGCTTAGGGTCATCTTGCAGGCTTCTGAAACCAACATGTTTTCCTCTTGCTTTTTCATAGGCTTCTTTGTATTTGTACTAGAGTCCCAGCGGGAGAGAGAGAGAAACAGAGAAGTTGTGTGTGGATATCCAGACTCAAAGCACCCATTTTTATACAAGTAATAAGAGAACTATCCCCTAGGTGAGACAAGACTGAGCAGATGTGGGTACTTACATCACTAGCAATGTTTCTTGATGCTTTGGCCAGAGTAATTGGAATAGAATCACCCAATACGTTGTGTCCTTTGGCTATCAGTTCATGATAGCCATGTTTATAATAGCTCTGGAGGGGGGAAAATGATATTCACATATTTAGCAAGTAGTTCAAGCAACTACTGATCAATAACTGAGAATCCATCATCACAGAAAGCAAGGAATCTCAACTTTTAGGCGATGAAGAATAGAGAATACTAGAGAAGACTAGAGAATAAGTTACATTAAAACCAGTGGACAGCGGTGGTGAGAGGGGCTGTACATTCTGGCCCTATCCTCAACACTGCTAAAACAACCCATTGGCCATGTCCCCTCCCAGTAACATCTAAACATTCAACTGAATATGTGAAAGATGTCCATAGGTACACAAGGACTTCCACGCACTCCGGAACCCAAAAGCCTATCAGGAAACCTGCCAAAGGCAGCTAATTCAGTCCCACCGACTGTAAACTGTAGTCGTTCATCGTGATGGGTGCATATCATATCCCATGCTGACATGACATTCGCTGTCTGACCCCCTTCCTTTATTATATCATGCGGCTAGAAGTAGCGTTAATCAAAATGTTATCTCCACATTATGATAGCCGCATGGTTTCTATTATATCAGAATGAATTTCTGAACATCTAAATCTGCATTTGTTTACCAAAAGCATGAATGAAAGACACCTCTTTTTTAAAAAAAGTGACTTACATCACTGATGTTGGCTGCGTTGTATTTAGCCTGGATGAACTGAGGGGCATCTGAAGGCAAGTGGTATTTGTGCTTGATTTCTTCTCCAGAAGTTTTGTATAGTCTCTGCAAACAAAAAGAACAGGATAATAATAAACTCTTCTGTTCTCAAGGAAAATGTCCCATAGAATACAATGCGCTGGCTAAATGTCCTCAGCTGCAAGCCCACACACACTGTGGGCTGCATTGAAAAAGCATAGGAGTCAGCTTCCAAATAAACAGTCATAGGATCAGGCAGTAAACTTTGTCCTTAATAGAGGCTGGAAACTAAAAGTGTCTATCTGCCTGCAGAATGGACTTCTGCTCATGCAACAAGACGCCCTTCAGCAGGGCTGGATTATGTTTGATGAGGCCTTAAGCTACTGAAGGTAATGGGGCCCTTTATATGTCCAACTGTCCTTTATATGGTCCAGCTGTCCTTTGTCAACAACAAATTGTCGCTGTTTTTTGTGTTGAATATATGCTATATAGGTATGTAGGCTTTCTTTTATTTGTTTTTTATCTTATATTTTGGAAATGTACATCCAGGGTTTTTTCGCTTTAATTTAAGAGAGTGGGGCCCTAAGCTATAGCTTGTTTAGCTTATACGTAAATCCGGCACTGCCCTTCATGGGAAACCTACCAGGGGCAGGAGATACATGCCAGGAGTGGGCGGGGCCAGAGGCAAGAGTGGGTGGGGCACTGGGAGTGACTCTTACTTTTGTAAACAGTAGGCTAACAGAAACCAGTTGTTTCCACATCCCCATCTCTGCATCCAGGCAAACAAGATACATCACCACAGTTCAATGGCACATTCCAGTCAGGGCATTAAGCAGGGCCAGTGAGGGGATGTGGCCTAGGTAATGGGTGTGATTTGAGAAGAGTCCTGGGGGCCAAACATAATAGTCCCCAGGCCTGGGTTTTCCCACCCTCTGAGCTAAGGGTAGAAAGCGCCTTAGCTGCAGTGCAACAACTGACAAAGCTCTTGACTTTGCTGCCTTCTGTCATACATCTGAGGGCGGGGCAGCTCCCTCATTAGTCTTTTCAGCTTAGGGTTTTATGTCAATATATATCTCCAAAAAAAAAAAAAGATGGATCAGGTATCTCCCAAACAAATGCGGATTATTTCTCCACAATGTGTTTGTATGAGCACCTCATACAATGTTCCATTTCTTCCTAGATATTGTTAATTGCTTTGTTCTGGCATCTTTCCCTTAGGGCTACTCACATCACTGAGCTGCAGTGCGTTCTGCTTAGCCTGGACCATGACAGGCGAGTCTACTATGCTGGTGAACTTGAGCGTGTCCGGGTGCTGGCGGTACTTCTTCTCATTCAAAGCATCTCCTGCTTTTCTAACTTTCTCTACATCCATTGAACCAATTGGGATCCACCCGATACCTTTCATCCAGCTGTTATAGTCTGCCTTGTAAAGATTCTGGGTGGGGAAAAGAATGAAAAGAAAACAATCAATCACATGAACAGGTAACAAACAAACAAAACCTCTTTGGAGACACTTACATCACTCTGAATCTGCATCATGTTTTTGGACCGTTCCACGGTCATATCGTCAGGCAACAATGTGTAATGGTGCACCAAGTGTTTGTAATGTGTGTTGCTAGCAATGTCCTGGGCTTTCTTGGCAGCGACAACGTTGACCATATCCAGCGGAGTGTTGTATTTGGTTTTGCTCTCCTCGTAAGCTTTCCTGTACTCCCGGTCCGACTGCATCTTGGCAACGTTCACATAATGGACCAGCTTGGGGTCATCTTGGAGACTCTGGAAGCCAACCAGTTTACCCTTGCCAAGTTCATAGTCCTTTTTGTACTGGTACTGTCAGGACACACACAAAAAATAATATCAAAAGTGAGGTCGTTTTCCTGGTGAACAGCCCAACATACCCTTTTCTGCCCCAGCTCTTTCTCTTCTTCCTTGGAGTCCATTCCTTTTATCCCCTTCCTCTCTGCCTCATCTTCCCTTCCCAGTGGGATGCTGAGGGAGGGAAAGGTTGCTTTGATCTGTTCAACTACAAAGGGCTCCTCCCTCACAACAGCCTTCTTCTGTTGTTCCATACATTTCAGCTTTCCCACTGTTTTCCCTGCAACGCACCCTTCCTTTTTGCCCACCCTACACAGAGAGAAAGAGGCTGAGGCCCTCAGGCCACCCATCCCTGCACTTGAATCCAGTAATTGAACCAAGGATTGCTATAAAATCAGCATACCACCACCATTATTAATTAGATGATGATGATGGTGATGATGATGATGATGATGATGTTTCCTCCTCATACTCAATGCTCTTTGAAAAGAGAATACTTACATCACTGGCCGCATGTCTAGCAGCCTTGGCAGCTCTAATGGGAATAGCATCAATTCTTAAGTCGTATCCCTTCGATTTCAGATCTTCCAACCCCAGTTTGTAGCAGTTCTGGAGGAGAACAGAATGTTTCACTGAAACTACAGTCGGTTGCTATTCACCTATGCTTTAAAATTTAAGACTTGTGTGTGCATAACAATGTATTGAGAGGAAACTTACGTCGCTGAGATTGTAGGAATTAACCCTTGCCTGGAGAAACTGGGGAGCATCTGCCGGAAGGTGATATTTATGAATTACATCTTCATTTTTGGCTTTATAAATTACCTAGAACATAAATCAAGGTATATTATATTCAATATATTCATAGTGTAGAATACTTTAAAGTTCACTATGTTTTATTGTACAGTTTTATGCTTAGAAAGTGAACTTTATAGTTGAATCACAACTAAGGGGTGGCGTCCAATGATGTCCATCCATCGGTGGAAGGGATTTGTGGGAATTCACCAAAGGATTTACCACTATTCATAGAAAATATCAGAGAAGTTCACAATAGTTATACATGAAATCATACAATAAAAACCATCTTTTTTTTTAAATCAGCTAACTATTATGGAAAGATGTATGAACAGTAGTATATAATTTTTAAAAAAACAACCCTAAAATAATGATTTATTGTGTTAATCGATCTCATGATGACTCCAGAATAAAGTTAGCCAACACAGACGCAGACAACATGTGCCAATACTTACATCACTCCTTTGAGCTTGGTTGATTTTAGCCTGTACTACAACAGGGTCATCTTCAATTTGTGTAAACTTAATAGTGTCTGGATGCTGACGATATTTTCTCTGTTCAAAAGATTAAAGAAAATAAAACTGCAATTCCTTCACAGGAAATTATATTTTGCTATTCCATTTCTTTCATTTTTTTGTATTATTGAAATGATGCCTTTCAATAATAAGGATGCCCTGACTCAGAAATATTTAAAAATAATCCAGGTTCCCCCCCCAAAAAAAAAACAACCACTTAATTATATGATAAAGCAGCAAAATCAAAATAAACCAGCAAAATCAATATCTCCATAACAACATACAAGAAAGTCCTCTTAACGGGATCTAGTCTTTGCAATGGACAAATCTTTGACCAATATATTGTGTACTTTCAGTTTCCATTCCAAAATACTCAGGCTGGCAAATGCCAGTGGATTTACCCATATGCTCTGAAACCTACATATTGATATTGAGTTATTACGTTCTTGATTGTGCATTTTAAACCCACAATGTAGCTAAACCAAATTTCTTAAATAAGTAAAATGGCTTCAGGACAGAAAGAAACGAAATCTGTTCTGGAAGTCCATTCAACTTCCAAAACATTCAAAAACCAATTCACGGCTTCTGATTGGCTGCAGGAAGCTCCTGCAGCCAATCGGAAGCCCCGTCAGATGTTCAGGTTCCAAAATAATGTTCACAAACCAGAACATTAACTCTGGGTTTGCAGCATTCAGGAGCCAAAACGTCCGAGTTCCATGGCATTCAGGATCCAAGGTACGACTGTAGTAGGAAGGATCATAGCATAGTAATAGAGATTGTGCTTTGCACACAAATGGTCCCTGACTCAATCCCTGGAGAACCTTGGTAGATCAGTCAGTGGTATGATTAGGCAAAGGGCATCTTCTTGTGTTCCAAAACAAGAACAAATCTAGCCTGCCCTTCCAAACTAGCTTTCGAAACAGGTTACACATGTGCAGCCCGTTTTTCGATAAGGCTAGGGAACAGAGTATACAGAATCAGTTTGTACATGTGATTCCTTGGTCAGATAGGGACATGTGTTAGGAAGCCTGTCTCCATGCAGCACAGTCCCTGAGCTGGCCTAGGTCAGGGTCAATAAGGTTGATTCTACTTAGGGTCTACGTACCTCACTGATAATATCAGAAGCTCTCTTGGCTTTTTCAGCATCTAGGGACCCCAAGTGGTATCCAGCCACAGCCTTTCATATCACTGTTGTAGTCAGCTCTGTATTCATTCTGGGAAAGACCATAAAAACGACAAAATGCAATTAACTCAATTTACACAAAGAAAACCCTCTACAAATCCAGTGTGTAGAATTTAAGAACGTACATCGCCAGCTGGGAACCCTCTATATTTTGGGGAAACTCCAACTCCCATCATCCCTAGCCAGCATGACTGTAAAGTAAATGTTCTCAGAAGCTGATGCTTCAACTCCCAGATCCCTAGACTATTCACCGCAATCAACGGACAATGAAGCACAGGAATGACATGAAAGTGAACCCACATATTCCTTTGCTTTGCAGGTAAACCACAGAAAAAGCTATACTTCTAAGCATAAGAAAATGTTTGCTTTTCAAATCCACAGAGGCTTTCCCTTTAAACGCCTCTTATTCTACTCAACCTTCCTCAGAAAGTTAACCAAAAAGGTAAGGAGCCATCTGCTATTCCCTACTAATTAGTCTTCATTCAACCTTTGGGTCTGTTAAGCTGCCAGACCCTTTTCATTCTTGGCATCGTGGTGAACATCTTAGAATTAGATTTTTAAGGTAATTAAATATGGAAAGTACACAGGCTGCATTAACAACTGATGTTTCCACTTTATCCCAGCCCTAGCATGGTTTCTGTGGCTTGCTGTTGTTGAGTCCAGGAAAAGCCTAGGGAAAACATCGCATCTCTTTGAGTTTGTATGAAACCCTCCTTAGCTGAGCAATGCTAGACAAGCATAACTACTTACATCACTCTGTATAGCATTGGCTTTCTTGGCAAGTTCCACAGGAATACTGTCGGGGGGATAGCAGTAATTATGGATGAGACGCTTGTAGTCTGTGTTGCTGACAATTGCCTGTGCTTTCTTTGCTTGTACTACTGCGATCATGTCCAACGGCGCTGTGTACGTGGTCTTTGACTCTTCGTAACCTTTTCTGTATTCACGCTATAAAAGAATTAACATGTACCTTTAAGAGTTAGAACTTCCAAAAAACCCCAAAACAACCCTAATACTTTGTAAAAGGCAGGCTACTTGCATGGCTATGGTGAGACATGCCTTAATTATATCACGATTGGGCTGCTGCAATACAGTAAAAATGCACTAAACATTTACATCAATAGGATCCAGATCATATTATTATTAGCTAATAGGGTCAGTATTAGCAGAACTTTAACCTCTAAAAAGCATCAAACCAGAACAATAGGCATTCTACACTGGATTACCCATCAGTCTCTTACAGTATGGTAGTTTTCACTACATGTCAGACATAATTGTTACAAAAGTTCAGAAACAGAGCTGACAACACAGTATTCTGTTTTCACTGGTTAACGTCTTGCCTTAAGCATTAAGATGGATGATCTGAATAGCCATCAAATAGGTAGTAACGTTCTCATCTCTGCTTAATATCTCTAGGCCCTTTTTGGATTAAGTCATAATTGCCCAGCACAATCCTAAGCATGTTTATGTGAAAGTGAATCCCACTGTATTCAAAAAGGCTCCTTTTCTCAACTAAGTCTATAGCCTTCTGGTGAAAGGAATTTTGTGGTATCAATGGCTCATCATGAAGGGAAACATTTTCATGTTAATTTCACGTAAAGGTTGAACCCGAATATCTTTCAGAATTGAGCTTTCCTGGCACTCATTAGCAAGACTAAGTCAGTATTGGATATAAATCACAGGTTATTATTTTTACACGTATTTAGAATTATTATTCTTTGCCATTTATCCTTGCTTCTTGTTTTGTGGAATGGAAAGAGCTAAAAGTCTCTAAATAATTTGATGTTTGCAAATAATTTGGCACACAGCTGACATCTTACCAGTGCTAACTACAATGTGTACAGAACAGGTACTTACATCACTCTGCTGTTTGGCCACTTTCTGAGAATGTAGCATCTTAGGATCGTCCTCGATGCTTAGAGCTCCAACCATCTTCCCTCTGCTCTGTTCATAAGCTTTCTTATATTCCACCTACATGGGGACAAGACATTAATGATCTTCTACATTCTGTAGCCACTGCATAGAAATACAAATAATTTTTATTTTTTTAAAAAAAAATATTCATTTTATGCAACACTTACATCACTTGCAATTTTTCGATTGGCTTTGGCAGCAAGAATAGGAATGGCATCAAACTTGATCTCAAATTTCTTATCTTTCGTTGTATCCCAGTCATACTTATAGCAAGTCTGACACAGAAGAATAAACAAATAACATGAAGGTGTGACATAATATCAGGACTATAATGACATAAAATATATCCATTGATTGTAGAGAATATACCTCAGAAGTCGAACAGAGTCCGTTCCGGAGGTCCTCTCGACTTCCAAAAAGTTCAAAAACCAAAGCGCGGCTTCTGATTGGCTGCAGGAAGCCAATCAGAAGCCCCATCGGACATTCGGCTTCCAAAAGAGCGTTTGAAAACCGGAACACTCACACCTGGTTTTCCATCGTTCAGGAGCCAGAACGTTTGACTCCCAAGGCGTTCGGGAGCCAAGGTACGACGATCAAGATATCTTTGAATAACTAAAAAATTTGAAGATGGTTTTCAACTGATGAAAACCACTCTCTTAAACCCTCTTTCTTCCTGGGGTTTTATTAAGTTTCAGCTTAAGTCCAGCCGCGATCCATGAAATATTTTTCTGCCATGTGCCCACGTTTTAATAGTGTTGTTTATAATCAAGTATCCATTACAGTTTACAACACAAGTTATGCCTTTCCCAGCAGTGAAGCCGTCACAAATTGTTGTTTTTAAAGGAATTACATAGCTGTAATATATTTCCTGTTAATGGTTCACAATAATAATCTCTGTTTGGAGAAATAATATACATCAGCTGTACTAATAAAATCTGATCTTTTCCAATCACATTCCTTGACGCTGTGTTTCTGTTGTACAGAAGACATCTTGGAGCTGGTAGATAAAATAATTTGGGGTCCAGCAAACTGGTCAAAGGATGCTCTCAGGTGCACAAACATTGTTAGTTGCTTTATTTACAAAAGATGAGCCAAAATCTGGCTTTGAGGCAACTCTTTACTTAATTATGGCATTGTAAGCACTCTTCTCATCAAACTTGCAGGCCTGAACTTAAAAAACCCCCCAAGGAAAGTGCTTTCTTGTTATACAGCTCCTCCCTGCTTTTTGGCCATTTCAGTACAGTGGTGCCTCGCAAGACGAAATTAATCCGTTCCGCGAGTCTCTTCGTCTTGCGGTTTTTTCGTCTTGCGAAGCACGGCTATTAGCGGCTTAGCGGCTATTAACGGCTTAGCGGCTTTAAGAAAAAGGAAACAAACTCGCAAGAACTCGCAAGACGTTTCGTCTTGCGAAGCAAGCCCATAGGGAAATTCGTCTTGCGGAATGACTCAAAAACCGGAAAACTCTTTCATCTAGCGAGTTTTTCGTCTTGCGAGGCATTCGTCTTGCGGGGCACCACTGTACTATCCTATCAGGTCTACCAGAAGATCTGAATTAATCCTTTTGACTCCATTAAGTGGCTGCACCCACCTATTTAACAAGTGAAGGCTCATACTCACATCACTGATGTTATATGCATTGACTCTGGACTGGAGGAACAAGGGAGCGTCCGGAGGCATGGAACATTTGAATTTCTCACTCTCATGTTTGGCTTTGTAGTTCAGCTGAAATGTAGGATGAACAAATAATATTCTGAGTCAGTGTTGTCACAAGATGAAGCTAGGTCCCATGAAACATAAAACAAGGCAGGAGTTTTATGTTCTGAGTTGTCAGGTAACTTACATCGCTCAGCTGCTTGGAATTAATCTGTGCTTGTACCATCACGAGTGAATCTGGCACTTGTGTAAATTTGAGCTTATCGGGATGTTTTTTGTAGGCATACTAGGAAGACACGAAAGCAAAAATAAAACAAAATGGCAGTTGATTTCCAGTAGGCATTGGCATTATGGTGTGTATATATATATATATATATATATATATATGCTTTCGTAGATTTTCACGGGTACAGGAATGCAGGTTTTGGTGTCCTCGGGTGTCTTCCCGTGTAAAAGTTGGGGTGTCTAGGCGACGTTTCGACGAGGTCTCACTCGTCATCTTCAGGCTGGTGCTTTCGGCTTCTTGTTCCAGTAACAAGAAGCCGAAAGCACCAGCCTGAAGATGACGAGTGAGACCTCGTCGAAACGTCGCCTAGACACCCCAACTTTTACACGGGAAGACACCCGAGGACACCAAAACCTGCATATATATATATATATATATATATATATATATATATATATATATCAGTAACATCATAAATAGAGTTTTATAAACCAATTCAGATATCACACCTCCATTCATTCATTCAGCAAAAGTATAACTGGGGCAACACTGCCATTCACAAAACTTAAAGTTCTCTGACTGTCAAAAATATAAAGCATCCAAGAGCTCTCATATGTCCTCCAGCCAGGGAAGTGTGAAATATTCTGGTAGATTTTCCCTGGGAATCACAAGCATAATCTAACTCTGCCACAGTACACAGACAGTGGTGGAGGTCATCACTTGCACAGCTATGGCTATAAAGGGTGAATAGCATTGGTATGTATGGTTTTCCCTGGGAAAGCATACATGCGGCAAAGCACATTTTGGCCACAAGATGTCACAAGAAACCTGTAAAATGCATAGGTTGAGGAGAAACAATACTTGACCCATATAAGAGTGAAAGAAGACCCAGCGGTTTTATTTTAATGAAAAGGAAGCTACAGTTCTGAACAGAAGAGCAGTGGGGGGAGGGGAGAAGCAGATTATGGCAGGCCTATTTCCCCCAAAAAATATTCTCTACTCACGCTACTTCTACCTCAAAGGTCCAGCCTCCTAGAAGGTTGCTTTTCATTAAAAGAAAAGCATCAAGTCTCTAATTTGTGAGAACAAACTGAAAGCAATAATAGCTGATAAAATGCATATGTCAGGAGAGGGGACTGAAAAGTTTTTATTGCTGGTTCATTTTTATTAATTAGCAGAAAGCTGAGGTGCACAATTTGTCAAGTCTGTACCAACACTGGTGTGTATACACCTGCTAATTTTTGTCTCTCTTTTTACTCCTTGAGTCCTCATCTCTCACTTAAGCCAGCAATGGCAGGTACTTCTCTGCAGGACACGAATGCTGCTTGGTGGGTGGAGAGCCAGATTTCCTTGTCTGGTGTGCGACTGCATGTTAGAGAGTGTGGAGTTGGGGTCAAATGTGCCCCCCGTTGTGTGTGTTGTGTGTGTGTGTCCATATGAGCTCCCACCCTCAAAACTTCAAGTAAATAGAATTCTAGTACGTAGTTCTTTCTTGCTCCTTCCATTAATTTCGTGGAAATCTTGACTGTATAATGTGAAGTCACTCAGGATATAAGTAAGATCTTGCTTGATCCACAACTTACGTCTTTGCACTGGTCTAACTTCTTCATGGCTTCATATTCTTGAGTTATGGTCTGAGGGAAGTAGCCCTTTCCCTTGTCCTCTTCATAGTCAGCTTTGTAGTTTTTCTAGGAAAAGCCACAAGGGGTCAATAACCACCACGAACTCTATCTGAACAGGTTAAGGAAGTGGAATCCATACTTACATCGCTCTTCATGGCCGCAACCTTCATGCAGTGTGATTGGTACGGATCCTCAAAGGTGCCTATGTAGCGGCCCAAGATATTCTGCTGATATCCCTCTTTATATTTAACCTAGAGGAAAAGTGCCACATATTACAATAGGCATAATGGAGTTTAGCAAAGTCTTCTTTAGGCCATAAATCTAAGTGCAATTGCAACCACACTTACATCGCTGAAGCCTTTCAGCACATTGTCAAGTTGATACTTCGGGGTATCGCAGTAGTTGATACTTGTTCCCTTAGCTTTTTCATATGCTTCCTTATATAGTCTCTGCCGGGAGTGAAATATAAAAGTCATCATGTAGCAATAAAAGTTGACTGTGCAGGTCATTACAGATTGTTTTTGATTTTTTACACATCGACTGAACCTGAATGAAGAGCATTGTGAAAAGAGAGCAAAGGGGTACAGAAAAGAGGGTGTAAGAAATCTGTGTTTTAGTGTAGCAGCAAGCTACATTTTGGAACTCCCTGCCGATTAACATCAGGCAGACACCTCTGCTGTACTCTTTTGCTGTCAAAAACTTTTTTTGTTTTGGCAAGTCCATCCAGACAGATAGACATGTTGGCACGTTTTAATATTTTCTCTTTAGCCACTGTTGATTTTAATCACCTTTTCAAAAATGTTAAAACCGGACCTTAACGTCTTTAATTAACCATTTTAAACCATTTTATTTTATTAAACTGCTTTGAGGGTGGTGTTGTTGTTTAACAACAAAGCGGTACATCAATTTTGTTAAATAAAAAAATAAATACATAAAAATAAACATACGTCTAGAGCTACCTTGGCATATTCTCTCTTTATATACAGTCATACCTTGGTTCTGCATCACCTTGCAACTTGAACGTTTTGGCTCCCGAAGTGAGTGCTCTGGTTTGTGAACGTTCTTTGGAACTGAACGTCCGACGCAACTTCCGCGGCTTCCAGTTAAGTGCAGGAAGCTCCTGCAGCCAATCGGAAGCCGTGCCTTGGTTTTCGAACATTTTCAGAAGTCGAACAGACTTCCGGAACGGATTCTGTTCGAGAACCAAGGCATGACTGTATATATAAACGTTGGTGTAACAGGCAGTGCACTATCTATTTGGTCCTAGGATGGAGTTGAGAGGATCCAGATAGCTATGGGGTGGCCCTTTTGGCTATATACTGGAGCTTCTGCACATATACTAGCAAGGCTTTTCAGGGCACCACCCTTCTGCTCCTCAAAAACCACAAATAGTCACTTCAAGAGCTGAGGTAGCCTGGGTTGCAGCATGACTAGGAACTAGTCTAGAAAAGGAAAAATGGGGAAGTCCATGAGGGAAGCATGCTTGGGCACATGTGCTTGGCTATTTGGATCCTGGGCAGACTTTCTTAACTTAATACAGGAGGCTACATTCCAGCCATGTGAGAGTCAGAGGTGGTTTCTATAAACATCCATTCCTCACACCCTGGGCACATGAACACACACACTTATATCTTCATTATCCATCCAGACCATTATCACAATTCACAGGCACATAGCAGCTAGGCAAAAGCAATGAAGAAGTATGCAGAACAGGGCTGGCAAAGGGGGTGGCCTGGGGGCGTCCCACTAGATGGAATGTTTTATACTTGCTGATTCATAATTTTGGCTACAGAACTGACAACGGTTCATCAATGCTTGACAGAAACAGCTTTTGAAAGACCTGTAGGACTCTTCTAATATGCATTATTAATTATTATTATTAATAACATTTACATCAGTATTGGACGTGATTTACACATTATGATTTTTGCAAATATTTCAGAATAGTTTTATTGCAGGGAGTCAGAAGTACTTAAATAAATGGATGAAGAATTTGGTACCCTGCAGGTATCCTCCTATCGGTGCTAACCGGTGTAGTGTGTACGGAATGGGTACTTACATCGCTTTGCAGTTTGGCCACTTTCTGAGAATGTAGCATTTTAGGATCATCCTCAATGCTCAGAGCTCCAACCATCTTCCCTCTGCTCTGTTCATAAGCTTTCTTATATTCCACCTACATGGGGATAAGACATTGATGGTCTTCAACATTCTGCACTGCAAGCTGATCCAAATCAGCCTGAAAACTGCATTTCTCTGCAACACTTACATCGCTGGCAATTTTTCGATTGGCTTTGGCAGCAAGAATCGGAATGGCATCAAACTTGATCTCGAATTTCTTATCTTTCAATGTCTCCCAGTCGTACTTATAGCAAGTCTGACACAGAAGCAGAAGAAACAACATGAGGAAGGTGGGGCATAATATTAGGATGATTTAATGCAAAAATTGATCCATTTATTATGGTGTTCTTGTCTGTTGTTGTTGTTATCATAATTAGATTAATATACAGGCCTTCATCATAAGATCTCAGGGTGGCTCACAGAGTAAAATAAAATAAAATAATGTAGTATAAACACCAACAACTGGGAATTGTTGGCCTACAAGTGCTCCAATTGGACAACAGCCTTTACCGAAGGCGTCATGGACTTTGAAGAAGCCCGAACTCAGGACAAAAGGGAGAAACGTGCTAAGAGGAAGGCATGCTTGGCAAATCCTCACCATGATCAACTCCCACCCGGAAACTTATGTCCCCACTGTGGAAGGATGTGAAGATCCAGAATTGGCCTCCACAGTCACTTATGGACACACTGTAAAGACCACATTCATGGAAGGCAATCTTACTCAGCTATGAGTGATGGCCAAAGAAGAAGCAGAAAATATTGCAGAGGGTATATAACGCTCTAATTGTATAAGACATTTTTTTTAAAAAAATATAATCGCTAGAGAGTAGATTGCTTCATTATACAAGCCTTCCCCTACAAAAGCAGCTGATAACATTCATAAGCAACTAATGAACATAAAAGTCTACTATCCCCAGGGCTCACAAATCACCAGCATGGAATAACAAAGCTCAGTCCTAGAAAGAACATGTCATGTTCTAATTTACTTACATCACTGATGTTATACGCATTGACTCTGGACTGGAGGAACAAGGGGGCATCTGGAGGCATGGAACATTTGAATTTCTCACTCTCGTGTTTGGCTTTGTAGTTCAGCTGAAATGCAGATGAACAAATAATGACACTGAGGGCTTCAGCTAAAATGCTAGCACAATGAAACTGAGTAAGTGGTAAGAACATTTGCCCTCTCTAATACACACCATTTGTGTGACAATTGTTGTGTGACAAATGCACACAAGATAAGGGACAAGGACTCAGGTCAAGGGCATAAACCTTTCAAGGAATCAGGAATCCGCACATCTCTGTTAACAGAGTAGGCCAGTGCGTATTCCTGCTTCTGCATAAATCTATCGAGTCATCTTACAGAACAAGTATTATGCCCATTTCTGAATTGTTGATCTGTTTTGTTCTGGGTCACTTCCAGTGTTGTTGCAAGGTGAAGCCACAACATCACCACCGGAAGCTTGTTTGCCAGACACGGTCTAGTGAAACCTAAGAGTTTGTTGCTTGAGTTGGAGTTTGTTTGAGTTGCCAGGTAACTTACATCACTCAGCTGCTTGGAATTGATCTGCGCTTGTGTCTGAACAGGAGAATCTGTCACTTGTGTAAATTTGAGCTTATCAGGATGCTTTTTGTAGGTATGCTAGAGGGAAGAAAAAGACAATGACATTTAATTTCCAGCAGGTACCAGTAATAACAGAATTATACAGCAGTAAATCGCTTTGAGGTTGTTGTTGCTTTTACAAATCAAGCAGTACATAAATTTTATGAAATAAATAAAAATGTAAATAAATAAATAAATAAATAAATAAATAAATAGACAGACAGACAGACAGACAGACAGACAGACAGACATCTAATTCAATTCAGATACAGCAGTATTCATTTATTCATCAAAAATACTACTGGCCAACCAAGATCGCAAGACTGTCTTTTGCAGATCTGAAAGAACTCAAGACTACAAAAGTTATAAAGTTCCAATGGGCTTCAGATGTCCATCTCATGAAATATGAAACAGATTTTAGTATATTTACTGTTCAACATCATCTTATGGGATTTCACAGACAACAGAATCACAGATGATGGCGCAATCTTGGCACAAAACCAGATATACTTGCCAAGCACCATACATACATATGGCTGGGCTGGCTGTATATATAAATCAGAGGCATAGACTATCATTAGCTTATTAGCCCTGCTGTGGCTAAAGAGAGTGTGCAACGTTAGTGTACATAGTTTTACTTGAGAAGTTATGTGTGAGAAAGCTAAGCATATTCTGGCCAGTAGATGTCACAAGAAACCTGTAAAAAGCTTATGAAGATGTCACCTTTCAAAATTAGGAGACCTGAGGGTTAGCTACAATTCACATGCAAATGACTGCAGAAAGCCACACCATTTTTATTTTAATGAAGTAAAGCCCCAAGAGGCTGAAATTCTCAGCAGAGAAGTAGCTGAAGCTTTTCTCCGTTGGACATATTCCAGCTCAAAATCATTCTCTCATATTCTCCCCCCCCCCACTAATAATAACCTGCCTTCTATGACTGCTTTTCAGTCAAAGAGAAGTATTACAGCTCCATTACATGCCTTCATGAGTAATGTATAATTTGCACCTGACTCAAAACAGACCTTTTATTAGCAGGATGAATATTTCAAAAGAGGGAAGAGCACTTATCTTCAGTTCTGTGAATTATTAAAGTCCATGATTGATGCAATTAATTAGTACTTAGCCTAAGCCTGATCTTTGGCTTGTGTATATATGTTAACATAGATGTGTATTTGTTAATTCATCTGTGTTTTAAATTGTGATTTACACATTTGAAATGTTGCATGCTTCTGGAAAATCTGTAAGAAATTTTAAAAGGAATCACTTCAGCTCCTTCCATGAACTCCTTGAAATTCCTGATCACGTAGCATAAGATAAGATAGAATGAAGGTAAGATCCCATAGGAAGCAAATACTCACATCTTTGCACTGGTCTAACTTCTTCATGGCTTCATATTCTTGAGTTATGGTCTGAGGGAAGTAACACTTTCCCTTGTCCTCTTCATAGTCGGCTTTGTAGTTTTTCTAGGAAAGGTCACAAGGGATCAATAACCACCAGAAACTTCATCTGAACAGGGGAAGACAGCGTCAGGAAATGGAATCCATACTTACATCGCTCTTCATGGCTGCAACTTTCATGCAGTGTGTTTGATATGGGTCATCAAAGGTGCCTATGTAGCGGCCCAAGATATTCTGCTGATATCCCTCTTTATATTTAATCTGGAGGAGAAGTGCCGCAAGTTACAACAAACTTACCAGTTTATGGAAGTCTCATTGGGACCACTATTTAATTGCTGCCATACTTACATCGCTGAAGTTTTTCAGAACGTTGTCAATCTGATATTTGGGAGTGTCACAGTAATTAATGCTGGTTCCTTTCGCTTTTTCATATGCTTCCTTATATAACCTCTGCCAGGTGGAAGGAAAAGCCATATTGTAAAAGACCCCCATCAAATAGCATGGTTCCCTCCATTCATCATGGTGCCATTAAATTAGCAAGCTTGGGCTGCCTTAAATTTGCTGAGAAGGGACATTTGGATTCAAATGCACATTCTTTTCTGACCTTGCATGGTAAGAATTTAGGCAGAGCCTTGCTGGATCAGACCAAAGAACCCTGTTTGCAACAGTGGTTAGCAGAGATGCCCTATAATTTTTTATTTTATTTTATTTTATTATTGGTAGTAGTAGTAGTAGTATACCCCACCCATGTGGGTGGCTTCCAGCAAAATATTAAAAATACAGTAAAACGTCAGACATTAAAAACTGACGTTAGGGGCAGAGATGCTCCAGGTATACTGGGCTGAAGCCGTTTAGGACTTTAAAGGTCAGCACCAGCACTTTGAATTGTGCTTGGAAACGTACTCGGCGTATATGGTCTCCCAGTCAACAGTCTAGCTTTCTGGATTAGTTGTAGTTTCCAAGTCACCTTCAAAGGTAGCCCCACGTAGAGTGCATTGCAGTAGTCCAAGTGGGATATAACCAGGGCACGCACCACTCTGGTGAGACAGTATGAGGGCAGGTAGGATCTCAGCCTGTATGCCAGATGGCCTCCATGGACAGCTGAGAGTCCAAAATAAGTCCCAGGGTGTGCATCTGGTCTTTTTGGGGTACGGTTACCCCGTTCAGGACCAGGGAGTCCTCTACACCTGCCCTGCCCCTCAAGAACAATACTTCTGTCTTGTCAGGATTCAACCTCAATCTGTTAGCTGCCATCCACCCGCCAACTGCCTCCAGACACTCACACAGGACCTTCACTGCCCTCATTGGTTCAGATTTGAAGGAGAGGTAGAGCTGGGTATCATTTGCATACTGGTGGACACCTAGCCCAAACCCCCTGATGATCTCTCCCAGCAACTTCATGTAGATGTTAAAAAGGATGGGGGAGAGGACGGAGCCCTGAGGCACCCCACAAGTGAGAGCCCAGGGGTCTGAACACTCATCCCCCACCGCCACTTTCTGAACACGGCCTAGGAGGAAGGAATGGAACCACTGCATAATAGTGCCCCCAGCTCCTCTAGATGGTTCAGAAGGATGTCGTGGTTGATGGTATCAAAGGCTGCTGAGAGATCCAGCAGAACTAGGGAACAGCTTTTACCTCTGTTCCTATCTGTCCATGAAGGCAACAGATCTCTCTCCACTCCTTGTCCTCTAACTACTAGCATTCCAAAGTATCTGAATCTGAAGGGCCCATTCAGCTATTGTGGCTAACCATTTTTGATATGTTTTTAATCAAAGGCACATTTTTAATCAATAAAAGATTGTTAGTCACTTGAGCTAGGTAACTTGCAAAGTAAATCCATAGGCTTGCAAAGCAAATCCATAAAAAGAGTCCTAATTCTGAATAATGAATGGCTACAACAAACTATTGATTGGTCTTGGCCAAAATTATCCCTGGAGAAATGAACCACACTTACATCATTCACAAGATTTCCAGCAGCTTTCAGATGTTTAAGCAGTGGGTTCTCTGTAGCTGGAAGCACATTATAGTCTGTAGAAGCCTTGGATTTTTCGTAATCTTCTTTGTATTTTATCTATCAAAATTAAGAAGAAAAACATTCACTTTTCCAAACTTGTGTACTTTGAGTCTCTTAAATTCCTGGTTGGCACTATTTATAGCGTTGCTTATCTTTCACTTCTTTTTATAAAATATGTTTGAGTAATTTACATAGCTTCTTCAGCGAGGGAAAAGTGCAAAAATAAGACTCTTAAGAAATTTAGTGCCATTTACAGCCAACAGTTGGCATTTCTTCTGTGATTCAAGCAGCTGTTCGTGCTCATCTCATGTGATGCAAGTAAAATGTGTTATACCTGCAAGGGATGCTGTGTGTGTGTGTGTGTGTGTGTGTGTGTGTGTGTGTGTGTGTTTTAAAAAAACTCTTTTCAGGCTGTATTATCCATTGTGCTGAAATTATCCTATGGAATCTGAGAAAGATGACAATGGGCAAAAAATTGTATTGTCAGGGCCCAGTGTCTTCAGTAATACTAAGAGCCAAGAGAATTGACAACTACTCAGTGTTGCGGAGCCCAGCAGCAAGGTGACTTTGACCACAGAGGCAGAGTAAACAGCTACCTGGGGCAGCACACAATACAAGAGGAGCCCACAGAAGCTGACTTTTCTGCATGCAAACAGAGAGCCAATCAAGAATAATCCCCATTCCACCTAGGGCAGCAAAAGGCCTTCAACATGTTGAAAATGGATGCAATATTCATTTCACTTGCGAAACGGGAATAACAGTGGATGCCTATTCAAATACGGATTGGGAAATTGCTAAAGTATTTCATAGAGGGCACAATCTAAATAAGTACTGAGAATATTAAGCATACCTTACTGGCAGTAATTCCAGCTTTCTTATTAACTGCATACTCTGGTGTTTCAGTCTGCATAAAGTAGATTTGGTCTTTCTGATTCTCCCAGTCTTCTTGGTATTTTCTCTGTAGGGAGCAGAAAATACAGTTATACTCAGTTCAGTAAAATACAGGTCTAAGTTGGAATTTAACTGGGAAAGGAAATGAGAATCTAGAAAGCAGCGCGGAAACACAATGATCAAGGCACAAAATTCGTACTCATTTGCTGAATTGCAATACGCTTTCTTTACCGGGCTCAAGTTATCAGCATTCATTTTGGCAACTGCAACATCATAGCATGGAGTTTGGCTCCATTTGCCCCTGATCTTCTTGTCATAGTCTTCATGATAGTTGCGCTGTAGAAAACAACAACAAATATTGAACTGTGCACAGCCAACTAAAGTAAAGGAATCACATCAACTCCTATAATATGTTTGTTTCATTACAGCTGCTATGAAACCCCTATACTTTTCAACATCCCCTTAAATGTTTCCCATTTTTCTTTTACTCCTGAGCATTATTGGGAGGTGAAGGAACTGCAACTTGAATTTGTATAGAATTCTCTCTCTCTCTCTGCTTTATTGGTTTTAAAAACTGTGTAACATAAGTAATATACAGAAATAAACATTCATTCCATAGTTGGTGCTTGTTGCATGTAACAATTTGTAGTTGGATTCAACATTATCTCCCCATTGTGGTTCCCAGATTATATTCTTTATCTGCACGCTAAATTTTGTCTCCTCTAGGTTGTTTCAATTACATTAATTTTATAAGATTCTCCTATTACACGCAGAAAGTCAATCCAGATCTGCCAACGGATTTATATTTTTGCAATGTTCTTTTAAGTAAACTCTGTACACATCCCACTCCCTATTGAATTTTTCATCGGTAACATCTTGGAACCTTGCTGATAATCTGGCTAGTTCTGCATATTCCCTCAATTTGTTTTGCCAGTCTAATTTGGATGGGACAGCTTCTCCTTTCCAACCTTTGGCAATTAAAATTCTGGCTGCATTTCATGTATGCTACAGTAGCAGCCAGAATTTGTATAGAATTCAATCAAATCTTCATAGTAATGTAGAATCTAAACTCATACTATTGGCCCTAAAATAACAAATCACAATAAATATAAAATGTACCCCTTATGGAACAAAAGGCTACATAGACATATGAAAGTTTCTCACTAATTGTATAAGTGGTGGTGCTGACAGACAGGAAAGAAAGGGGGTCACCAAAAACCCCAGGATCTCATAGGAACATAGGAAGCTGCCTTATATGGAGTCAGACCACTAGTCTATCTAACTCAGTTTTGTCTACACTGGCTGGCAGTGGTTTTTCGGGTTTTCAGGCAGGGATCCCAGTCATACCTGGAGATGCTGGAGATTGAACTCAGCAGGCAAGGAAGATGTTCTACCACTGAACTACAGCACTTGCCCACTAACTCAATTATCTTTTATTCTCCCACCACCAAAAAGCCTTGGTTTCCAAACTACTCTCATTAATCTTCCTGCCCTCGACTTCTGGTCTGTGCTCCGTTCTTTTGGTTGCCTATCCTATCCCTAAAAGGTAAGTTTGGGAAAACTTAGAGAGACCAGTAGTGAGATATATTACAAGACATTCCATTAGAGGAAGAGAACAATGAAAAATGCAGCAATTCATGACTAACGTAAATGAGGGGGTCAGACATTATTTTTTTTATCACAATCTGCTTTGGTTCTGAGTTTCATTTACTGGCTATTTACAACAAATTACACGACCACATTAATTTCATCCCTCTTCTTTCCATCTTGGTACTAGATTAATTATACCTAAATATCAACTTTATTAGTCATGCTTCATGGTTGTGGAATTCATCAGTTGTGCAATTAATTCAACGCATGAAATCAGATATGGGCATTCTGTTTGCCGTCACATTTCCCAAGTCTGTGAAGCATTATTTTGTATGGAAATGGAATAGGGAGGCACATTTATTTTTATTTTTTTAGCATTTTAGGTCTCTTCAGCGGAGGTTTCCTAACTGAATTACCTCACACAATAGATTGCCTAATTTGCCTTTGGTCTGATCCAGCAAGGCTCTTATAATGAAGTTGAAATGGTAAAATATTCAAGAGGAAACGATTCTTCACACAACGTATAGTTAAACTATGGAATTCTCTGCCACCAGATGTACTGATGGCCACCAACTAAGAAAGATTCAAAATGGGATTAGACCAGGGTTTCCCAAACTTGGGCCTCCAGCTGTTTTTGGACTACAATTCCCAGCATCCCTAGCTAGCAGGACCAGTGGTACTATCAAACACGAATCAGATGGGTAGTTATTTTTTAATGCTTAATGTAAATGAGAAAAACCCTGCTAGATTAGATCAAGTTCTCACAGTAGTGAATCAAGGCTGGGTACACACCGTCACTTCATTCAAAGCATCCTGGGAACTGTAGTTTGTTTAGGGTGCTGGGAATTGTACCTCTGTGTGAGGTAAACGGCAGTTCCCAAGATTCTTTGGTGATAGTCATGTACTTTAAATATATGGTGTATAGACAGTCCATGGGAAGCTGGCAAGCAGGAACTGAGTACAATAGCAGTCTCCACAGACGGAAAAAGAGGGTGGAAGAGAGGGAGAGGTAAGATTCAACAGGAAACCGAGATGGGGCCAGAATGACTGCAGAAGGCCACGTGGCAAGCATAGCTTTGCCTTTTACAGCACTTGGTATTTTCCCTGCCCTCTATGCTAAGAATTAACACTACTCACATCACTGAGCTGTCGGGTCACTTTCCTGGCAAGCTCCACATCAGGTGGGTCTGGCAGAGAAGTGTATTTAGCTTTGCGTTCATTGTGCCCCTTTTTGTAGACAATCTGAAATAACAGGGACAGACAAGGCCTGCTTGTTTCAACAAGGAAGACATTCACTCTTGCTTTCTCTTAACACGGAGCTAGTTTGCACTCACTAGTAAAATAAAGGCAATCAAATTAGCACCACTGCTCTATAGCGTTTGGCAATCCCAAGCAGGTTTACTCTGAAGTAAGTCTCAGTGATGTCAGGGAGCCTTACTCTCTAGCAAATGTGCTTAGGATTGCAGCTGCATTCTGCTTGAAGGACAAGTTGTTATCCTTACATTTCAGCTTAGGAAGAGAATACACACCCTCATGCTGACTAAAATATCTTAATGATCCTATCAAGTGTTTGTTTGTTAAACATGGACTTCCTTATCTAACAACACAGGTTCACATCACACTAGCAGGATCTCGGTACTTACATCACTGAGGGACTTTTGCGCCTGTGCTACTCTCCTTAGTTCGGGGCTGTCGTCATAAGGGTAGAATAATGCTTTGTCCGCTTCCCAGTCTTCGATGTATCGTTTCTTAGAGAAAGGGAAGCAACAACAACACGTTCCATTTGGGAAACATAAGCTAAATGAAGGAGGCACCAAATGAACGGGGAAATAATTCAGGGCCTTTCGGGGCCTGGCCTACCTTGCTGAAAATTTCGGAAGCTTTTACAGCCTGCACAAACTCAGGAGCATCAGGAGGGAGCAGGTACTTTTCCTTATTCTCTTCCCAGTTCTGTTTGTATAACACCTAGAGAGACAAACCGGCAAGGTTAAGGGAAGCACCTCTGTTTGTTCACCTAAAGCCTATGCTCTGGACATTTTACAGCCAAATATCCCCTAAAGATGAAGAATAAATTCAGGGGTAGCTTCACAAATGTGGAATTTACTCCCCAGAGAGATTTACCATATCTGCCCCCTTCCTGTTTTTCGGACTTACCTTGCTAACTTGCTGGGAGACCTTCTTTGCGTGTTCTATGTCTCTTGCTTGTCCATCCACGTGACAGTTAGTCTTCGCCGCCTCACCAGCCATGCGATATTTAACCTACAGAAACCACATATACAGAATAGGGAACCCATAATTAACAGCCTATACAACAGATACATGTGTCTAGAATAACCCTGCAAACGTAAAAAGCTACCTGATACTAAGATGAGGGATGAACTGAAATACAGGTAAGTTGGTTTTAATTAGGAATTAAAGTGTCGTGAGACTGACGGAAGTCCAAAGAACAAAAGAATATGAAAAATGAAATACCTAAGAAGTGTTAGCTTCTTAGGAAAACAGACGATATATAAGGGGTAACTGTTTAAAGTGTATGTATTTGGTTTGCAAAGTCTTAGTTTAATAATGAATGAATGCTGTTCCATCTACGATTTTTTCTTATCTTCATTAAGATTTAATTGTATTAGTTTATGTAATTTATTTAAATTTCTGCTTTTATTCTTTCTTTTCTTTTTCTTTTTGTTCTTTGTAACCTTTTAAAATTATTTTTCTTCTTTTCACGTTTAAAAGTTTTGATCTGTATGTATTTGCAAAATAACTCAATAAAACAAAAACAAAAAAAACCAGATACATGCATCACCATGTTTTACAAGTGTGGACATTTTAAGCACCTGGAAATGTCCACTTTCAACTATACCATTAAGTGAAAGTGGAGGCTTCATCAGAGATGCCCAGGTATGAATGTGCATCTCAATGCAGGTGAGTTATCTGAGTGCACATCAGCACCCAGCCAGTGTTTGCCAATCTTGGACCACAGTGCCTTGATGCCCACATTTCCTTTATTGAATAAGAACATGTGTATGTTTGTAGGTGGGTAGGTAGGTCTGTGGGTGTCGCTGGTCAAAAAAGCTATTATTCCTCCTTCCTTGACTCACAGGTATCTAGGCATTTAATCTGAATCCTAGAATTTCTAGCTTGATGCCGAGTCTGCATTTTGCTATGCCAAGAATCTTAGCAACATTTCTTCTAAGGTTCCAGATTGGCTTACTGTAACTTTATCTGTGTGGCTCCTGCTTTCCTCACTAGAATTAAAATAGCTTCAGAGAGGCACAGCTCACTGCTTAAATACTCTGACAGCCCTGGCGCTTACCTCACTGAGCTGGTCCTGGGCTTTCTTGATTCTTCGAAGTTCAGGGGTGTCACTTGTGCTTGCATATGGCTTCCCTCTCTCCTTCTCAAACTTCTCTTTGTACTTGTTCTGGGAGGGAAAATAGAGCAAAATGAGGACACAGTCAACATGCTATCAAGCTCTTACTGTGAATCCTCTGGAAACTGTGATGCGGAAATATTTTCACCTGAAGATTTTAAGTGGTATTTATAGAGACATTCTATGCACCCCTAAGGAGAGAAATACAAGCCTAGTGTGAAAGATAGTTTAAAGCAGGAAGAGGCAACCTGTGTCTTCTATTTCCCTAAGTAGTGCTCTGGGGGACAGAAATTAATTTTGTTCATCAAATTTTAGGCTTTACGGCAGGGATGGAAATGCTGTGCAGATGCCAATATTATTTTGAAATTAGCTCTGTGGAGAGGAGGTCAGACCGCCTCCCTCCTTCCACACTCTTAGAGTGGATAAATCATGGTTACCAATATTTGCTACACTGAAAATAACAGGTGAGCGTCATTTGTAATGTTGCTAGCTATAATATTCATTAAAAAAACCAAGCAAAGATTTCTAAATTGAAAACAACAGATTTTTTTTAAAAAAAACCAACCATGTACAACACAAACATAAAACCTCTGAAAGTTTGGACTTAGCCAAACTTGGGACTCAATTGCTTCAAACGGGAGATGTTAGAAACAACTTTTGACTTACGTCACTGAAGAGCTTTTGCATTTTCGAACTGTGATCCAGGTAAGGTGTCATAAACTTTGACGTGTCCACTTTTTTCCGTACAACCTTTTTTCTGACAGGAGGAGAGGCCTTTTGAGTGGTGTCCATGGTTTCAGTAGTATGCTCTGTAGTGGTTACCGTGCGAGGAGCAGATCCAGTGGTGTATGTTGTCTCCGTGATCTCCGTAATTATCTAGGAATGTGGGGGAAGTATTAGGGCTTTCAATTAGCACCTTGGAATAGCTGTAGAACCTTTTAATACTATCATCACTTTATGGTTTATTATTAAATTTGTTAGTCGCTTTTTCTCGCCCAGGGCAACTCAAAGCAACTTGCAACCAACCACACTTTTATCACCTCTTTATTTATTTATTTTTAAGTTTCTATAATATACAGTGGCCTAGTTCTCATATCACGTTAAATTATAGTTAGAATAAACCATAGTTTAATGTAAACAAGCAGTGTGCTGGTGCATGCTGCTGAAATTAAAAGGTGTTGCACTCAGAGGCGGAGCTAGCTGCTCCAGCCCCCGGAGTGGCACACATGCTGTGCACCTGGGGGTGGGGCCACAGAGGCGGGGCAAGTGTCCCAGGGGGCGGGGTGAGTGTCTCAGGGAGGCGCCGCCCATAGCAAGCCTCCCAGGGGGCAAGACACCCAGTGGGGCAGAGCGAGCGGCTCATGGCGGGCTGCTTCCTGGGCGGGAAGGAGGGAGCTGTGCCGCTTTGTCAGCAGCCTTCCTCCCTTCCCTCTTCCTTTTGACAGCTTGGGGGAGGCTTCCCCCCCAGGAAGCAGCCCAGGAGCGGGGGGCAACAGCGCACTGCCCGCCTGTGACTCCCAAGCCTCCCCTGAGCAGTCAAAATGAAGGGGGAAGGGGCGGAAGGCCACTGGCAAGTTGGCGCAGCTCCGCCCTTCCCCTGTCGGCTCGTAGTAGGCTTGGGAGTCACGGGCAGACAGCGAGCCGAATGTCACTCCCCCAATGATGACACCCGGGGAGGCCCACCCCACTGCCCCCTTCCTCCGCCCCTGGTTGCACTCTGCCTTTACTTCTGCTTCTGTCATGCTGCTAGGGAACAAACCATGGTCTGGTGTTTGGTTTACCCCAGTGATTTGTCTGGGGGGAAAGAAACCACAAGTGCAGGTTTGGACTACACAACAAGCCCCACTGTGACTCGCTTCCCAGTAGTGCTGTAGGAATGGGAGGGGAGCGAAGCACCCATGGTTTCATATTTTAACTAGCGTTAAAACATTATTTTAACCATGGGTTAATGTGATATGTGAATCAGGTCACTGCATTTCAAGATCAGCGCAAGCCAGATACACATGGGCTTGTTCAGAAAGAGTCTCCAACAGTTTTCATGCATACTGCAAAACAAAACAAAAGTATTAACCCTCACCCCAACAATGGATTGTACTGACTGTTGTTTGCACCGTTTCCTCACAAAATATAAAATAACTTAATGTACCTGTGTGGTGGTTGAAAGGACTCACTGAGTTAACACGTTTGGGATAAGTCTTGTAAACAGCTTTCCTAAGGTTGCCATATTTCAAAAAGTGAAAATCCGGACACAAAAGTTGTGCAGCGTTTTTTTTTTTTTGCTAACTAAAATAAAAATAAAAATTAAACTATTGCTAAAAAATGGGCAAAAAATAAATGTTTCCAATGTGGGCTGCCGTAGACCCGGGTTTCCATTTTCAATGGACAGCTCTCAGCCCTAGCTTTGCTCTCCATATGCAGCATGGAGTAAAAATCAAAACATGCAATTGGACTAATTGGGGAGTGAGGGGCTGGGAGATTGGAGGGGAGGAATCTGTGGCGACCATATGTTTGGGATAGTGCGTCCATGTGCCCTACAGAGGGCAGTCCTGTGTTTGAAGGCTTGACAGACGACATTTCTATCCAGTCCATCTGTGGTTTAAAGAAAGACTTGTGCGGAGGGAGAGCGTTAAAAAGACCATCACCAGTTAGCATAGGCTTCCTCGAACTCGGCCCTCCATGTGTTTTTTGGCCTACAACTCCCATGATCCCTAGCTAGCAGGACCAGTGGTCAGGTATGATGGGAACTGTAGTCTCAAAACATCTGGAGGGCCGAGTTCGAGGAAACCTGAGTTAGCATCTGCACAGGTCACCCGGTCACAATCTTCCCCACAGTGGTGAGATGTTATTCTTTTCTATTTAAATTGCAGTAATTATTTTTTGAATTTGCATCAAATTTACACATATAAATTAGCATATGCAAATGTTATGCAAATAGGTGCCATTTTGCCCCCTTTTATGGTGGTGCATTTGTTCTTTTGTAAGGAGATTTATAAGTGGCCACCCTATCTAGACAGTGTATTTACAATAGCTTTTTCAGGGTCAATTCACTCAGAAGCTGCAGAATCTATCACCGTGACTGCAGAGATCACTGCTAGAAATTTCAGGGTATTCACAAATATTTTGGTTCACATTCTGTTTGTGAATGTGTCAGAGAGGACTCCTGGGAAGCATCAGCCATGAGTTAGCAATGCTGCGGTGCAGGACACAATGAGGTATGACACTGCAGCCAGATGGGTTGGGTATAAATAATGAAATAAATAATTATTATTATTATTATTATTATTATTATTATTATTATTATTATTGCATTGCCCCCCCCCCAATATAAGTCCCCTTTCCATTTGAGGAATGCCTTAATGTGCTTATTATATTAACATGACACACATCACCCAAGCTGTTTCCATGAGAAACAGGTTGGCTGTTCAAGAGGTTGACTGTTTTCTAAATAAAGGTTTCTGGTTATTCACAGCAGGGGTTGGATTTCAAAAGTTTTTCGCACCACCATTGCACACAGAGAACTCCCGCTGACGTCAAGAGGAATTTTGAATGTGGATCAGTGATGGGGTAGCCTCAGAGGGCAGAAACACTCTTAAAACTGTTATACTTTGGAATAACCTTTAGTAAGATTAAAATGAGTGAGATTACACCAGAATACATGATCAGAGAATCGCTAAACAAGAATAATCAGTGTCTCTGCAAGATGTATATGAGGTCATTTAAAAAAAAATGTATAAGGCTAACTTTACTTCATAAAACTGAACCAGCATATATATAATTTACCTGAAAGTGATATATATAGTACACAACATATTAGCTTTTTGTTGTTGTTGCTTACACTGATAGTCATGTTTTAAACATGGTTAGATTCTAAATAAAAACAGCAATAAAATAAATTTCAGAAATTATTTTAAGTATCTATTGTTAAATTTTTTATAAAATACTTTATTTTTTCTAAAAGTGACAACCCATCATAGGAAACAAAAATAACCTCGGTGCAGCTAGCACTGGATTATAAAAACATGTCTGCTTTAGGATAACATCTCAGGCAGATTCAACTAGCCCGTATAAGCTACAGAGCTTTCTGTAAGTGAGAAATTTCCATGCTTATTAGCTTATTTTGTGTTGTTCTTGTTTTATAGATTCTGTTTTACTTGCAGAACTCTACCACCCTCTCGAGTCAGATAACATGTTACTGAAAGCCTGAAGAAATATTTCATCTGGTAAAGATTTAAAACAGAAACATTTGGAGAATCGATTAAATCAAATTGTTTTTATAAATTCTGCAGTAATTTCATGAAGATGCGCCATCACATAAACAAGAAACAAAAGATAGGAACGCAAGATTGGGGCGTGCATGATGAAAATGGATGACACCACAAAATGAATGGATACAGGACTGATGTGTACAGGTATAAAAGTAGGCAGGAAGAAGACTTTGGTACATCTCTTATTTTAAATCTATTCCATTCCTCTCTTAAATGACATTTTTCATTTCGTGGTTCTTAAGGAGTACTGTTCACTGTTCTCTGTAAACTGAAGCACCGCTATCATGATATCAACATGAGAGGTATAGTCATAACTACTAAAGCCCATGCATCTGGGATGCAGATTGTACTCTGAATCTGCATCCATCCAAAGGGAAGCAAGAAAAACCTAATCTAATAGCGTACAAAGCACTGAGCATAATAACAACTACAGGAGCAAAAGAATACAATGCCATTAGAGCCCTTTGCAAATTAATGCCATCCACACAGCATCAGGGGAGAAAAGTACTTCTTTGAATATTGTGTTAATACTCTGTGTTAATAATCAAGCCATATTTCTTGATTAAGTCATTGATCACACAGTTCTATGGGGTACTGGATGAATTTCACATCCCAGTGGATTATTATGTGGGAACACATAAAACCCTGAACACATAAACCCTGAAAAATCATTAAAAATAACGAAACAAGGGGTTTGCGCATAAAACAGAGGCTTTTACCTCTCCCGGTTCACCCTCAATGACCTCCTCTTCAATGTAGTACTATAAACAAAGGAGAGACCTTGTTATTTTTCACAATATCATTCATAAAGAGATGCATCTTTTCCTTTGACTCAAGGAATAAAAAGTAGGGCTGAAGAAATGTTTTGGTAGTAGAGGTCATATTCTGCTGGAAAATTCTTGAAGATTCCCACCAGCAATGGAACAGGTGAAGGTTTACAAACATTCGTTTCACTGCAGCAAAGAGCAATTCATGAACATAAGTAGGTTTTCAAGGTCAGATCACCCTCAACCAATATGCAAAAGGCTGTAGCAAGTGTGAAATACCTTGTCTCCCAGCAGCTTAGGTTTTGGACACTATACAGAGCCCCGTCTAAGGACCCAAGACTGTATACCTGTAGCTACACTTGCAGAGTTTCCTATACGCATACACTCAGCTGAAGCCCCATTTCCCATGGGGTACTAGTTTTTTTAATGGGGAGGAAGACGTATTTCACAGAAAGATTCAAATGTCAGCTCTTGGAAATAGTCAGGAAAACATACTAGCAGGTTGCACAATTAAAGTTGAACCACAAACTCAATCCCTTCGCCCCAATTGGCCTTTTTTGTAATAAAGAAAGTGACAGGAAAATGCACGGGATAGTGAGATAACCCTTGCTTGCTGCAATGTGAGTCAACCTAACCACAAACAAATCAGAATGAATGTTCAGTAAATAGCTGGTGTCATCTAATCTCCCTGCAAACAGTCAGGATGAATGATCAATGAGCCTAAAGGTGCATCCGTACCTTTGATTCATTTCTCCTATGTATGTCGTGAACTAATCCCATTAAAACTTCATGAAGTATCCAGTATTGCAGCTGGCTATGTCAGACCTGAACTGAGTTCCCATAGGGATCAGGGACTCATATTTCATATGGAACAAATCCAGTATCTGCAAAGGTTCAGCCTCAACATCTATTTGCCAGCCCAGAAATAAAAAGGATGAGTTAGGACTGGTATTGGGGCTTGCCTACTCCACTTCCACCTTCCTTAAAATGACCCTCTGGCAAAACCGATTGCTGGCGAAGGTTTTAAATCTGGAAACTGCAATAACCTTTGAAAGGCCCAAATCAACATGTTGGCTTCATGAGGAAAAGGGTGTATGGCTGATCTCCCCTAAGATTAATCATGTATCTGGAGTATTCTATTGTCCATACAGTGAAGAAAGAATCAGGCCCCACCATGTAAAAATTAAGCATTATATCCTTACTGCATAGACTTAATAAAATAGAAACCATGGCCTCCAGAATCTTGTTAACCTAACCAAATCTAATCACAACTTCTAGGCAATCCCCATGGAAATGATTCCGATAGTAACATGCCCAAATTCCTTTAGTACTATCAGTATGTCGGTCTTCATGCTAAAGAGCTACCCTAAAACTGTGAGAGAAATCAATTAGCCAACAACTACTCAAAGCTTACTCAGTGCAGATTATGCAGGTCCAAACTCCTATTCACGTGAACAGCTCTCTAGTCTGCATTTTTATTTGCATTCCATAGTACCAACATAGAATCAGAGTAGTTTGGAGTGTGGACTCTCACAAATGCAGTCAGTCAAGTATGTCCAAAACTGAACAAAGATCCGAAAGAGCCAAAAATGCTTAACTGGAACATGTTTTTGTCAGCAACCCTAGGACTGAATTTGTTTTATTGTCGCAAGTGTTGCTGATTTATAACTTCTGTATTGGTGTATAAAATCCAATTTGTATACATATTGCTGATCGGCCTGCTCTAACTCTTAAAAGATCCTTCAAAATTATTTCCCAAAGCTGATCCACAGCATTATCAAGATAAAACCTATCACTGATAGTGGCAAATCACATCTTCTCAGACATTTGAGTGATAGGGCTTGCATTAATCAACATCTCAGTGCATCACAGTTTCAAACTACATTCAATATCACAAGAGTGTTAATCGAGAATTACCACACATCTTTCTTAAAAGTTATTTGTATCATTTCATGTATGGTATATTCTGGTGAAACTGAGGCATAGCTGATGATACACTATAGATGACGCAAGAGCCACTATGATCTATTTTTGTATCTTTCATCCACAGTATGACATGGTCACCCACATTTAAATTGATATAGATATAAATAGATTATTAGACTTGTGGCTAAGTCCAGATGCCTCTCTACTGGGCTATACTTGCTCTCAGTATTATAAATTGCATTACATCAAACTGAACATTCATTATTCATTATTTGTGTCTTGTGGATTGTCAATTTATGAGTGATTTTCTATTGTTGATTCATTTGGTTTGCGTGTTTGCTGCAACCAAATGTATAGGTTTATATGCTGTGAGTTTTTATTGGTTTTTTGTTCTTCTTTGATATGGAAAGTCTTAAAAAACTGATCTTAAAAGCCCCCCCCCCAATAGAATATAGAGCAGGGATGGAGAATCTCAGACTTGTTGTCCAATTATGACCCTTCACATTTCCATGGACCACATTAGCCCAAGGTGAAGTCTGAAGAAACTGGCCACCTAAAGGCAGTGTCCACCATTGCCAACACCAGCAGCTGATGAATGCTTTTGCAAATAACTTTGTTCCAGAAGAAAAATGTGCTTGTTTCCCAAGCTGCAAATGCCACCATGTGCCTGGGTGGCTTACAAGAACAGACGGAGTGAATTCTCCCCCTGGCTTTTTCTTCACAGCCTGCCAATGGTACTTGGCAGTAAAAGAGAATGTAGATGGAGAGAGGGAAGAGAGCTTCACTGTGTATGCATATGCCTGTAGGAATGCTGTACTAATTCTATTTATAAATGAGAATATATGCATAGGCATGGGCATTCATAAGCAGATGTTCGTGTAGTTGTCAGAGAGATTGTGAGAAACTATATGTGTGCCATCATAGGAGCACAACCATACGTTTTTCCTTGTGGTCTACTGGCCAGCTTCAGATTGGTAGCATAGGCCCTTTACTAAGAGGAAAGGTTTCCTATCTCTGACCTACAGGTTCTGCATAAACCAGTAGAGCCAGATGTCCCAAACAAAATGTTCACGCAAAGAATCATCCATGACATGCCCTTGGATTTTGGCTCCTTGAGAGCAAATGCTTCATTGCTCAGCAATATGTTAAATTTGTTTCTGAACATGAATCTGTTTCGCCCAGAGTTAAAACATGAGAGTAATGTATAACTGGCAAGCAATGATGAAGACCAGAGCTATTTTTAATGTTTCTGGAAAGGGCTATGCAGCTTTAAACTAATACCAGATGCAATTGTTGCCATTTTATTTATAATGTTTTAGTGCAGCTATGAATATCTCAAGAAAGATGGGGGGGGGGGGAGAGAGACAGACAGACATCTGGAGAAACAAGCCCACATAGGCACAATTCAAAGTCAATTAAAAATGACACTGTGAAATAGAGAACAATTATTAGTCTAATGAGAAACACACAGTGATGAGAGAACAGACAGGAATACCAGATATTATGACATGGTAGGTATGAATATGTGAAAAAATACAACAGCTTTTGCCACTGCAACAAAGGAAAATATTATGGTCAAAGATACCCTTGATTGTGACACTTGTCATCGATAACATACAATAGATAATACTATTACAGCAGAATTCACTGGCTTGTATATCTAAATCATATGAAGAGTAGACACATTGAAATCAACGAACTTAAGTTAGTCATGCCCATTGATTTTGACAGGTCTACTTTGAATATAACATAGTTGGACACAACCCTATAAAACCTTTATACAGCATATCCAAACTCACAGGCAATATGTACAGTGAGCTTCAACCCCCAATTGTTGGCACAGTGTGGGTAGTGGTCATGGCTCATATGTATTAGATGACATTGAGTCAAAACCACATAGGAAGCTGTCTTGGCCCATTGACCCATCGAGCTCATTTATTGTCTATGCTATCTAGCCGTGGTTTCTCTAGGGTTTAAGATAGGAGTATTACCTAGAGTGGCCTTGAACCTTGCACATGCAAAGCACATGCTCTACCTCTGAACTATGTTTCCTTTCTCAAACACACCCATTGAGAAAACCCAGTGATTACAAGGAGTTTGCATATGGGTGTTGTTTGCAACTCACGGCTGGGAGTTGATTTTAAAAAGCTACATAAAGATCCAGGAAGCCCTTGATAGGCAGCCACAATCCTGCTGCCTATGAACAAATAGCCATGGTCAAACTAGATCACTGACCTTAATGCCCATTTTGTTCAATAATAATATCATTAAATAATGGGAATTCCATGATCAACTACATAGAACTTTTCCAAATATTTAACTCAGATTGAAGGCTAAGGGTTGGTGAGGGAATAAAGATGGGCATCATTGCCATCATTTTCTTCTCATGCTGAATTTTCTTCTCATCTGCAAGAGGTCAGCCATATACATATGCAGATATATACGTCTAAAAATGGCTAGTCAGAATACTGAATCTGGAGACAGTCACATTTTAGAAGCGGTAATCTCAGGTTCCTGACTTGCTATTAGTTGTTGGTATTTCCTCTAAGCAATAACTTAACCCACATTTCTCGAGACAAAAGAATTCAGGAAGTCAAAATGTTTGGGGTCTTACCTCCACAACCTCCTCATATTCTTCTTCTTCCATCTTTGCAGAGTGTTTTTCCCCCTACTCGCTGGCCACAAGAGAGGTGGAAAAATGAACATCAGCGCAATGAACTCAATGCCACAGAGCATTAGCAATCAAAGAGAGGCATCCAAATAATGTACCCATCAGCGCAAGGATATACCCCTGTCCCCCTCTCCTCCTCTAAATCTCTTTGAGGGGTTTCCCTAAACCCCCAGAACAGATTTACAGGGCACGCACAAGATGAGGAGAGGGGAAAGCTCCATTGCACAAGTGTAAATCCTTGCCTGATGAGACTTGTTAGTTGGATACCACCCAAAACTAGGATATGCGTGGATTTTGTTATGCTGTTAAAATATCATACTAATATAAATATACAGTATCTTATGAGAGAGAGGAAGAGGAAGAAGAAAATATGGTAATATAGTATCATTGCAAAAAAAAAGTTACTAGTTGGATCCCATGTTAGTTCTACTCGTAGCGGACCCATTAAAATGAATGGGCGTGATCAATTTAGGTCCATTAATTTCAGTGGGTCTCCTTTGAGCAGAACTTGGTTGACTGCAACCCAATATTGCAAAGCATCTTTCTACTTAGTTTCCAAACCATACAATTACCAACTGTCTTTCCAAAACTATATAAAAACATAATTATTTTAAAATTAGACACTGGATTGCCTTAGTTCTTCCTTCTATATAATTTTCTCAATTATATCTATATCAGCACTGGGCAGAAAGCATATCAGACAGATCTCTGGGTGATTTGTAGTAGATCGGCAATTGTTTTTGATACACAATGGTTCAACAACAGCTATAACAAAGTTAGCCCCCCCCCCCAAATGAGGTGCCTGAAATGAAGAAAGCTCATCAGGAGGGGACTTTTGTGCAAATGGACTGTGAACAGTTTGGTTTTGGTACTGAAAGCAAATTCCTAGGCTTAGAATGTACGCTCTGTTCTTTCATTTGAACAACATGGGAGGAATTCAACACCGTGCTAAGGCGATTGTTCCATCAAGGCAAGCATTTTGGCTTGCCAGACAGAACAACCCCCCTCTCTCCCCACCCCCTACACACTGTTCCAAGGGTTCTCCCAATTTTAGGGGTTCAGGGGAAGGAAGCCCCACTGTGGAAGCAGAAGTCCTTGCACAGGGTTTCCACCGACACAACTCATTAGTTTAATCCCACCCTATATTTTTTGCATATGGTTGGTAGATCTTGGGTTCTAGTACAAAAAAAACCAACCCAACACACAGTGGACCTCATATGCCTGAAGTTCGCCCACCCCAACTCTAGGCAACCAATTTTTAATTGTTGAAACTCTGTCCTCTTTCCATACATTAGCCTTGCATATTTCTGATGCTACTAAGTTGAATTATGAAAGTTACCTTTCACTTTTTGGCCTGTACAAGCAACATGGGATGGAGAAGGGGTATGTAGGGGACATGCCCCCCAACCTGCATCCTGTGTGCTGCACCCCAGCACTGGACAGAAAGATTCAAAGAGGAGTTCTAAGCACATAGAGCTAAATGCACTTAGAAACCTCCAACACAGTAAGGAACCCTGATAATGCAGGATTCCCAGTCACATCAAAGCTTTTAACTGCATTGAGTTGAATATAACTAAAAGCTTACTTCAGATCTTCTCACTCAATTTTCAAAAGTCTCCTGTGAGTGTGAAGACACTGGGATGGGACTTGCAGATATGATGCCACTGCCCTCTTCACTCAAGAGGGCTGCTATATAAGTCAGCAACAGAATTTCACTGTTCTAGTTAGCTAGGCCCAAGGTCACCCAATGAGTTTCATGGCCAAAAGGTACTAGGTCCAGCTAAATCACACTGGCTTTTTTGGTGTCCAAACTGGAGGATTCTCCTAGTACTTAGTTCTAATCTATTAGAATGCCAGTAAGCAAGTATGTGGAGCTAACTAAGTGAATTCAAAATTGTGTCTATTTTCTTCTGTGACTAGGACATTTGTGACATGCAAAATAAGTTAGATGCTGTTATGAAGTATGTTTCTGGCCAAACAGAGCACCCCATGTAATAAATGTGATTCTATTTTGAAGAACTGGTGGGAAACTTTCAGTCACACCCGTAGCAATTCCCAGGCATGCATCTGTTACCTTGTGCAAGAGCTTATAGGAGGAGAGAAACAATTGGCACCACTCTGCTGGCAGCGGCTACCAGCACAAGACAAAACACCAGCAGTGGTTAATCCGCATTAATCTTTTCTGGGTGGAAATATCACATGCAGTTCTGATCCATGGGATTACAACCATAATACTTTGAACTTTATCTCCAGCAACCAGAAAATAAGTGTCACAGAACATGATGTTACCAGATGGGCAGGGTATAAATAATGAATTATTATTGGCCATATTATTATTATTATTATTATTATTATTATTATTATTATTAAAGTCAAATATGCTCGCTAAAGATGTGAGATGTAGGCCTTAAGAGGGGAGAATTCTCCTATCCAGTAATGTTACACAAGCTTAGAAAAAGCGTCTTGCCTAGTCACCATGGCAAGTCACCATGAGTTGCCTCCAGGTGAACAGTCAAGGCAGCTTTTCTAAACTAGAATAGTTCGTTCTCTCTTCCCAGCCTGCTTCCTTCTTTCAGACCATCAATGCCACACCATCATTTACATCAATATAAATGGCAGTCAGTTGTTTTTATGAACAAATAACTTTTTTGGTCTTACTTGCAAGGCTGTTTTAACAATAGTCTAATTTCAGCACACGTGCAAATTCAGCAATGTATTTCAAATGACCTTAAGTTAAAGAAGTTAACTTCTGTCTTCCCACCATTGGCCTTTAAGGATTGTTTGCTTCTCTGCCTCTTTTCTTTATGTATTTTTCCTCTCAGACCTGGGAAATACAAAATGAATGAATGAATTCATTAGAACTGTGAATTCAGCAGGCCCTGTGGTGCCCTGGGTTTGCAGCCCCTTTTTCTAACGCGGGCAAGGACATGAAGGTTTGCAACAGCTGCTTCCTAGTTCAAATATATTTGCCATGTAAGTTAATACCTCAGAGCGATTGGCTGGTTTTGTTTAGCTAGCTAAACAGCAATTCCTTCTGAGGCAAGTGGCAATCCAGTACTGTGGGTTAAATATAGGCTCTTTAGACACTGTCCCTTCCTAGTGCCAATTTTCTTCAGTAAAGGTAGAATAAAATAAGATTTAAAAGTGGTGCTTCACCAACAAAACTCGCCAAAATTCTGAGGAAATAAAGCACAAGAGCTACTTAAATAGGAGAACATTAATCTACCAAGTCCCTATGTTTTACCATCCCCAGATTACACAGTCAGGACCTCATCTCTCCTCAGTAAAACCTTATCCAATACAATCCCTTCCTGACTTGCCTCACTGAAAATAAACAGATGCTCGAAAAAATAAATGTTTATCAGCTCTTATTCTGATGGAAGTCCCAACAGGCCACAAAGTATTTGAAGAGACAAATTGGCTAGTTGGCCAAGACAAATTCTATAGAAAACGAAACAACATTTTTAAAAATGAACTTACCAGCAATATTTAAATAAATTTCCTTAGCAGCAAAGCCTCTCCAACTGTCCTCCCTCCTGAGAAACGCTGGGCAAAAGCAGCATTCATCTGATGCATCAGCTCCTAAATTATGATGTTCTTGGGGCAGCCAATCAGATTCAGTCTCGATCAAGTTTCAGATACTAAATATACAAAGTGACCCTTTGGACGGCCACCTGTTCAGCAGCGCCACAAAGGAAAGCAGCACATACTTGCCATTAGTCTGATTTCTAACCAAAACATTACAAGAGATTGCTGGCAAAATATGTAATATTACTGCAACAAGATATGTACAAAAAAATTGGGGGCGATATTGCAGGCGGGAAGCAATGCCCACCTAGTGAATGCTGTGACTTCTCTGCTCTGCATGGTTTGTGGTGGCATTTAGCCAAAGGCAGGGAGGAGTCCTAGGATTAGTCCATGAGGAGTGGGGTGCTTGGTGCCCTGTCAACCTCAGTCTACCCTCAGTCAGTCCCCACTTGCCTACCTTCTTGCTGCTTTCTCCATCCTTAGTCTCAGCATTGCCCTTTTGGGACTCAGCACAGAGGAGGACTGAGACAAAGCTTAGAACTAGTTCTCAGCCTCTCACTGGATCTGACCCCACCTACTGTTGCTTTCTGCCCAATGGACACCAGTCACCATAGCCTATTCAGCCATTCAAACGAGTGCTGTGCTGAAAATTACTTCTGCAATTTTTTCAGCCACTCTCCATCACTTTGTAAGAAACGTTGTTTTATTATGAAACAGGAGAGAAACGTTTGGTGACATTCTTGTGGTTGGGGTGCAGGGTTTTTCTTGGTGGCCAAGGATACTTTTGAATTTCCTTCCTTCCGCAGTCTTCCCAGATGCCTCCATTCTCCAAAAACCTCATGACATCTGTCAATTGTGCCCCAAATCTCAGACAACTGGGTGAGCTCAGGCCTCTGATGCTTTTCAAGAGTGAGTGCCTTTGGCAGACTGTCCACAGAAAAGGGACTTGGCTTTATACATCATTTCATGCAGTGTGGGAGAATGATATAGGTAAGCCAATCAATACACCTAAACGCCTCTTCCTTCAACTACCCTCTCCCAACCCTCCCCAATACTGGTGTGAAATAACTGCAGTAGAACCATTGTCATCGTTTCAATATTTTATTGCTTGATCAGTTTGATTTTGAACATATAAATGTACATTCATGTCATTGTAATGCTGAAAATCAGTAGTATTGTGTGTTTTTTTAAAAAAAAATAAGTGTGGAAAGTTTAAGGTAAAAGAAAAGGCTTCACTTAGAAAAACAAAACCAGTGACTGCTCCTATCTCAGGCACTGAATGGCCAATCACCCTGGCTTCACATACTTCCATCAAAGCTCGGGGATGGTGTCATGAAATACCTCCTGCAATGTGGAGGCAGGGAGTTCAGATCAGGGAGATGGCAGACACGTTTAATGGAAAGAAAAACACACTCACTACCCAAGCCCACTGAGAATATGAAGAAATTCTAAAATGTCTTGGATAAAGAGGCAGAAAACAACAACAACCAGAAGCCTTATTCACAGAGGTTGAAAACTTTGAGAAATCAGGGAGCTGGTTTTATAGCACAGTGCTAATTCAAATTGGGCTGTATTCTGGATTCAATTGAAACACGGAGGGGAGTAGAATGATTGCTGTAGCCGATAACTTTGCAGAGGGGCTGCCAGATGCAGTTTTCCAAGCACGTGTAGAAATGGAGAAGCCATGGCTCATTTGTCTTCTAGCTCCCTGTCAGGTAATCTGACTTTGTAATGTAATTCAGCAATAATTTATTTCTATACTCAGTGTCAACATATGTTGATAGCACATCTGATTGGTCAGGCTTTTCAACCTATTCACAGCAATCCTCAATGTCAAGGATGGATAACCTGCAATCCTCTACATGATGTTGGACCACTCCAACCTCCACCATACCTGACCATTGGCCATGCTGGCTGGGGCTAATAGGAGTAGAGTCCGACAACATTTGGAGGACCATAGGCTCCCCATATCTGCTGTAGACCATTCCCATCTTGCATTTGTTCCAATATAAACACAACTTGCTCTTGCAACTGCCACTTGTGAGCAGATAGGGATTTGGGCACATATTGAAAAGGGGAGGAGCCTCTATAAAGAGGTGGTTCCATAGTATGGATCCCAGGGTAGTTTCATCATGAGAAGGGACAAGATACTCAGAGGTTGCAACCCATGGCCTGCTCATGTGTTATGCCATTTTCCTCCTGGTTGCACCAATGGGGTTGTAGGTTAGTACCTCAAACTCACTCCCTGAGTTTGTACTATTTGGACAGGTCTGGTATCATGTATCCTGAGAGCTGGAAGAGTAAAGCAGACACCAGTAAGCTCCGAGCTGAAATATTGTATGAGCCATGAATTCCAAAGTTGACTTTGAAGGAAGCCATTGTCTGTTTGCTTCACCCCATCCATTGGCGAAGGATATTTCGGTGCTGCTTCTTTTTGCTTAGTATAAGGAATACAACCAATCAGGGATGATTATACTCATATGCATGACGTATTCAAAATCAAGTGACCAACTTATAATGCCTGACTACGAATATCCTCACTCACTCAACCACAATGATAAAGCTATGCTTACATCCCAGAAGCTTCCTGATTAGCAGGGTGAGACACACACTTGAGTGACACCACAGGACTTTAAGATGCTTCAAGACAGATGCAGAACGAGCTACCCATAGCTTAAGATGTCAATAAGCATGTGCACATGGTGACCTCATAAAAGTCTTTTGAGGGATGAATTCAGTTTCCAAATTTAAGACATGGGATAGAAGCATTCTCAATTACTCTAAGTTTTGTTCCAAAGTTTTCTCCCCAGATCCACCAGGAAACCCATCAGCAAGGTGAGATTTGTTCAGCTGCATTCAGTCCTTCTCCTGTTGACCTGTACTCTAAATAATACACTATCAGTGGTGGTCTTAATGTGGGTGGGTGGGTGCTCCTCTCCTCCACCATGACCTTCAAAACATGTGTATCACAGTCTCCCAGCCAGTAGTATCCAATGTCTTAAAGTTATCGTTTGTATGATTTCTCGCTTCTCCCCACCAAGAGGACGTATTTATAGGATCACTTTAGGATCAGGCCCCAGCATTAAGGTCATGTATGTGGATGAATACATGCATCCAGTCAAACAACAAAAATTATAGGAACCTAGGAAGCTGCCTTGCACTGCATCTGACTCTTGGGTCCATATACTTCAGTAATGTTCACTCTGGCTCTCCAATGTTTCAGTCCAAGGGCATTCCTAATCCTGTCTGGAGATGGCAAAGACTGAACCTGAAACCTACTGTACGCAAAGCAGATGCTCGAACACTGAGCTACAATCCTTCCATTGTCAGATTTGGAAAGAATCAATCAGATCATCTTGTCCCAGGTTCAACATAGCAGCTTCGCTCTTCAAGTATCCCCACTTATGTTTGCATTGGACAGGAAAGAGGAACACTACTTGGGGGCCATTCATCCACAGAAGGGAAGTTTTCAGCAGGCTTGATGGAGTCCCAAGGTTTTCAGAACAAAAAACTTGGAGGGGGGAATCAATGAGGACTGAGCATGTTCAGTGGTGATATGATGCTGAATGTCTGCTGGAAGGAAAAGTGGGAAGGGGGCTGAGGAAAAGGAATGGAATGTTCTAGGAAAGGGCATGACTTGCTGGCTGGCTGGAGCACATCACACAACATTTTGTTGTGGAACCGATTCTATTGGAACCTATTGTATCCACCTAACCCCTGTGGCCACCACCATATATTGTGTCTTGTAGCAGTAAATTCTCTAAATTATATGTTATGTGAAATATTTTCCTATGTCTTTCCTGGCAATCAAATTCACTGATTGTACACCATATATTTTCTCATCATCTTGCATAATTTTTCTTATAATCATACATAATTTTATAAAGTCTCCCTTAGTCATCTTTTCCCCCTAAAATCTAAATCCCCAAATGCTTTCGTCTAGGGATGGGGGACGCTTCAGATTCTGCTGTAATACAACTCCCATCATCAATTGGCTTCAGTGGATATGGCTCTGCAGGGACACAGGTTCCACTCCCCTCCCTCAGTCTATCCTCTCAGGAAATAGATCCCAACCCTCCTCTAAGTCTGATTTCTCTTTTCTGAAGCATTTTCAGCTTCATGATACCCATTTGTTTTTGTTTTTTTTAAATATATATTTATTAAGGTTTTTCAATACAAAGGCATATTTAATAAAACAACGTTGATTATTTAGCATCTTTTCATCATTACTTTGGACTCCCTCACACCTCCCCCACACACTTGCATCTTTATAAAATTATTTCCAAGCAAATTATCATTTTGTTCATAGTCTTTAGATTCAGTCTAATTATTTCCAAGCAGATTATCATTTTGTTCATAGTCTTTAGATTCAGTCATTAAAATCTAGTTAAGCTTAAATCTAGTTTAGTGATAGACAATTATTTCTATTCTGGCATCCCTATCAACATTCAGCCAAATTACAATATTTTTGCAAATAAGTCTTAAATTTCTTCCAGTCTTCTTCAACTCTCTCTTCTCCCAGGTCTCGAATTCTGCCGGTCATCTCTGCTAGTTGCATATAGTCCATCAGCTGCATCTGCCATTCTTCCAGAGTGGGTAGATCTTGAGTCTTCCAATTCTTGGCGATCAGTATCCTTGCTGCCGTTGTTGCATACATAAAAAATGTTCTATCCTTCTTTAACACATTCTGGCCAACAATGCCCAAGAGGAAGGCCTCTGGTTTTTTGGTAAAGGTATACTTAAACACCTTTTTTAACTCATTATATATCATCTCCCAGAAGGCCTTCACTCTAGGGTAAGTCCACCAAAGGTGAAAGAATGTTCCTTCATTTTCCTTACATTTCCAACATTTATTATCAGACGAATGGTATATCTTAGCCAATTTAACTGGGGTCATGTACCATCTGTATATCATTTTCATTACATTTTCCTTCAGAGCATTACATGCAGTGAAGTTCAGCCCAGTGGTCCACAACCTTTCCCAATCTTCAAACATAATATTATGCCCAATATCCTGTGCCCACTTTATCATTGCCGATTTAACCATTTCGT